ATTTTGTGCTGAATCAGCTACCTCGGCTCGGCTCTCCGCCATCTCCTAATGACCAACGTCATTCTAACTCTCTCGTGCGATGGTCCTCCTGGTGGCCAACCATCTGTGCTATCATGCTGGAGATGGATATGATCTGTCTGCCGGATGCCGAGTTCAGTCCCTGTTCTCAGGCCACCCCTAGTCTTGTTCTTCTGTGTGATATAATCACTAATAAAATGGTCAAATCAATAAGTCGATTAGAACCAAAACGGCCAAAAGAAGTCTGCTTTATTAAAGGTTATATTTTGTATTGTATTTATACTGTTTGTATGATAATTGATTATCCTTAATTTGGGACTGAGTGTGTATACACTAGCTAATCGGTTGAGTGGATTAAGGTACACAAGAACTGGGTACATGATCAGGGCACAGACCTCGTCTACCATTGGTATTGATGCAGATGTCAATTTGTGATTATGTGATGGTCTGATCTTTAACATGTTTAAACTAAGACAGAAGACATCCATCGAAGCTGCGGATAAAACTGTGATTGAAAGATATATTTATACATGATATTAATACTTGCTCTTTTAAGGCATAACTAGTGTAAGAAGGGATGAATAATGCTGTGTATACAACACAACAGAAAATTTTGTGTGGTATGTTGAGATCCTATGGTGGAGAAGATAACGTTCCCAGTCAGCATCCTTGTTTCCATTGAGTGAAAATGCTTCTGTTTTGGCTTGGTTGAACTTCGCATTAGACACATTTGCGTACTGTGTGAGGTGATACTGCAACCTGGTGAAATCATCTTGTGTCTTTACTACGACACAGACATCATCTGCGTAAGCAATAGTTTTGACGAACAGAGAATTCCCATCAAATTCGTATGCATATCCGATAAACTCCCGATCCTGTTGTATGGAAAGTAGAAGGGGTTCCAAAGCCAGGTCGAACAAGAGAGGAGACAGAGGATCACCCTGACGTAGGCCCCGTTGTTGGAAGACTGTCTGCGTAAAGTAATCATTGATGTTAACTTCGATTAGATTGCCAAGGAAGAAATTGTGCACACATCTAATAAATTGGCGGCAAAAACCAAAACATTCCATAACTTTCATTAAGTAATGTGGGTTTACTCGGTCATATGCCTTTTCTTGATCAAGTAGCATGCCTATACCTGGATATTGACGGTGGCGGGATTGATGAAGCAGTAGATGTAAAAGCAGTCCATTTTCGCCTATAAACCGACCTTTCATAAATTCTGTCTGTGAGCACTGAACGATATGGGAGGTGATGGTGTTCAAACGAGAATTCATTACCCGGGAAAGTATTTTCGCATCACAGTTGATTAGCGAGATCGGCCTCCAGTTCTTTAATTCAGATAGATCCCCTTTTTTCTGGCAATAGTCAGACTCTAATATCCTTCCAAGAAGCTGGTGTACAATTGATGGTCAAAGCACTGTTGTATACCTCTAAAATTAAAGGATGTAGAATTGGCATTTGAAACAGGATCCGAAGAAATTGATATCCCAAACCATCTACGCCCGGACTACTCTGTTTCGGACAACGTTTAGCTTGGTCCAACAAATCTTCAATGGTAATGGGTGTCATTAGGTGATCGTTTTGATCATTCCTCACCATTTTATCGAAGTTCACAGAAGCTAGGTATTGATCTATCTCGCTGTCGGCGACTTGGTCTAGAGTGTATAACTGTTGGTAGTATTCTCTTACTACTTCACGCATATCGATGGGATCCGAAGTTCGTTCCACTGGTATCTCGATTTTAACAGTAACGATATTGGTGCCATGAGGTGTAGGTCTCTGGACAGACGCCATATACTGCTGTGCTGACCGTCGTTTGTATAGGTTCTTCAAATATCCAGCATCCTTTTCCCCTCTTTCTCGCCATCTAATACCAGCCTTAAGCCGTTCTATCTCCACTAGTTCTTCTTGCAATTGGCCCAACTTGGCATTGATAGGTCCAATTAACTGGTATCTTAAAGCAGGTGTCGGCTTTCCTCTCAAAATCTTGTTACGCTTCTTTTCTAATTGTGTAATCGTTTTCTTCCTCCAGTTCACATATTCATAACTGTAATTTTTAATTACTTTCTTGGTAGCAGCTTTCACTCGATCCCATTTTTCCGCCGGTGAAAGTGAGGGTTCAAACTGTCGAAAATAGTGTAGTAAATTGAATACTTTCTTATGAATTTGTTGTTGTAATTCACGATGATTCGAGTAGGCGGAATTTGCTCTCCACAATCCAGGTCCCGTTGGTGATTGTCCCACAACCAATGTCATATCTAGTATCGAATGATCTGACCATGCTGCCTTCAGACGAGTGATGCTAGTGTCTTTCAACTGGGGCTGCAAAAATTGTCCCAAATATATATAATCGATCACTGAAGTCACTATCGATTGCTGTTGTGTTCTTTGGAAGGTTGGTACTTCGGTTAAATCATTCATATGCATTGCATTCGAAAAGTGGACATCTAACAAATTAAGCCATGCTGACGATGTCGCGCTAGCAAGGCTTTGTGGTCGTAGCAGAGAATAGTTGAAGTCCCCAGATATGATCAGACGATTGAAATCGATTCGATCTTGTTGATCATAGAGCATGGTGGTTAACCTATCGAAAAATTCTCGTCGTGTTGATCTCAATTGTGCGGGAGCATATATGTTCAGTATATAGAAGGTTTCAAAGAATTGTTGAGGATGATCAATTCGACATAGTTGAAAGCGATCATCATTATAAACATGGTCTGTGTTAATGAGTGTAATTTTAAAATTTGTTGATAAAGAGACAATACCGACATGTTTAGTCCAATGTGAATATTGTGGTTGAAAATGAATGTTTAAGGATTGAATAAGGTCAGGTGTTCGAGCTTGAGTCTCTTGGAAGCATATAATATCATATTTTTTGTTCGATTTCAGAAATCGTATATAGTTGGATTGAGTCTCAGGTGATCCGGATTTAACCAGACTGTTGGCATTGAGTGAAGCATAGTGGCATATAATATCTTTCGACATATTCATTTAATTATTGATTGGTTTGGTTGACCTCCTTGAAGAGGCCATCATCCTTCTGGGTGCAAGTTGATCGACGGGGATGAATACTGGGTGAGTTTGACTGCTGTTCAACATGGACATGATTGTTGTACCATGTAATCAATGCTTCTGCTCGTGCAGTTTCTTTATTGAGACGCCATCATATAATAGATAAGTTACCATCATTTCCTTTGGCTTGGAAAGGGGTAATTTCATTAGCTGCTTGCACTTCCGCGAAAGCCTGTTCAATTTGGGCAGGATTATACCCTTTTAGAGTGTCAACATAGGTTTGGATTTCCTCCAAATATCGAAGGTCATTTTCGTCATCAGTACATTCCACTCTGTCATCCATGTGCATGTCCTCTTCGTTTGGATCCTCTTTCTCTGAGTGTTCTTTCTCTGGAGTATTATTCATTGCAGTGACATGAGGTTGGTCTTCCTTAGGTGCTGGGGACTCGGATGACTGTGCACGGTTGGTGATCTTACGTTCAAAAGACTTGCCTGTTTTTTCTGTCCTGTTTCTTGTTTGGGATGTTTGTCGAATTCTTTCGGGGACATTCGTAAGATCGGTGTCCTTGTTCATGGCAGGAGTAACATAAAATGCGAGCTCTAGAAGTTTCACAAGTAAATTTGGTGTGACCATCTTGATGGCAATATCGGCCCCACATTGGCATGTTGTTCCAAGTGGCTCGGAAGACTTCAGTACTTGATTCCATCCAACTAATCTGGTGACTTAGCTGTTGAAACCTCATGGAGGGAGGAGTATTCTCGGGCTGATATACGTCAAGTACTGCATATCCGCTACCCATAAAGAACCCGGTTTTCTTCTCGGTGGTAATTCCAATATCTAAGATGGTTCCAAAAATTGCTAAACTAGTATTAAGCCCACTGAGTACCTCTTCTGAAGTAAACATAGGCAAATGAGAGAGCTTTAACCTAATGACTTGTGATTGGTCGGTAATCGCTTTGCAAGGAAGTACTTGCAGCTTTGATTCACTGAAATAGATACCAGTTCGAGCGATGTCATTTACGTCGTTGGCATCAGTCACGTAAACTTCGAGGTAACGAATTGCTCCATCACTAAGAGCCATACAAGCGTGTACTTTAGGGTGTTGTTTCTTTAACTCGACCATACACCGTTGATCAGTATACTGTTTTTTACATTCAGTAACATTGGAAAGGTATGCTCCGTCTGAGCGAGAGGAGCGATAAATTCTGGTTTGCAAAATACGAGTAATATCATCATTCACTTCTAGGTGAGGAGTGATATCGTTGTGGATGAGGGGCACGTTTTTAAGACGTGCCGCTTCAGCATACGTTTTATGCTTTGTTTTTGGTACGGAAGAAAGCATGAGAGATATTTTTAATTCTACAGATCTACATAAAAATGCAATTAAAGCTCCGAACTAGTTAAAAAAAACAATTGAAAATTAGTTCTGTCGCATATGAGAGAGGAGAGAATCTCTTCTGAAGGCCAAGAAGTACACAACATGATTGCTGTCTTATTAATATTGACTCTAGAGGTCAAATCGAACATTTGATTCAGCATAATTCTTTACCCGAATGATTACGTAAGATATATATATATATATATATTTATCAATATGAACATCATGAAATACTATTTTTGCATTGAATAAATAGAAAGAGAATGACTCATTTTAGTTGTTGTCCAACGTCTAACATTATCTTTTTGGTTTCAAAGAAAGCTACTTTTACTCATTCTGTAATGATATTAATCCGTCACCTTTAACAATCGCTTAAATGATGCCCTTTGGTGTCTTTTCATTTTAGTTAGCCCCTCTCTTTTTTTTTCTTTTTTTTCTTTTTTTACTATTGTAAGTTTCTTTTTACGAGACATATTATAAGTGAACTTTCATCTTTTTACTTTTGCATTAAAATATAAAAAACGTGATAATTTATGCTAAATGTCACTTGTCAACGCTAAAAATTTAGTTTTTTTTTTTTTTTTTTTTTTTTTTTAGCTAAAAGTATGGTACAAGAGTTATAGTATATATTAAAGGGGAATAAGAAAGCAAAGGGCTATTCGTAACGTTGACTCTTGCTGCCCGTAAAAGGATAGCAGATGAGATATTTGAAACCAGGAAATTTTTTGTTGATCTTCTCAGGCATTTCTTTTGCTCTCTTCTTTCTCATCATTCGGTCATAAAGTTCAAATTGACGACCCTTTGCGACATTATTAGGAAACCACCATTGAGATACAAATGTAACCACATAACGCGGCAAAAAAGCAGTGACAATCGCCAGCAAAAACGTCATCCAGAACGTACCACTGCCAAAAGTCATAGCAGCCATACCATAGATTGCTACAGAAGGGAAAGCACCGTAAATAACAACCCAAAGAAAAACAATGAGGATTTCAAGCCCGACAAAGAAGAATTGCCACCAAGTCCAATAATATGTGTTGAATCCTGGCATGATGTTTGCTAGAATGATGGCTGTAACTGCAACGGACGTTGAGAATTGGAGCATAGATTCAGAGTGGCCATTAGCGTTTGGATTGCCACCTATATAGAGAAAATAGAATGCGTAGAATACGACGACAGATTGCCAAACGCCATCAAAAAAATACAACCAAAATCTAAATTTAGTGTACAGTTTTCTTTGAATGCCAATGTTATACACTTGAGGTAAGTGCTTTAAATAAGGAGAGGTAAGATCTTGATCAGTCGCACCTATTACAAGCTATTAGAAAAGAAAGCAGTTTTTGTTTTATATTTACCAAGAATAACAACAGGTGCAATTGTGAAAATGATGTTATAAAGTTGTAAGAAGGAATAATCGTAAAAAATATTTCCAGACCATCCACTATAGATTTGATACCACAAAGAGGGAAACACCCAAAAAACGTTCTTGAAAAAGAAATTTAGAATCATTTCAGATATACGAGCATAACTCCAATGGCCTTGTACCAGAAGCAGTTTGTGAAGAAAACGGAATTGCGAAATAGCGTAGTCAGCAGCCATGGAAGCCTGTACACCTTCTTGACCTGCAATACCAACACCAACATTAGCCACCTGGATCATACTTACATCATTAGCTCCATCGCCAATAGCCAGAGTAACCACATTATGATATTTACGCACAAGCTGTACAACTAAAGCTTTTTGAAGTGGACTTACGCGACAACAAATAACACTTTTGCATCGAATAGCAATTTCTAAGAGCATCGCTTTTAAAGCATCCGACTCAAAGATATGCAAGAGAGCAGACCCTTCAATCACAAGTGCATGTTCTTGTCTATCATTTTGTTCATGTAAAGTGTCGTCTATTTTTTTCAAATGATCCAATGTGTTTTCCAGATTTTGTGATACTTTTTCAGAAGTTTCAGCGCCACGCACTGTCCAAAGTTTCATATCCACATCCAACAAATTACTTGCATAGCCAATATTGATAGCTGTTTCCAATTTGTCACCCGTTAATACCCACACTTTGATACCAGCACGGCGAAGATCTTCAATGCATTGAGGAACGCCTTCTTGAAGTTTATCTTCAATACCCGTAGCACCCAATAACCTGAGGTTGACTTCTATCTTTTCTTGAATGTTGGCAATTTTTCTAGCTCTGTCTTCTGTTGCTGTGCTTGCTTCATCAATCTCGACTTTCCATTGCTTGTATTCGTTTTCTTCCAAGTTACGGTAGGCCAGAAGTAATGTTCTAAGGCCACTTTCACTAAATTTGTCTACATCGCTAAATGTCTTTTCAACAATTTCACTGCTCTGCTCGTCTTTGCACAGTCTTTCCGAGATGACATTATCAGCACCTTTACAGTATAAAATGATATCGTTCCATGGCTCTGGCCTACGTAAAACAACACTCATTCGTTTTCGATCTGAATTAAATTCGAGTACATCAAGCAGTTCAAAATTGTATTCGTTCCCAAGTATATCAAGTGTCAATGTTGTTCCTTTTTTTCCAATAAACGCAAAACCTACGTTTTTTGCTGCATTCACCAAGGCAGCTTCATCGGGCGATTCAGCTTTGTAATCAATCTGTATTTTGACTGTAGGATCCACTCGATCTAATGTTTGATTTCCATTTGTGATGTTATCAAACTCTTCTCCTCGACTCTTTGTGCGCTTTAGTTTTCCTTTTCTGTCTTTCTTGTTGGACTTTTTCAAGTTGCGAAGACCAGGCACTTGAAGAATTTTGCTGCTACCGTTGCGTACCTTGTTGGCAAGTCCTTTCGTTTCATCCAATGTCTCACTGTCTTCTACAGAAGAGCTGTCTGGTCTTGAGGTAGAGCCGTTTTCGCCTTGACTTACATCATTAGCCATTATAGAGTAGTCGCCTATTTTAGGCTGCGAGCGATTCAGTTCTTCTGAATCATCTTCATCTTCGTCTTCAATTGTTTTGCCATCTTTTCCAATTCTTTCAATCATGACTGTGTGACACAAGGCCAATGCCATAAAGAATTCCTTGATTGTTGTTGATTTTGTGTCCTTGTTATCCATGTCTGCCGTCTTGATGTCTTTAAAGACTTGAGCATCTGCAAAAGAAAGTCGGTTGATATCAAGTGATGAATAGGTTGGTTCAAACACATCTTTTAAGACAGATTCGTATTCGTCCATGGCTTGCTGTCTTTTGTGTTTTGCTTCTTCATCTGCTTGTTTGTCATCATGGGTTTCCAGCGGGTCTTCGTCCGCATCTATCAAAGGAAATGAAGAAGGCGTATGGAGTGCTGATTCTGATGGATCATGATTTTGTGTTGCGTTTGCCTTTTCTTTGCGAAGACGAGCGCCTCGAGCTCCTTCTGACTCCGGTGAAAATCCATTATCTCCATAACGAGTACCTGCTATTGTACACTCACGAAATTCCATTACATTTCGAGTGAGTGTGCCTGTCTTATCAGAAAAGATATATTCTACTTGTCCAAGGTCATCAGACAACGTCCACTGAAAAATGGTTGGATAAGGTTTTGAATGTCCCGTTCACTTACAGTTTTAGGCACGCAAGCCTTTTTTGATTGTTCATCCCACATGTCCAAATCGTTATAGATAAAATAAGCCTATTGAAACATATGATTTCAAACCTCTGTTCTTTTTGTGTTTCTCCTTATGCTTTTACCTGAAAAGTTTTCACAAATTCAATAGAAACATAGAGTGAAATTGGTATAATGTTTTGAAAGATAATAAGACTGGACCAAAAATTGAGAAAACCTACATAGCCAGGCGATTCTGTTTGTGCATTGTAAAGAGAAGAAGCACTGCTTTTCATTTCACGCGCCCGCATCACACCAGCCATGATAGCACACACTAAACACAAAGCAAAAAGTACAAAAAATGCAACATAGATCTATAGATAACTGTCAACACCTCGTTTTATGTCTCTGTTTTCTTTACCTCTTTGTTCATTTCTTTATCAACTTGACTTCTCTTGCTTGGTGTTTTACCAGAATTTAGCATAATCTTTGTTTCTGTACCAGTAAAGATAACAACAGCAATAGCCCATTTTGTGTTTCTTAATACATGTCCACGCAATAAAACATTATCAATTTCAATAGGCGTCTTGTTCTTTTTTACCCATTGATCTCCACTCTTTTCTAGAGTGACAAGTGTGCCTTCAAAATTATAAAGATCAGGGGAAGGCACTCCTGCTTCCATATAGAAATGACAGTCATTCAAGCAGTCAGCACCTGATTGAATATGCTTCAATTCTTGAATGCTTTTGCGAGGTTTCAAGTTTGTTTCTCCGTCCAGATCTTTTGTTTCGACAAAACAAATGCCTTCCTTATCTGATGTAGATAACAATACAGCGTCCGCAGGAAGGCTATCACCATTACGAAGCAAAATAAAGTCACCTACACGTACATCTTTTGATAAAGACTTTTCAAAATAGTCCTTTTGATCATGGTTGATGGTTTGTTTATTTGATAAGCTCTTTTGAGGAAAACAAGAGAGCCAAGAGGGGAGTCTCGTATCTTGAAGAGGTTGATCTGAATAGTTGGTATTCTTGTAACCATGCAGGGTATGAGTCACATTTTGGTTATATTGTTCATCGACTTTGTGGCGCTCGTAATCTTCAAAGGCATCCTTGGCTGCTGTAATGAACACAACTGCACAGATCGGCAATAGCGTAAGTGCCGGCGACTTAACGCCAAAAAGCGGTAACATCTGAATGATAGCCATGCCCAAGAAATATAGATTGGCTGGTCTACGAAACTGTTCAAACAAGTTTTTCGGGATAAATGTGATGATGGTGTATTTTGACGTTCGAATCCTATTGGTAGCGTATGTTTGAATAGGATGTCCCTTTTTGTTTAATTCGTATTCTGGCAGGGGCAAGTTGACAAAGACTCGACGAGCTTTTGGTCCAATGCTTCTCAATTTGACATGTGTTTCATTGGTTTGAGTGCTTTTGATCGATGCATTTCGATGGATTTCTTGATAATAAGTGTCTCTTTTGGGTGGTGAATCGTCATCGTCATGGTTTTGATTGCGTTTTTTCCAAGGAAAGTGCCACCTTGCTTTAAACATACCGAGAATAGATAAGCACTTTTTATTTTTTATTTTTAAGAAAAAAGAAAAAAAAAAAGGAGAGAGAGAGATAAATGGCTCGAGTGATAGGTGTATGTGAATCAAACGACAAATAGGGCTTATGTTCTTTTTATAAAAAACTGACTGTAGTGTAACGTCGTTGCTTAAATTCGCAAAGTTTCCTTTTTAGAAGACCGGCAAACCTTTTTTTTTTTTGTTTGTTTGAATAAGCTCATAGTTTATTGTGATTCATGAAGGGCATAAAAATTTTCTCTTTAAAAACGAGCCAGAGATAGACTTGGCTTAAAGAATCTATATTTATTCTTTAGAAAAAAATAGGGCGAAGCAGAGTCACATTCATCTCATGTCTTACATGTCACAAGAAAACAAATTAGTTTAAACGTAACTACTTTCTACCTATCATTGGCATACTGATCCGTATATGTATCTCCCAGTGATGTTATTCAAGGAGAGAGAGAAAGAGAGAGAGAGAGAGAGAGAGAGAGAGAGAGAATAGTTATTGTTGAGTATGATGTAATACTAATGAGGTTTTGTCCTACTTTCTCCCTTTCAGGAGAAGGTGTCTTACAAGTCAATCTTGAATCCTATCGGCTCTGCTAACATTTATGCAAATGTATAATGCAGTTGTCTAATATTTTATTTATAGAAAAGAGAGACTGTCTTAAGCCAACAAAAATGAGATACCGACAGCAACCATCAATGTCAAACCTGTGGTGACAGTAACAGATGAACCCAAGCTAGTGTTACCAGAGCCTGTAGTAGCAGTGGAGCTGCTGTTACCACTTGTGTTGGTAGTAGAACTATCGGCATTATAACACATGGAAGAATTGTAGCTAGCAGAGCTGTCTACAGTAACATCAACACACTAGAAAAAAAGTGAGCCAAAAGAATATATATATACAGATATATATATTTTCGTACCTGGTATAACATACCATCACCACCATTGTACACGATTTGAAGTGTGGCATTTGTACCATCTTGAACATCACTACCAAATTGGAAGGCTAAACAAGAAGCTTCAGGGTAGGAGCGAGTACCTTGAGCCAATTGCTTGACAGCAGAACCGGAGAAATCACTTGTGTTAGGATTGTTGCTATATACAGCATTGATTTGGTAAGAGTAAGAGACATGACCAGAATTGATAGTAACAAAGGCATTCTTAGGTACTTTGACACGAGAGCTGCTGACAGAATCGAAACCACCACATGGAGCAGTGGGTTCAGTGTCTTCATTGAATCCTCTAGAAGTGGGATAGATCATTGTGTAGTGAGCATTCACCAAGTAACATTCAAGAGTTACCAAGGCAATAGCAAGACCAAGTAAGACACGGCTCATCATTTTCGAGAAAGTAAAGAAAGAATGAAAGAAAAAGAAAATGTACGTGTCTTGGATTTTCTTTCTTTTATATCCTTGAGATATTTTAGCTTTTGAAAAGGGTTTGATTGGCGGTAGCTTACTAATTTCTTCGGACACAGAAATTGACGGGCATGGAAGAAACTTTATTTTCTGCACAAAGCTGATATCAAATGATCTTGTGCTTTCTTGATTGCATTTGTTATCCATTCCACGCAATGGCTTAATTCTACGTATTAGAATAATAATGGCATAAAACAAAGACATATCATTACATATAAGCTCTAATTTTGAAGGGATGGAGCTATGGCTTTCATTTTTGAAGGGCAATCTCAGATAGACTTTTTTTTAATGAAAGAATGAGTACCTTGTACTAGATGAAATAATGAATTGCTTAGAGCAAAGGAAGCACTATACACTCATTGACTTGGAATTAAACAAGAGTTCTCCTACAGAACGTACCAATACTCTCAAACGGTCATTTTCATTTCAAATAGTCTATAAAACTCATTTGTATCCAAACAATCATGCAAACATGGTTCTTTTTGCTGTGATTTAAAAAAATGTGGCGTTTGAAAAAAAAGCCTTCGGACTGTGAATTCTGTGAAAAAGATTTTTTTTTTATCTTTAAAAGCGAGAACAGCGCTTATTGTATGAACCCTCCCTTTCTTTTTTCACCTGGACTTATTTGGCCTTCTAACCATTTAACTCTTTCTGCACCTTAACTCTTGCTAGAAAACAAACGATAGCCGTCCGCTTGAAAAATTCATTACCATGTCCAAAGTCCCTGCTATTTTGAACCCTACTGAAGAAGACATTCAACTCTTGTTGTCTGCTCAAGTCCATATTGGTACCAAGAACGTGAACAAGCGTATGACACCTTACGTCTTTAAGCGTCGCGCTGATGGTATCCACTTGATCAACATTGCCAAGACTTGGGAAAAGCTCATCTTGGCTGCTCGTGTCATTGCCTCTGTTGAGAACCCTCAAGATATTGTGGTCGTCTCTGCTCGTCCCTATGGCCACCGTGCTGCCTTGAAGTTTGCCAGATACATTGGCTGTGAAGCCATTGTGGGTCGTTACACTCCCGGTACTTTTACTAATTACATCACCCGTTCTTTCCGTGAACCTCGTTTGGTGATCTGTACTGACCCTCGTTCTGATTTCCAAGCTGTCCTTGAAGCTTCTTATGTCAACATCCCTGTCATCTCTCTTGCTGACACTGATGCTTCTTTGAAGTTTATTGATGTTGCTGTTCCTACCAACAACAAGGGTAAGCACGCCATTGGTTTAATCTACTGGCTCTTGGCCCGTGCTGTCCTTCGTCTTCGTGGTACTCTTGACTACACTACTCCTTGGGATGTCATGGTTGATATGTTCTTCTACCGCGATCCTGAGGAAATCGAAAAGGAAAACGAAGCTTCTGCCAACGTTGAAGAATCCAATGTCGAATGGGGTGCTACTACCGAAGAAGCTGATTGGACCATTGAAGGTGCTGCTGCTGATGGACCTGCTGGTCTTGCTGCTAATGCCGGTGAATGGTCTGCTCAAGCTGATGCTGGTGCTGGTGCTTCTGACTGGGCTGAAGATGTTTCCGCTGCCCCTGCTTCTGGTTGGGATTAAATCATCCTTTGATTTTTCATAAAAATAAAATAAAATGTTTATTTTTTTTGTCACAATTTTTTTCTTCTTTCTCTCTTTCTTTGTTTTGATGCCTAAAGACCCTTTAGTAAAGCGAGAAAAAACGACAAAAGGAACTTCTGAACCTTTTGTTATTCCTCCTGTACCTACAAGACCTCAACAATGTAAGTTTCTTGATTTTTCATTTATTTATTTACCTTGTTTCTAGGTCATCATTTTGTGATGCGAAAGAGAAGGTATTGTGGCTTACCCGCTAAAAAGGGTAATCAGTATTGCGGGGAACATTTGAATTGTGGTCAAGAGGGTGATGTGGATAACAAAAGAATACCTTGTCCTTATGATAATTCACAGTAAAGTAGACAGCTTATTGTTTTCATACTGACTTTTAAGAAAGTACGATATTTGAAAAGGATCTCGAACATCACATGAAAAACAAATGTAATTCTCGTCCTCGAGAACAGCCATCTTGTTATGCTTTAAATGTCAATTGTACTTTACCCCTTTCTGCAGAAGAACTCGAATTTCAAAAAAAGATTTATTCTCATCAAAAATTACATGTTCAGCCATGGTTAGCTCGAGTGAAATTGCAGGAATTGAGTAGAGAAGAATTAAATGGGCTGATTGATAAAGTTATCAAGATCCATGATCAATTAGTGCCTCCTATTCCTATGGAAATATTGACACATCCTTCTACTGAACTAAAGAGGTAACATAGGCCAATAAGATTGCTCAGTTATTGATCTATCCCTCTGTAGAACGACAGTGACAAACACAAAACATTTGGATCAATTGTCTTCTTTGATGGGCCATATGGAACAAAGTGGTATGCTAAAAGACAAGACAGCTTGTTTTGTCGAATTTGGTGCGGGCAAAGGTGATCTCTCTGCTTATGTCAAGCGAGCTGTGAATGAAGAGAACGGAGAAGCCACTTATCTCTTGCTCGACAGAAAAAGCGTACGCAACAAGGTAGATCAGACATTACTGGGTCAATCTGAACACAAGTCTCGCGTACAACGTCAATTGATCGATATTAAAGACTTGGATCTATCCAAAGTAGAATGTATTGCAGACAATCAAAAGAAAGTAGTGGCTGTCTCCAAGCATTTATGTGGATGTGCTACTGATATCACACTCAAGTGCCTAATGAACTATGTTCAACATGAAGAAACACAGGGACACACGTAAGATAAGATAAGATTGATATATGGCTTATCTATGTCTATAGTGAACCTATCTCGGGTATTATTATTGCTATTTGTTGTCATCAACTCTGTCGTTATGAAATGTATCCAAACACAAGTTATTTAGACTCGCTTGGCTTGACAAAGACTGAATTTGAAAGAATGAGTAAAATGAGTAGTTGGGCCACCTGTAGTAAAATCAAAGAAAATCAAGACGAACATGCAAACCAAGATGAAGAAGAAGAAGAGGAAGAAGAAGATGCAACCACGTAAGCAAGCATATATGTATATGTGTGTTTATGTATTTATATCCCTATTAGCCATCATTTTTCTGGTAGAGATCATAAAGAACGTACTGCTATTGGTTTAAAATGCAAGCGTGTGCTGGATATGGGTCGTGTTCAGTACTTGGAGCAATTTGGATTTGATGTCAGATTGACTTATTATGTTGATCTGACAACAAGTTTAGAAAACTGTGCATTGATTGCTACACCTAAAAAATAAACCTACTTTATTAATTTCTCAAGTAATGTCTTCCATGCCATCATATTCAATCGTTCTTCTTTTGGTAAATGCGTCTTGAAGCATAATAAGAGTTGTTGATAAGACTGAATGTAATCCTTACGATGAAGGTAGTATATCCAAGCCATTCTTGGTGTAGGGTATTGATTCAAGAATGGAGCGACAAACTGGTTGAATTGAGTGCTATAGTCTTCCACTAGATCATATTGATCTTCACACATAAGTATCAATAGATACAAACACTATTTTACCTTTTTGAGAGAGATAGAGTAATAAACAACTGAAATAAGGATATCCCAAATGCTGAATATATGCTAAATGTCTTTCTCTTTTCTTCTCAACAGACTGAGCTGAGGTTTGTACTATTTGAACAAGACTAGAGGCACCACCATACTTTTTTACCAATTTGCAAATCAAATCTTGATCTTCAAGTAGTCTGTGAAAGACAAGGTGGCGAGTATCTCGAAATATCTGATAAGCACTAAGAAACTAGATGAGTTTAATATCAACCCATACAACTTACTCTTCAGTCTTTTGTTTTGAAAGAGTGTTCAGTAAGAGAGAAGCAATATCCACCATTGGACGTAAAGAAGCTCTTTCTGAATGACCAAACTGCACAGTATCTTGGCTGTCCATATCAAACCCCTTGATCCATAAACGAGTCAAATAATCGCATAACATGGCTTCTTCAAGTAAGTGGCATATTATTTTGATTCGATACATACCTGCTATAGATGGTTGAGTTGTATTCATGTCATATTCAAGCGTATGTTTATCTTCAAAATAATGAGCTATAGACAATGCTTTCTAAGGAGAAATAATTCAGCTTGTGTTTTCTTTCATTGTTTACTTGCCACCATCAGTTTCATAGCATAATAAAAGAAATCTGTTGTTGGCTGTTCAGAACAAGCTTCGATGTGAACCATTTTTAACAAATGGACTACACTTTCACTCTATGCTTTTATATAAGTCAATGTCTTTCTAGTGAGATATCTACCTCTCTTTTAAAGAAATAACGTAATTGCTCTTCAAGATCTTGTATTTGACTTGAAGAAACAGAATGCATTATTTGAAGCAACTTTTTTCTTAATTCTTGATCAGGTTGACTAAAACAAGGCAATAAGACAATAATAACATAAAGTAGTATGTTACCTTTTAGCCATGTATTTTGATACTGTATGACAGACGATACTTGTCTCTGTTCTTTGAAATAACTTGAATCGATCCTGCTTAGAAAGCTATAACAAGTGTTAGACTGTCTTTATATCATACTCACTTACCCATGAGTATATATCATTTTCTTTCAAGACAGTATAGATTCTTTTCTGAAAATAGTATTGAGCACAACTAAATGTACTCAAATCCATATCCAAAGAGAGGAACCGGCATTGTCCATTCAAAATAGAGTTGGATAAATCTAAAGCAGCTCGAGATACATTTTCTTGATTTTGACGGCGTATGGGGAATTGTAAAGGAGACTTTAATGGGGAATTATTAACTCTGTAGTTTCCCATTGCTTCACTTACATTAGGTGCATCTCCAAAAAATACAGCTTGTTCCAACTTGGATTGAAAGATACGAGTATCACTTTCTTCCTATAAAGTTATAAATACATGCATTATCTCATCAGACTTACAATATTTTTAACTGCTCTAGCATACATATTACTACGATAATTTGTGTCAATGATAGACTACAAGTCACTTGTTATTTACTCTGTTAGCCATGAACTTAGTATCTTGTCAACATCCACTGTAAATCGAATGGCACCCTGTTGCCTTGTATAGATTAAGACTGTGTTCTCTTGCACTATTTCCGTATAAAGCACTTGATCTTGAACATAAACAGACGCTTCAAAGATAGATGTCTTGTCAATACTAGTAGCTATGACTGTATCTTTAAATGATACAAATGCAATATCTTTAGTAGAGATCAAATGTGCTTTTCTTTTTAATGTCGTAAAGGCTAAAGAATGACCGCATATAATGTGTGCTACTAAATGCTCTTGTTCTTTTTCTAATTGACACTTGATCACAAAGTACTGAACATAACCTTGCATATTTGGTAAACTATAGGAGATCAACAACACAATATCTCGGTTACTAGTAAACGATGAGTTTATCTTTTTCTTTCTTTTTGTTTTACCTATGTACATTCATGCCCACAATCTCGCATTGAAGGTCTTTTTTAACATAATAGTCTGGAATATGTTGTTTGATCTTGTTCTTAATTGTCTCTTCTATCATACAATGTGCTATATACTACACATAATTCATCATCTTATCACTTTCCTTTTGTTTTGTACCTGTATTTTATGCTTTTCCATGTTCCATAAATGAATTGCCTTTGTTGTGCTGATATAAGCAATAGAGTTTACAAATTGAATGCAAGTAATAGATCCATGGTCTTGCTTGAATTGTTCAGATAATGAGGGTATTTTGGAGAAATGATACGATCCAGTCAGCATGAATGCATCAAACCAAGATTGTTGCTTATAAAATTTAAACAACCCATCCTTATGACAAAGATAGATATCACCCGATACAGTACCTAGCAAGATTTGTTCCATATTTATCATCTTTACAGTAGTGATGCCATCAGTTATTGGGATGGTATAGTCTGATGGAAACTTGTCATGTTGAATCCATCGTATATGACCCTGTACACTCACAATAACACATACAAATGGATCCAACCGTACATCAAACAAAAAGGGTTGATCATAAACCATCATATCCTGTACTGATACTTCCATCTATAGGTTTGATGAGATTAGGTATAGCCCATGTCTGCTTACCTTTAATCCAGACTGATCCACGATCAACATGGCCTTGGTCAACAAGACATATAGCTTGTGTGTATACCATATTCTTAGACTAGCCTCAGGATCTAATGATGATGATGATGATATGATGAGATCGAGACAAGACACATTCAACATACATTGTTCTAGTTTTGTTTGTATCGTCTCGGGAATCAAGTTGTACCAACTTATCTCATACGCGTCTGTTTTACTGAGTATAGCCTTGTTCTTCCAAGACAGTCTTATATGATCCAAACTATGTCGAAGTGATGTTTCTTTTAAAGGCGCCTTTGTCAATAATTGTGAAAAGTCTTTGTTTGACATAAAGGAAGAAGGTTATCATGCAAAATAATTATTTTATCACCGCTTATGATGATGATGGGAACACTTTTTTCAGTATATTTTAATCAACAATTTTGGGGGCTTGCTTTTGCTCTGGTTCTGTTCTGGTTTTCGCTTTTTGCCTTTAGTGAATCATGAATAGCAGAGATAAGTAGGTACCCTCTATTAAGAATATTTACATGCTTATTTTTATCTTGTGAGTGGAAGAGATTGACTGCAATATGTGATTATCTCCAAAAATGATGCCCATTTCAACGATGCCGAAGCTATTAGGCACCTTAATCCTCTTATGTGATAAACAATGATACCCGTTTATTGTTATAAAACGGTTAGTTAAAAATAACTTGATAGATCATTATAAAATGACTGCAATTACTTTTTCTATTTTAATAATGAATATTTACGCAAAAGGGGTTGTTTTTTGGAGCATTGCCTTTTTCTCGGCACCTCACTGTGAATTTACAGACAATTTTTGTAGCCCTGGGTCGAAAGGCCATTTTGGTCAAATTGTATAGGTTGCTTTTTTTGTCTAAATCAACTCCAAACGTGCCATATATATTAGTGAACGTTGTTTGTAGGTATCTGAAATGTATATGTACTTATAAGCAGGGTGTATACTACCTTTGTGTGATTATACAAGTCCATGTGTTTGTCTGTTTTTTGATAAGTTCAATGTCATCTTTGACGTAGATTTTATGTCAATATACTTGCTCATTAGAAAAAGTATGATCACTTCAATAGATACAATTACTTCTGAATTATCTAAAGAAATCAATAACATCTTGTGCTAAAAGACACTGATTTATTATATATACGTATACTTCATATGAAAAGTAACAAACAACAACAAAACAGCATCAGCTGAAAAAATATTCTAACCAACTGAGCTTGCTTTCTCTCTTTTTACTCCCTCTTTATAGGATACTTACAGCTTAAATCTTTTTAGAGTCAATATATATATATACATATATTTTATCGGTGGAAATTAGAGTGCATGAAGTGTTTACTTTTATCACAAGTATTTTATCAGCTGATTACATTTCATTATGTTTCCTACGCAAGGAAAACAATAATTCATCATATACATGTAAATTAAAGATAAAAGATTAAATAATATCAAGAAAAAGTATTACAGAATGAACATAATTTAAAACTTGCTGAGAAGTTTATAACAGTTATTTTCGCAAAAATGGCACTTTTTTTGGGTGGAGTAAGACATGTTCACCGCCTATGTGCGTCTTCTCTCTAAGTGCTTTTTAGCCACATAGCAAGGATCACAAAAAAAAAAAAAAAACTTGTCTCTTTGTCCCTTTTTATCTTCTTTGATCCTTACTCTTCTTTTTTGGCTATCAATTTCAATAGTCAACTCTTCAGCGATGTCAACAACTTCAAATTGAGTATATTAATCTATACTCAGCCTCTTAGAACAACTCTTGTCGATATCTTCGAAGCCTTATTTTGCTATTTGGACATACCAAGTGTTTTTCTTTTTTTTTTTTTTTTTTTTTTTTTTTTTTTCAGAATGTCTAATAACATCTAAAGGTTAGTCTCAATTTCATTAGCTTATTCTTGACAAACATCATGAGTTTTTTGATAAAAGCTCAATTATTTACTTTGATCGACAATAACTACAGCTAATTAATAAGCTCTCTAACTTTTGAAGTCAATTGATTGTATTTATCATATCTCTGCATCGTTTAAAGGCATTTTTAATAAACAAAGGAAATAAATTGATTATTCTATGAGCGAAAAAAAAAGGGAACCCATATTCTCATGAGCACTAAGCAAACATAGGAACTGCTGTAGAATAAAGCAATTCTTGTCATCTCTATGATGAATAAACACACTCTTACATGCTGAAGACAATTATCGGTATCAATTTGATTTCCGATGTGTGTAAAACGATTGCTGTCAATATTTAGAATCATTAACTTTGTTACAACAAACAATAACATGCATGCGATATTTGTTCATTTCATTACAAGTATATGACAAAGGACGCAGAATATACATTAAAATTGTTCTAAGGGTGAACTCTAAAGACAACAGACAAAACGATGTTTTGAAAAGCCTTCAGTCTTCTTTTCAAGGGTAAATTGTCTCCTACATGTAGCCACTTGTTTTCAAAAAAAAAAAAATGCAACTGCTTGTATAGAATAAAGGAGAAACTTTTCTCACGCTTTATTTCTTTTTCTTTTTCTTTTCTTCTTATGCAGTCTATCTTTGATATTCAGAAAGAAAAAGAGGATTTATATGCTATTCTGAACTGCGTAGACACAAGTTCGGTAATATATACTGACTGTATTTTATTCTCTTATTCACCATCATGCAAAGCCAGAGCAAATAAAGACCGAATATAAACGTTTAGCACTTATACACCATCCTGACAAATCCCTTTCACGTAAGAGACACTAGTTGCAAGCTATGGCTGATATGACTTTGTTTAGAAACAAAAGAGTTTGAGCAAATCAAAGCTGCTTATGAAATTGTCGGCAATCCTCAAACCAGAGCACTTTATGATAAGTGGAGAAATAGCAGTCTAATCATTCCATTCTCTGAGTATGCTCAATTGGGCACACATGCACAGGTAAAAGAAACAGATACAAGTTGATAACTAACACATATCGGCAAGACGGTACACTGGCAATCATTGCCCACACAAATGACATTGACTAAAGACGACGATACAGACACGAAGAAGAGTCCATTGAAAAGTATACGCATACCCGCAACAGCACAACACTTGCCTACTGTCAATGTAGGCACCTCAGGATTCTGGAAAACAAAAAACTATACAATTCAAGAAAAACCTTAATAAAACGATCCAGAAATGAACATGCTGTTATGATCCTACTTTATTCAAAGAAAGGATTTAGTTTTCATCTTCGACAACTTCGGTTTGGAGACCTGTAAAAAAAAAGAATAAGAGATCACGTACTTATGCTACACACTCTTACCCTTGAAGTCAGCAGTGGGAACGTAGGTAACGTAAGAATACAACTTTTCCTTGGCATCTTCATCATCGTTACGCTTACGAGCGATACGGACACGGATACGGTGGTTGTTGTGCTTAACACCACGAGACCAGATAGCCTTGTTCAAAGAGGGATCAAGACGAACGTCCTTGGTACCCATAGCCTTTTGAGCGAAAGCCTTGACAGCCTTGATGGCGTGGGGAGAACGCTTTCTCAAAGAACGACCAAAGACATGCTTGTGCAAGTGAATGGTGTATTCACGGGTAACGACATCAGCGAGGGTGGAACGCTTTTGGGTGGTCTTTTGGTCCTTAGCCATTCTATATAAAATGAGTCATCCATCCATCTGTCAATAGAGACTTACTCTTAGATATGAAAAGAGGAGGATTCCTTCTGTTTGCCCCATTTCATCTTGCATTTGTTCACTCCATGCATAGTAGCTACTTGAGCATTTTCCTTTCTTGCTTGCTATGTTTGATTTGCCGCACAGGGAGTTAAATCCGGTCCGAATATTTTTTGACACTTAACTATTGTTCCCGACATTACTTCAAAATCAACGTTGAAGAAATCAAGATACATGCTCTCTGAAACATGCTTTATTTCTTACAGCATGAATTGAAAGAGCTCTTCATTGGTGAAATGCGCAATCTTTATCTATTTATTTATTTATTTTTTGGTGTGCAAAGCCATCCCAATTAGTGTACGGTTCATTTATGCAATCTGGATTATTAAAGTGTATGAAAGAATGGTTTTTTATACAATGATAAGGTTAAACATAACTTGTCAAAATAGAGTCCCTTTTCTTATAAAGAAACGAATATGTTCAAGACAACGAAAAGCCCTTTTCAATTAAACAATATGCATATTTGATATTTGGAAATAATGGAAATAGAAAAAAAAAAAGAGTAGCTTATATTAGCTTGCTCTACTCCTTTAATATCCTTAAGAATTTTTGTTTGAAGATAAATGGCGTGTTTTCTTTGTATTGTAGTCTAGAAGAAATATATGCATCATGTACATGATGAATTCTTTGAGTCTAAAAAAAAGTAGTTTTTTTTATACTTGCTGATAAATTTCTTCATGCCAAACACGCCAATCATACATTAAAGAATAGGTTGATAAAGCACAAACTTATTTGGTTCATTCTTGATGCTGATTTTAGATAAATTACGAAAAAAGGAGTCGTATGTTTGTTTATGTAGAAAAAAGTAAAAAAAAAAGTTTATATATTACTGCTCCTACAAACGAAAGAAACTTTACGCATTATGTTACAAGTCTAGAACGATCAAATATTTGTCTGGTCGATCATACTTTATGTACTACAAGTATGCTTTATATTGACATGATTTCTTTCTTTCTTATATTAGCGCCCTTGATTTCATTATTCTTTTTTTATAAACAAATGCTTAATTTGTCATAAATCAAAATGTCAGTTTGGATATAAAATCTCTGTAGACTTTTATTTTCTTTTGTTCTTTATTCATTTATCATCATGACACACTATTCGTATTCATCAGAACGATTGCCTAGTATTGCTATGTTGAACCATACCTATGTCCCATGTCACTTTAGCAAATCTCTTGTTGTATCTCCCCCTTTGACACCTCTTGTATCACCTTCTACTTCAACCTTACATGACTATAAAATATGCCTAGAAATAAAAAAGGCCACAGCAACGACAACAACATAAACATGTATGTCACTTTCAATTTTGCGGCTGGAGTTTCAAACGCTATGAACATTTGAAGCGGCACATGCTGGTCCATACAGGTGAAAGACCTTATGTGTGCCATTTCCCTAGTTGCGGTAAAAGTTTCAGCCGCTCAGACAACTTTCACGCTCATTACCGCACGCACACTAAAATTAAAAATGCTGCTCGAAAGAAGAAGAGCGATACAAGGCCAAATGTAACCACAGGTGATGATCCAAGTAGCTCCTTTTCATTATTGGCCAATCACTATAAACCTCAGCAACAGAACATTCTGACTTCAAATTGTCATGTTGCTAGTACTGTTGCGGCAAATGCAGCGGCAGCAGTAGTAGCAGTATCACAACAATTTGGATCTAGTAGTGTGTATTATAATACCCATTTGCATCATCACTCATCTTCAGAGGTATGTCTATCATAAAGGACAGCACTTATTTAATTTTTATATGATAAGATGATAGATTTTACAAGAAATAATCATAGTAACACAACATTTCAAAATTATGGCATGTTAAATTTTGATATGCCAAAGTGCTCTTCTTCTCCTCCTATTAGCCCAGTCTCTTCAGCCGCGTCTTTATCATTATTAAATCATGAAATATCACCACCTGATTCATACCAACCTTCACCTTCACCCAACCCAATCTATGCATTTCCTTACTCTGTTCAAACAGACATTCAGTACAGCACTACAAAGAGGTCCCAAACCAGTATCAAGTCACATGCATGTCCAGTACTACAATGTCTTCGCCGCTTCAAGAGACTAGAGCATTTGAAGCGACATATGCGCATACACACGCTGGAAAGACCTTTTGCTTGTACTTTTCCTGGTTGTCAAAAGAAGTTTTCCCGATCCGACAACTTATCTCAACATACCAAGACCCATCAAAAGCACCAAGAAAAGAAACGAAAAAAGAAAGAGTAACTGATCCTAATTAAAATAAAGAAATATACACTCTTTCGGAAAAGCTGTTTTGTATCATTCACAGTCTGCGAATGACCATATAAATCATCTTTTTTGCTTAGTGATAGAAAAAATGTTGGCACGTCATAGACTGTGTGAATCGCGTATGCTATGAGAGTAACTATGAATGCGGTAGGTTCTTTAGTGGTCTAGTATGGCACCATCAACCAAGATGCAGCGTTTAGCAAGCCATATGCTTCCCTGGCTTGAAAAGGAGACAGCTGCGACCCAAAAGGACTCCATCTTTCAAGAGGACAACGCCTCATACCAAGTTCTATAAGTTAAAGAGTATGGTTGCAACCTTTAATTTTTGGCCCGCCCAGAGCTCTAATCTTACTCCTATTGAAAACATTTGGCCATACTTGAAACTTCGTATACACAAGCGCAAGAGTGATATTAAGAATTTGAAACAATTAGAACAGGTATTGAGGCACGAATGGGAATATATTGATCCTCAATACCTTCATACACTTGTTTCAAGTATGTTTAATAGATGTGCTGCCGTCATTAAGGCTAGAGGAGAGGGGGTACTCTAAATATTGATTTTTTTACAATAAAACATGTCTCTCTTTAGTCCTTATATACAGAATTTGACACGATCCTTATTATAAAATAGTCACCTTAACGTGTATGCATTTCATTCTTTTTATATATATATATATTAGTGTAACTTTATTGACAATATTTTAAGCAACAATTAGATTAATATGCTGGAATTTATCCAAGCATAAGTTTAGTGCTCCTGTGGAATTCCACAGCTCTTCCTCGAAGAAGCATAACCAGTGATAATGCCATAGTGCTGCAAGGCCAGCTCCTATAGAGAATAGCACTTTGTCTTGATAACGAGCGTTATCTATAGAAGTCAAGGATATTAGGGCTTGTCACAAAGACATAGGTGTAGGGAATACCTTACTCAAATTAACATGAGCGAGGTAAGCTTCTCAGTAGCTCCATTTGAAGCTGTAGTCAGCGAACATATGAAACTGAGTTTCAGCTTCAGAACCAAATGTAGACTCAGAATTCGTATTGAATACATAGTTAGTACATAAACTTTCGTAGTTCATAATAATAAAAAGACTCAAATTATTTGATTCCACTTCGCGGATAGCCAAATAGCCACCTTTAGTGGCTTAACAAAAAAAAAATATGGAAATAACACAAAAGAGTCTTTACGCCTTAAAGAATTACTGAGCATACTTTTTTCTAGCAAAAGAAAAAAGTCGAGGATGGACTTTAGATTTACTGAGTAACTTTTAAATAAAGAAGAGAAAATCAATTGAAGACTAAGCTTGCTTGAATAAGATATAAGATAATGCTCTATCGATTAAAGAACTGAAGATATTTATACTAAATGAAAATGTCGGTTGAATACATATGGAAAGATTGATCGAAGTACTTTGAAAGAGCGCGGCTGACGTGAATCACTCAGCTCACAGCAACAGAGCAATGGCTGCCTTTTACAGCTTTTATAACTCCTTCGTTTTCAGCTTTTGCAGTATTATGTTTATTTCTTCGCTTCAGTTACTAGACTGGTGGTAGGTTTCCTCCGAAACTTTCAAAAGATCTTGATGCTTTGCTTTCTCTTTTGAGGATTCTGACAATAGTCAAAAATAGCAAGCTTCCTTTCTCTTTTAATGGCAATTTATACGACCAGCAGCTTGCTTCTCTGGTCACAAATGAGAAGAGGACAGATACACAAGAAAAAAGCAGAATTGTCATGACCATGAGTAGCTATGATTACAGCAACCGCTTTGACTTCATCAAAGATATGGCCTGCACTGGAAGCGAGACTACAGATTGCTTTACTAAATGTATTATCAATGTCATTCTTGGTATTGAAGCTAATTTGACCTCCGTGAGCATTCAACGTTCAGAGATGCACGTACAGTCATCTTTCATGCATCCTCTAATCCGTGGAATTTGTAAATATTCTGCCAATGTAGTCGCTTATTGTCCTAATCAATTGGGTGTAGCGGATGGTGATCTTCATCTCCTTTCTGGTAGGCCCGACTACCGAGTGGATACGTACTTGCCACCACTCTATACCAGCAAGTATACAAGTCTTTTCGGTGATGTTAAACCCTTATCAAGCTCAAGCCGTGAAGTCGATTTTTTGATCAACTTTTATAAGATCTGTATCTTCATGAAGCTTGAGCTTAGACATAGTACAACAAAGGCTCAGTTGGGTTTCAGACAGTGGGAGCCGTTGTTATAAGAACAACAAGCTTCACTATGCTCATTGGTCAGATTGATACCGTTTATCGAATCTGCCAAATTTACGAAAATCATTGTACTGTCCTTGGCTCTTCAAGCTTGAACTCTGTCTCTTCGGACATTCCTCGTTCGCCAACCCTTCCTTTCTCTGTCTTGAAAGCTTTGCTTTCACAAAACAAGACAAGGTCTTCTAGCTTGAAGAGAAATCTAGATCAAATATCTTAACTTCTTTTCTCTTCTCTTCTTTCATTATTTCTTTCCCCTTTTCTCTATTTATGCATTATCATTATTGTTTTTGGTTTTTTTTTTGTTCTCCTTTATTATACACTGACCTGAAATAAAAGTTAGCCCAGTTTTTTCATTCAAACTCAGTAAAAAAGATATCATGATCCAAAAGCCCTTTATATACTTAAATGCGCTCAGTTTTTTGTGGATAATTTGTTGAGATGTTTATTTCAAGATAATGTAAGCAGAAAAAATCATTACTTGATGCTACAGCCTTAAACATCAATCACAACTTAGTATTAGTTGGTCATATTGTGTAGTAGTATGCATGTAATGATTTGAAGCAATTATGCAATTGACAAGATAAAGTGGTATTCAACTACTTCCTCGTATCCATGTCAATATTTTACGTAAGCTGGTTCATATATGCTACTAGTTTGCTTCTCTTTTATCTCCTCTCTATTTTCTGCTCTTTCTTATAACCTAATGTAAGTAACAATACAAATATTGCTTATGTATCTCATGCTCTGCTTAATTTCCAGAATTTAATTTTTGCTTTATTTTTTTCCACACGATTTTTTTTTCAATAAAATGTATTTATACCATTTTAAAAACAAACACCTCTAAGAGGTGGCACTATAAGATCTATACAGCAGCTGTAGAGATCTTGTTTAAAAGACAATGTATATCTTGCTATAAATATTTTGCTGCAGTTCTATAGAGAGGTCTTGATAGAATAAGGTGCCTGTCTTTTTTTATTTCATTCTTGATACTTTGGATGTACTTGATCGACATGGATGCTCTTACACGTCTCATATCAAATTGAAAAGCTAATGTTCAGCCAAGGATATGGATGTGTGTACCTTCCGCCATATTCTCCTGAGCCTAAACCTATCGAGCAATTTTGATCCATGGTCAAAGGTGAGATGGAAAGAGAGAAACTGTCGAAGGGAGACTTTGACTTCGAGGATAGTTGATGCTCGTCTATTTAGAAAATCTTTGTGGATTTTGTCGATACTCTGACTCAAAGTTACAAGTATGTTTGAATAAAGAGCCTCTCTAAGACTGCACAACTGTGCAGTTGAAATCCTGATGGTGTGCAACCTTTATTTTTTGTTGACGCTATATTTTTTTTCTCTTAGTGTGCAGTCTATAATCGGAAATGGTGTATATTCCCCCCCCCCCAATCTTGATGATGCATTTACTGGGGGCTATTTTAAGCTTCCCCAAATTACCATGTTGGGGATACAGCCAAAGCTAACAGAGATTAGGAGGGAAGCGGCATAAAGTCCTAAACCAGTTTTTAGACCTCGGCGGCAGACCATTTAAGGAATCTAATTGATGGCTCCCGGATAGCGAGTCACACCAACTTCTAAATAAATAAACATATAAGCTTTTCAATTCTCGCTTCCTCTTTTTTTTTCATCTTTTCATCCCTCTTTTTTTTTCGTACTTATCATATGTCTGCCAAACCCATCAGAGAATATGATGGTAAGCTTTTGTTAGCTCACCATCTTTTGCGTGCACCTCTTGTAGGTGGTCAACAAGAAGGTGCTTCTCTTTTTACTCCTGCTGCTACTAAATTGGCTCATATCAATGTAAACACTTCTCTTTTGGGTGATGCTGCTGCTTTTAATGCTGCTTTAAAGCAACAACTTGATAATCTCGAACAAACACATCCTTGGTTGTTGACAGATAAATTGGTTGCCAAGCCCGATCAATTGATCAAGCGTAGAGGAAAGCATGGTCTCTTGGCTCTTAACAAGGAATGGCCCGAAGCTCGTAAGTGGATTGAAGAACGCGCAGGCAAAGAAATCAAGGTAAAGATTCGTTCAAAAAAGACAGAAAAAAAATTTAGATGAAATTACTATATTTGGAGGTTTGATCGCGCATATCTAACTGATAATAACCTTAGATTGAAAGAACGACTGGTGTTCTCAAAACCTTTTTGGTTGAACCTTTTGCTCCCCACCCCGATAACACTGAATACTATATCTGTATCAACTCTGTTCGTGAAGGTGACTATATTCTCTTTACACATGAAGGTGGTATTGAAGTGGGTGATGTGGACGCCAAGGCCTTGAAGCTTTTGATTCCTGTTGCCAATACTGAGTTCCCCTCATCCGAAACGATCAAAGAAACTCTCTTGAAGGATGTGCCTGAATTCAAGCGCGATGTACTTGTTGATTTTATCCGTCGTCTCTATGCTGTCTATGTTGACCTTCATTTTACTTACCTTGAAATCAACCCCTTGGTCGTCACTGACCCTGTCGAAGGCCAAACTCCTCAAGTCATGTACCTCGATTTAGCCGCTAAACTCGATCAGACAGCTGAATTTGAAGCTGGCCCCAAGTGGGCTATTGCCAGAGCCCCTCAAAACATTGGTCTTGCTGTTACTGCTGACTCACAACATGTGGATCAAGGACCACCTATGGAATTTCCCGCTCCCTTTGGCCGTGAATTGACACGTGAAGAAGCTTACATTCAAGAATTAGATGGAAAGACCGGTGCTTCTCTTAAATTGACTGTGCTTAACAAGGATGGCCGCATCTGGACCATGGTTGCTGGTGGTGGTGCCTCTGTTGTCTATTCAGATGCCATTGCTGCCTTGGGCTATGCTGACCAACTTGCCAACTATGGTGAATACTCTGGTGCCCCTACCGAAACTCAAACTTACGAATACGCCAAGACCATTTTAGACTTGATGACTCGTGGTGATGTTCAACCTGAAGGTAAACTTTTATTTATTGGTGGTGGTATTGCCAACTTCACCAATGTGGCTACTACCTTCAAGGGTATCATTCGTGCCTTGACTGAATTCAAGCAGCCCCTTATTAACCACAAGGTCCGTATCTTTATTCGTCGTGGTGGTCCCAACTACCAAGAAGGTCTTCGTGCCATGCGTCAATTGGGTGAAACACTTGGTGTCGAAATCCAAGTCTTTGGTCCTGAAACTCACATTACTGAAATTGTTCCTTTGGCTTTAGAAGGCAAGGCTACCACACTCCAATCGAATTCTAATGCTTCTTCTGGTAACTTGTTCCAAGACCAAATCTTTGGCTCTGCTACTCCTTCCGGCACTAGTACCCCTAAGCTTACGATTGCTGAAGACAACCAAACACCTACCAACCCCAGTGAACGCATGACCTACTTTGAACAAACCCAAGAAGAATCAACTGAATGGTACCGCCCCTTCACTTCCAAGACGCGTGCCTTTGTGTATGGTATGCAACCCCGTGCTGTTCAAGGTATGCTTGACTTTGACTTTATGTGTAAGCGTGAGACTCCTTCTGTTGCTGCCATGGTCTATCCTTTCGGTGGCTCTCATGTTCAAAAGTTCTACTGGGGTACAAAGGAAACCTTGATTCCTGTCTTTACTTCTCTTAAAGATGCTGTTGAAAAGTTCCCTGAAGTCGATGTTGTTGTCAACTTTGCTTCTTGTCGTTCCGTCTTTGATTCTACACGCGAAATCTTTAGCTACTCTGAACAAATCAAGACCATTGCCATCATTGCTGAAGGTGTACCTGAACGCCGTGCTCGTCAATTGTTGCATGAAGCAGAAGCTCGTAAGGTCCTTGTGATTGGCCCTGCCACTGTAGGTGGTATCAAACCTGGTTGTTTCAAGATTGGTAACACGGGTGGTATGATGGATAACATTGTGTCTTCCAAGCTTTACAGAGCTGGTTCTGTTGGCTATGTTTCCAAGTCGGGTGGTATGTCTAACGAATTGAACAACATTATTTCTCGTACAACCGACGGTGTGTATGAAGGTGTTGCTATTGGTGGTGATCGTTATCCTGGCTCTACCTTTATTGACCACTTGTTGCGTTATGAAGAAGACCCCAACTGTAAGATGCTTGTCTTGCTTGGTGAAGTAGGTGGTGTTGAAGAATACCGTGTGATCGAAGCTGTCAAGAACGGTACTATCAAGAAGCCTATTGTCGCTTGGGCCATTGGTACTTGTGCCAAGATGTTCACGACCGATGTTCAATTTGGTCACGCTGGTTCCATGGCCAACTCTGACTTGGAAACTGCTGATGCCAAGAACAATGCTATGCGTGCTGCTGGTATTGTTGTGCCTGAGACGTTTGAAAAGATGCCTTTGGCTCTAGCTGACACTTACAACAAACTCGTCAAGGACGGTGTGATTCATCCTAAGGCTGAACCTGAAATTCCCAAGATCCCTATTGATTACTCTTGGGCTCAAGAACTTGGCTTGGTCCGTAAGCCTGCTAGTTTTGTTTCCACCATTGTGGACGACAGAGGTCAAGAATTATTGTATGCAGGTATGAGAATCACCGATGTCTTTTCAGAAAATCTTGGTATTGGTGGTGTGCTTTCTCTCTTGTGGTTTAAGCGTAGACTTCCCGACTATGCTTGTAAGTTTATTGAGATGGTCTTGATGTTGACTGCTGATCACGGTCCTGCTGTGTCTGGTGTAAGTATTATAAAGATGTTAAAACAGAATGGGATATTGACGTTGATGGATAGGCCATGAACACAATCATTACTACCCGTGCTGGTAAAGACTTGATTTCTTCTCTTGTGTCTGGTCTCTTGACGATCGGTGAACGTTTTGGTGGTGCTCTTGATGGTGCTGCTACCAACTTCACCAAGGCTTATGACAGTGGTTTAACGCCTCGCGAATTTGTCACTTCTATGCGTAAGGCAAACAAGTTGATCCCTGGTATTGGTCACAAGATTAAATCTCGCACTAACCCTGATATGCGTGTCGAATTGGTCAAGGAATACGTCAAGAAGAACTTCCCCAACACACCTATTCTCGATTACGCCTTAAAGGTTGAAGAAATCACCACAAGCAAGAAAGACAATTTGATCTTGAATGTTGATGGTTGTATTGCTGTCTCTTTTGTTGATCTTTTACGTGGTTCTGGTGCTTTCACTCCTGATGAAGCTGAAGAATACATGCGTATCGGTACTTTGAACGGTTTGTTTGTGCTTGGTCGTTCCCTTGGTTTCATTGGTCATCATTTGGATCAAAAGCGTTTGAAGCAAGGTCTTTACAGACATCCTTGGGATGATATTTCTTACCTTTTGCCTTCTTTGGATCCCGAGACCTTGGATCCTCGTCGTGTCAATGCTCGTGTGAATGTTCAACCCAAGCAAAAATAACTTTTGTAATTTAGATTCACTATTGTAAATTCTTTTTATTTAAATAAACAAACATGTAATACAGCGCATTTTATACGTCATACATTGGTGAGGATGATAACTTGGAGCACAAAATGTCGCTTGAATTTAAATGCCCGTTGGTGATAGTCAGAGTAGAGAGAGAGAGAGAAAAAGAAAGAGAGAGAGAAAGAGAAGAGGAGGGTAAATATTGGCTTGGATAGTGTTTATGTTCACAAAGATTAAGAGGAAAACCAAGTTACCATACTGTTTTTAGTAACAATGATGAAACGCACGTTCTTTTAAATAGCTTCTCTTTTTCTCTCCTTTTTCCCTTTTTTTCTCTCTTTCTTTTCTTAAAAAAATAAAATGGCGACATTAGAGGATACATCGGAAATCACTGAAGAAATTAAAGACAGCTATATTCGTCAAAATTTACCTGTGAGGCGTCAGAGTCTTATTGTCTACCAAGACAAACTAAGATCCGAACAACAAGATGAACAACCGAAAAGACACGCAAGTATGATGGACTTGTCAACAGCACCCCATACTACCAACAGACTCTATAACAGCAAATCAATGAATTCTCTATCTCCTAAAAAACATAACCGACCCAATCCACCACTTTCTATTCAAATTGATTCTCAAACGATACAGACAAGCAACAGTAGTCAAAGTAGTGGAAGCAGTTCTTCTGATTTCTTTATGGACACTCTTTTTGAAGAAGAACCACAACAGCCATCTCAAAGAATACCAAGATTTATTGGTAATAGAGCCATAAAGGGGGGGGCGTGTGGAGCGGGAAAAAGGGGAGAGCATATTTTTTTAAACTCACAATATAAATTAGGTCGTCTTAAACAAAGTAAATCGGACACAACTCACAGATACAACCCTACAAAAAGAAGACCGTCAGATGATACATCGAGTCCATTAGCACAATCATGGAACGATATGTCACAACCCCTCTTTAGACTAAAAAATGTATTTTCTCGTCTACAAACAACCAATAATAACTGTGATACTAGAAAGCGCACATCTATCTATAGTCAGGAATTACGAAAACGAAAAAACAAATGGACAGATAAAAAAAAGTCGGCGACTGTCTATACTGCCTTATTATCGCATGTATCCAGCGAATTTCTAAAGAGAATACAGTTATCTGCTATTGCTTTCAAAGACGGTATTCAATATCATGATGTCTTTAGTGGATCAGTAGCTGTGGTAAGTGATTTCGTCTTCTTTTTTTTTTCTCTTACTGATGTCCCTTACTAGGATTGTATTCTGGAAATCTTGAATACAAATGATCGGAATTTGGCCTTATTAGTGGGACGTGCACTTGAAAACCAAGGGTTTTTTCATCATGTCAATTATGACCATCGTCTAAGGGATTTGGAAATTGAACTTTATCAGTTCCAATATGTGAACAATACAGTCTATGATGCATTACCCACTGCCAGTTCCAATAAATTATTGCCACTTAAAAAGTCAAATCGAAAGCATGGTATATGAACACTTGCAACAGAAAGAAAGAAAGAAAAAAAAATCTAATAGGTCTATTAGTGCCATCGATTTGCGAAACCTTACCGATCAATGGTGTATTTTCTGTTCTTACGGATTGCTATTCGCCTACTTGCACACGAAAGAATCCGTGTTATAGCATCAGTTGTCCTAGAAAAATGACGAAAAACAAGGTTTGGGTCATTCATGGTTCATTACAGCATACTTATTGAATAGAATGTACAACGTCCTTTGAGTTCTTATTTTCTTCGGACAGAACAAGAGGTATTTTGTATTGACTCATTTTTTTTTGTTTATCATTTTACCTAGTTACAGCTAAGGTCTTTATGGAGACATTCTGTACCTTTGAATATCGTATTGGGCACCAATGATATTGAACAAAAACGTCAAGAATGCATTTATGAACTCATTTACACAGAGGATGATTTCACAAGAGATTTACACTATGTTCAAGATGTAAGACACCAACTGTTTTCTCCAATGACTCAACGCTTTCATTTAGTTTTGGATTGAACCTCTTTTACATGGTGATATTATACCTATCGAAAGAAGACATGAATTTATTACAGATGTCTTTTGGAATTGGGCAGATATTGAACGCATCAGCACAAACTTGTCCAAAGATCTCACGCTAAGACAAGACAAACATTCTGTGATACCTTGTATTGGTGATATCTTATTGGAACATGTTGAAGGGTTTGAACCATTTGTGATTTATGGTGCACATCAAATTATTGGCAAACATACATTCGAATTAGAAAAGAAGAGAAATCCCAAGTTTTTACAGTTTGTAGAAGTAAGGGTCCCCACAAAAAAAAAACTGTGTTACTCACTATGCATAAGAAATTGGAAAGACAACCTGAATCAAGGAGACTAGAGTTAAATGGTTATCTTACAAAACCTACCTCAAGGCTGGGACGATATAACCTGTTATTAAACGCAATTCATCAATTAACACCTAAAGAGCACAAAGACTATCAAGATATTCCTAAAGTGATTGATAAGATAACACGGTTCTTGGTTCAATTGAATAAGCGAGTAGGTTTATCAGATAATGCATTTCATTTAGAACAGATATCCAATCGTATTTTAGCCCCCAAGGGACATGTAAGCTTCAATATTTTTTTTTTTAGAATGTATGTGACTCATCTCAATAGAACTTGAATTTACTTGATCCTAAACGTCAACTCTTAATGAGAGGCAAAATGAAAAAGTGTGGCCAATACACAAACAAGAACACAAACCATGTTGTCATACCTTCATTACTGGATATTCAAGTCTTTTTGTTTGATCATTACCTTGTGTTTTGCAAGATTAAACATCAAGATGGACTTGATTATTATAAACTATACCAAAAACCTATTCTAGTCAAACATTTACATGCGTTTATACCACATTCTGGTAAGTGTACTATTTTGATTGTTTATATATATATATATATATATATTTATGCTCTTGTAGTGATTATTCCCCCCACAAAATCATTCAGTACATCACATATCTATAGTAAATTATCGCCCAGTACTTTTCAGAACAGTATTTCTGACATGACTCCTCCTCCACAAACAAAGACCCATGTGTTTCCTCTTAGTTTTTCAAACAAACAAGATACTTCTCCATCACCCATTACTTTCCTCGTCTCTACAGATTCAACTCGACATGTGTGGTTAAACAAGATAGAAGAAGCACAACAGCAACAATAACAACAATAGGATTGTACATAAATAAAAAACTAGACTTTAATGGCATAGACATACTACATATAGACATAAATAGGGTATATATATATATATAAAAACGAATGGAGTTGACAGCTTCTTCTTGTTTAGTGGTTGGCGTGGGGACAATGGTTTTCATGAGAGAATTGAGTAATATCGACGCCACATTTAGGGCAAAAATTATAGCCACTGTGATGATGTATGTTGAGGATATATGGTTGAATAATAAACATATTGAAGGGAAAAAGGTATATGATGTATATAGTGTCTGTATTTATAGTTGTTTTCTTGATCGGTTGATTAAAGCATATATATTGCAATTTATTACAATTCATTATTTATAGAGCACCTTTCTCCTATAAAAAGTGAGGGACCCCGTTCAACCCTTTATTATGAAAACAACCAATTCTTTCACTCTCCTTATGATGTTACACACTCATTTGAAAGCCACAGTCAATATATAGAAAAGAAAAGGCAAATACGTCATAGAAACTATTAATACTTTCACAAGATGGTAATACATTTGATTGAAGAAAATAGTCTAATTTTATTTAGACAGAGGCTTGAGGAGTGGGTTCAACAAAGTCCTTGGAGGCCTTGGCACCAGTATCATCACCAGCAGCAGCGGCACCACCGTGAAGAGCCAAGAGAGCAGAGACATCGAACTTGGGAGCCTTGAGGATCTTGACCTTACGAGTGTAGGTGTTTTGGAGAGGGTAGATACCTTGACAGGCCTTTTCGATGCGGACAGCAATGGCATCTTGAGCGGATTGAGAAGCAGAGGAGGTAACCTTAGCAACCAATTCCTTCAAGTCACAAGCAGAGGCTTCTTCAGTCATAATCTCGAACATCTTCTTACGGATTTGACGGATTTGAGCAGAAGTAGCATAGGTGGTCTTCTTGATTTGGTTACGGCGACGAGCAGTGAAGGAGATGGCAAAGAGACGGACGAGGTAACCGTCAGTGGTCTTGACATCAACGAAAGCTTCAACCAAAGATTGCCACTTCTTGACCATAGAACGGAGCTTGTCGGTGGTCATGTCCATACGGTAGAAGTTGGTAAGACAGTTCTTACCTTGGATTTCGTCAACCTTCAATTGGATCTTACGGAAGGAGCGAGATTCGTCCTTGGAGAGATCACCAAGAGACATTTCGACAACACGACCTTGGAGGGAGTCGTTGGCGTTACGGAGACCTTGAGTACGGTTGACAAGAGTCTTACCGACTTGACGGACATCGAACATAGAAGGAGCCTTGATATCGTACCAGTCCTTACGGGTGAAGGGATCAACACTACACAAGATAATTAATAAGTGTTCTCGATAAAAGAGTATTGCATAGAAATTCGAATGAGTGTTGTCATGTGTTGCACAGGTCATGTCGTATTGTTCGCTTTAAAATCCAACACATCAAGTACTGTCCACTCGTTCAATTTCATATGCTAAAGTTGTTTACTTACACCTTCTTCTTCAAACCCTTCTTTCCTTTACTAAGACGCCTATCATGGTGAATGAAGGTTAATAATCACGCACTTTCATCCATGTCGAATAAGAAAAAAAAGATTGCTTACTTGTTCTTGCCAACAGCTAGAATAAAAAAAGAGAGAATCAAACAGACGGTTAGAACATGTTATCTAATGGATGGATGGATGCCTGATGCACGTACCCATGATGTACTATGGATTAAAAAGAGGGATTATAGGGTTGTCAGCTTGTCATTGATTTAACTCTCGTAGTGAATTTGTATCTTCGCACTGCTCGCACATTATTTTCAAACCCCGTTTAGTGCCTTTTTTTTTTTTTTTAAAAAGAATCACTGTCACTGCATGAACATACACTGAACTTGAATTCCTTTAGTTTACAGTCAAGTAGAACGAAAGCAATGCACCATTCATCTGATATGGCATGTTGTCGTCTCACTAGTGAATTAAAAAAGAACAGCTTATTTGAGTAATTCGTAAGAAACGAGAACTGTGTTGCTTTGGGCATTTGCCTACAGTTAGAAAATGGTCACCTATTCTAGTCTAAAAATGAATTCTTGCATGCAAAATAGTCCCTTTTCAGTGACACATTTGACTTGGAAAGCCAAAGGAAAGTAAGGTTGACAATTGTTTTCTTTAAGATTGCCGTCTTTATTCATTTTGTTATAGTCGACGTTTGTTGGATTAGCAATGAAAGAAGGAGGTACTTTTTGAAAAAGATAATAGCTCACTTTTTTGGCTACATCTATTGCAGTATGTCTTATCTACAAAAGGGTAAAGAGTGTGTCTTAACTGTACATCGTCTCGAATCTATGCACTAGAGCGGTTTGTTCTGATGTGTTTCATTCTTTTGAAGCTTTGTAAGGAAAACCATCTTTTGCAAAAAAAGATAATATGGTTTCGCGTTTGAGGGGATGTATGCTCAATTGATTTGGACTGTATCTATAAGCAAATAGAGTATTCGACTTGGGAGATATATTGTCAATGAGTCATCGAAGACAATCGCATGCATCATCTAGTTCATCCTTGGTGAATAGGTGTGCCTTCTCAAATAAAGCTTTGACTTATTTGATTTCTAACCAAGTCATTGTCTTTCTCATGTGGGTTGAGTCATACAAGATGGTATTACATCTGTTTTCACAGAAAGAGATAAAGATGAGCTTGATGTAAGATACACCTCGCGATAAGTTCGAAAGGAGTATCAATGTAGCAAGAGCTGTTGCTGTTGGAATGGAAGAGAAGACGTTGGAAGTTTCCCTTGAAAAGAATGCCATCTTTAGATGTCTCATGCAATATTAGGTAAACTGAAATTGTCTCTAAATTCAAGAGAACAGACCATCTGTTTATTATGTCTGCGCTCTTTTATCAAGAAAAGAAAAAAAAAACCATTAGGAGGTTTCTCAGTGGCTTATGGAGAGAGGAGAGAGAGGAGAGAGGAGAGGATCCAATTGTCTACGTGACTTGAGTCACAGTCACAAAATCAACGAATTTTTATGAGTGTAGAGTGCGAGTGCTTTATTTTTCGTTGCATATTCTTAAACGCGTTTCTTTAAGATACAAAACAGGAATATGATGCTGACTTATTCATCGTATAATTCATACATTCTTGCCTCCAACAGTCTGCTACTGATGGCTTTTTTCTTGGTCAATTACTACGCCACAGCATGGAACATGCGTGCGCTTGAATACGTGTTGAGTTTACGCCTTGTGGTGATGTCAGGCAAGTACATGCTTATTTTGTTACTGTTGACCTAATATGCCCTTTAGAAAGAATTGTTTCAATGATTGCTTTTATTAATATCTGGTATGCCTCTAGGGGTATTGCAAACCCTTTCTTATCCTTTGTTGCTTTTCCTGTTAAACAATACTACTTGAGTAAGTCGATTGAATGTATTTATTGTATGTTATCTCACTCTGTATAGCTGCTGGACCTCTTTCAACTGCACTTGAAAAATTTGTGCATTCTATTCGATCAGGTAAACGACAAAGAATGATAAACACGCTTATTCATCCATCGTTTAGAATCCATCTCAAACAAGCCAACGCCATCTGTACCATCAACACCAACTACACCTGTAGTGAATGAAGAATCAAAAGAAGAAGCCTTTATGAAGTTGTTTTCTAGTCCTCAAAACAAACCACAAAAACAACCTTCTTACACTTTACCACACGCTAAACCCAAAACTGGATTAGAACCTGATCATTCTTTTCATACTGTATTTAACCAAATGTTATCTGCAACAACAGATCAATCTAGTATTCAGCAAAGAAATGTAGCCCAAGCTGAACTTAGGCAATTGTTTACCAATGATGCTCATTCTACTTGTACTAAGCCCATTACGATGACAAACAACTTGGTCATGACAGAACAACAACAAGAACAACAAGAACAACCATCTCATGTGCCTAAACTTCAATATACACCTTGTGTTCGACCTCCTATCAAACCCTCTCAACACCGTGAACGTCTGTTGTGGTTCTTGTCTCCTACTGCTGAAGTAGTAGAAGACTTCAGAATTGAACAAATGATTCAATTTCAACAAAACTGGCATAAATTCAATGATCGTACTTCGCGTGTACACTATGATAAAATGACAGATGTAAAGTATATCTTTGTGTGTTATGACTGATCCATATTGCATAGATTCTATTAAGCAAGATCTTTAAACCTTTGGCTGAATCCATTCATATCTATAATGAAATCCTTGCTTCTACAGGCCGTAATTTAGCCAATTGTCCTCCTAGTACAGCCATGTTTTCTTTGATGATGCCTCATGTAAGTTTAGTTTTTGATGATGAATAGCCTATTCATGATAATAGACCTCTACCATTGCTTTTAATATTCCTGAAATTGAAAACTTCATCAACATCAATGGTTATGCTAACCCTGAAGGAAGACAGTATGTCATGGACCGTATCAAGGAACTGGCTTCTAGTCATCGTATGGCTGCTTATCGTTTTACACCTAAAGCGCAGGGTATGCCTACAGATGCTCAGATCATTATCCATATCTTTACACATTATTTGAGTATCAAAGAACCTTATGCTATTCCTCCTTTGGTTCCTGTAGAAGGCGACTTGTTCAAGTTCTTATTAATTTATGTCAAGATTACACCAGAGTAAGTTTAGTTTCTTATGAGTTATATGCTTATCCTCTTTCTTTATTTTAATAGGTTGGATCATTGGCGATTGTAGATTTTTATAAATAAACTATATTTTTTTTTTTTCTTTTTCTTTTATTATTTTTACGAACATGTTCAAAAGACAGTTTCATTCGACGCGATCTTTGTTTTATCCTCGGGGCAACATAAAACCTCATTGGGGTCATTATGAACGACTTGTGCCTGCTTCTTTAGGAATCACAAACGTGAGACAGATGCCTCGTCGTCTTGTTCCTTCTCATATTGCTTATCCACCTTATGCATTTCAAGGCACTTCTTCTCATTGGGGACCTGATGTTGCCATGATCCAGACTGATCAAGAACACCAAAAGATGTATGCAGCATGTCAATTAGCCAAAAAGATCTTACAACTTGGTTCTACCATGTGTCAAGTAGGCATCACAACCAATACGATCGATCGTGTTCTTCATCAGGCTATAGTAGATCATGGTGCTTATCCTTCACCACTCAACTACATGGGGTTCCCCAAGAGTGTATGCACTTCTATCAATAACGTGATTGCCCATGGTATTCCTGATGATAGACCATTAAAAGAAGGTGATTTGATTAACATTGATGTGACGGTAAGGTGCGTTGACTATCACACACACACATATATAACTGACACATCGGCATAGGTTTATTTGGATGGCTATCATGGCGATACATCAGCTACTTTTCTAGTAGGACAAGTGGATGAGAAAGGAAAGGCATTGGTAGCATGTACAAAAGAGGCACTAGATAAAGCCATTGCTATTTGTGGACCTGGTGTTCCCTATAAAGAGATTGGCAGAGTGATTTGGTAAGTGTATGTTATGACACTGCATATCTTAAACAAGGGTCTAGTGAACATGCTTCTAAGCATGGATTTACTGTATCTGATGAATTATCAGGACATGGTATTGGTAAAGAATTCCATAGTTTACCCTTGATCTATCATCATGGTATGTTCAATCATGTCTTTTGTTTATTCATTTCTAGTAGTCAATGATGAACAAGGCAGTATGGTATCAGGCACTACATTTACTATTGTAAGTAACAAAACAAGTCATGGTGTCTGATGACATGTAGGAACCTATTCTATGCCAAGGATCAGCAACAGGTATTATGTGGCCAGATCAATGGACCATTTCAACAGTCGACGGAGGCAGAAGTGCACAATTTGAACATACAGTAAGCCTTTGTTTCTCTCTTAGCTTATTTAAACTAACATTCCTATAGTTATTAGTGGATGATGATGGAGTACAGATATTGACTGAATAAAATAAAATCGCAGTATCATGATCATGGGGTCTATTTAATTGGTGTTCCGTCATTACGACATTCTTTTTTCTTTTCTTTTACTTTTATTACGATGAAATTACCGACTTTAACACTTGTACTTGTTACTGTGCTTGGATTAGCCAATGCTAGCTATTTGCCTGGTTTAGTGGTTCAACAGGATGATGTTGGATTTACTTTGGGTGATTCTACTAAATTGATTACTAGTTGTGGTGATGATAAAGACATTTTAAGGTAAAATACGAGTCTCCATCATATACGTATTCACAAACCATAGTATTGACCATATTGGTTTATCGCCTGATCCTCCAGTCAAAGGACAAGACCTTCAGATTGATTTCAAGGGCTATTTGTCCGAAACTGTGCCTAATGGTACGGTTGTTGATATCATTGTCAAGTATGGTGTTGTCAAATTGATTCAAAAGACATTTGATTTCTGTGACAAAATTCAAGAAGTGGATGAAAAGTGCCCTATTCCTCAAGGTGAATTGACGTTTACCAAAGTAGTCTCTTTACCTAAAGAAATTCCTCCTGGAAAGTACACAGTGCATGCTGAAGTATACACACCAGAAAAGAAGAGAGTTACTTGTCTTATTGGTCAAACAGTCTTTCCTCGTACTCGCTTCGAATAAGCGCTCTTTATTATTTTTTGATATTTGGAATAGCTAGTTTTGCTTTTTCCTTGTATTTGTGTTGTAAATCTTCAAGTGTTTTTTCAAATAAATGTCTTATGGTTTCTACTTGTTTACTATAATCTTCTACTATGCTATTCAACACATATTGACCATTATCTAATAACAAAATATAGTCAGGCATATGTATATGTTTTATGGACCTCAAATACATACCTGATATAAGTGTGTCTTTGTTGGGTAATTCTTTCGAGGGTTGTTTGACAATCGTATAGTGAGGTAACAAGTCCTGTTGGAGTATGTGTGAGTACAAGGCAGCATTGGATTTTGACTTACTTTATAAATGTAGTCTTGTAATACAAGATCGCGAGGATCAGCCTGAATTTCTTCAGAATCTGAACTGATATCCATGTCTTCAATCTCACCATCTTCCAAGATATGTATCTGTTGTACTGGCAAATACCCAAGAAGATACGACTGAGGCAATTCTATGGTCGATCGAAATTGGTATTCTTCTGTTTTGTGGGATAGCCATGAAGCAACATTAGCAGCCACTTGAGCGTTCAGTGTTTCATAGGCTGTCACATCAGGCCATTCATTCTCCTTTGTAAACAAGGTCTTGAATATTTCTGACTTGAAGACAGCAGTAGACATGCTATAGTTCTTAAGCAATTCAAATGCTTTCATCTCTACTGAACCCAAGGCAATCATCCAAACAATAGGCGGTGGTTGTCCTTGCGTACCATGGAGTTTCTCAAACACGTCTCTTTTACGGGCAATACGCACATCCAAGCACAACACCATATCAACAGAAGCATTGAATTCTCCGACTGCTTGTGAGGATCTTGACATGGGCTGTGGTTTTGTCCTGACAACCACACCATATTCGCCATCCCATGTATCGTCCAAGGCATAATTCAATCGTGTACAGCACAACCGAAGATCTGCACGGATCAGTTCCCATAAAACAGCTTCGTCATTGATGTCTTTTGTGATGATGGCCAGATACAAATCTTGGTCTTTTAGCTGTTGAAGTAAATGATACACAAAACAAGTTTTGCCTGAATGCGACCATTGTTCTTTGTAGTCGAGGTCAATCATGGAAGTAGGCAAATTGAGTGCTTGAATGGCTCTGTCGAAATTGGTGTTGAAGAACATGGAGGCTTGAGCGCGAGAGTCGCTGACAATCACATTCGATTCTTGGACTTGGTCGGGTGTGCTAAAGATGGGAATGATAGAGGTTGGGTATGCGTAAATAGGTGTGCCTTTTGTTGATAGATCTGTGCTGAATTGATCCTGTTTGTACCAAATTGAATCTGTGGATGAAGTGGGTGGTTGTTTTGGTTGAGTATTAGATTGCTCTGGCTGTACAGAAGGTTGCACTGGTTGAGTATTAGACTGCTCTGGCTGTACAGAAGGTTGCTCTGGTTGAGTATTAGATTGCTCTGGCTGTACAGAAGGTTGCTCTGGTTGTACAGAAGGCTGCACTGCTGGTGGTGGCGCTGATTGTGTTTCAGCTGGTACTGATGGTACTTCTACTGGTACTGATGGCATGTTTTCTACAGGTGCGATAGTCTGTTCTACTTGCTTAGAAACAGGTATTGAATTACCCTGCTCTTCTTCTTCTATCTCCATCAAATCACTCATATTAAACTCTGATAATTCCTTTCTTCTCTCTCGATAAGCTGATAAATCAAACACAATCCCTTTAGGACCTGAGTCTTTAGGCTCTGTCTCTGTATCTGAATCTTCCAGAATATCCAAATGATCCACTGACAAGAGCATAGGTGCGTCTTCGGACGTAGGTATGTTATCCATATCAACATCGTCTAGATCTTTGAAGACCTCAAATAACTCGTGGGTGATGGGTTCTAAAAGCAATGGGTTGGCATTGTGTTTATTGAGAAGAGTAGATGAAAGGCGTTCAATACGTGCTTGTTCACTCAAGAATGAAGCAAGTTGGGATGAATCTAATGATGCAGAGATGGGTCTTGAATTAGATCTTTCTTGGAAAATCGGTAAATGCCCGTTCAAGAGTGTCATTGTAAAGAAAGAGAATAAGAAAGCATGGTTACGTGACGTTTGTTCTTTTTTTATGAATAAAAAAAAAAAGAATGCGCTACTTTAATTCTGGGCTGGGTGTTGTTGAGTGCCTTGGTCAGGGACATTGGAGTCCTAAATCAAAGACTTTTTCTCTTTAAAGCAACGAATTGACAATGTTATCTCCACCTTTCATGATTAGTTATAAGTACACTTTAGTTATGCTTTGGTTGCGTTTTCTTTTGATTGGCCAGAATCATTTTCCCAGTTTCGCTTAGGTTTCGTTTGCATGCTTAATGTCTCCTAAGCGATATGAGCAGCTTTTTTTTATCTGTGAAATTCCCTCCCAATTTGTGCTTTTGTTCTCATGTTTTTCCTTTCTTTAACTATACATTAATCAAAGAGTTGTTTCAAAAGACATGTAGCAACACAAAGAAATGCTTTAAATTAGGCATATAGATATACATTGAAATTGGGACTTTTCTCGCGAGATTTCATTGAGCCATGCAAATAAAATTGTAGATTTAAAGCTGAATGTATATTTTACTATAGAAAAAAGAAAACGGGTAATTCAACTGGAGTTGTGAGTATATAGTAATCTGTAACATGTTGAATGCATATGCTAATGGACACCTTTCATGTAGTATCTATCATAAAGTTGGAGTGCATTTCCTTCGCACTTTAACATCTTCATACGCAAACATCCCTTTCTTTAGCTTTAGGAAGCCAACAGCCTATCTAATATGACGATCTGTGTGGATAAGCAGCTTAATAGTACATCACTTATATTCATATAAAAAAGATACCAGCCAAATAGGTGCTTCCATAAGGGAAAAAAGACAACGGTTCATAAAAAGCTTTGTTTTTTTTGTTACTAACATAAAGGTCGTCTTTAGAGTTGATTTGGACAAAAAAAAATGAGTGACCTGCTTTTCAATCTTTTTTTTTTTCCTTCTTAAATCACAGAGGAATTTACAAAAACGCGTTTTCTTTATACAAATGTCATTTTCCTTTGGAGCACCTGCAACTACAAATACTTTTGGTGGCTTCGGCACATCTCAACCAGCAGCTCCTGCCACTACAAGTACGTTTGGTGGTTTTGGTACTTCTCAGCCAGCAGCTCCTGCCACTGGTTTTGGAACAACAACAACAACAACAGGTTTTGGAGCACCTGCAACTTCTACTCCTTCCACCGGTTTTTCATTTGGTACTTCTCAGCCAGCAGCCCCTACCAGTGGCTTTGGAACAACAGCGACAACAACTTCTACTCCCTCCACTGGTTTTTCGTTTGGGGCAGCCACAAGCACTGCACCTTCATTTGGAACCACTACAACAGCTATTTCCACAGCTCCTTCTACTGGTTTCTCATTTGGAACATCTGCAACCTCAACACAACCCACCACCAGTCTGTTTGGCACAACAAATACAGGCTTTGGCGCCAACCTATCTTTTGGTAACAAACCTACCGCCAATGTGTTTGGTACAACAGGCGTCAATAACCAACAACAAAGAGCACAACAAGTCTATCAATTACTGACTCAAGTCGATCAAGAAGAACGGGCTAAGCTTCAACTTTCGATTGCCAGTGAAGACTATAAGCCTGATAATGTATGGCATGCACTTGCTCTATTAAAGTCTTGGTGGAACCCTGCTTCACCCAATTGCCGTTTTCGACATTACTTTTATAATGTGGTGCCTGCTGACCAAGTGCATTTGTATCAAAAACCCGCAGATCATGATCAAGCAGCATGGGATGCAGCTCAGGCAGCCAATCCAGATCCAAAGACCATGGTACCTGCCTTGGCTGTCGGATTTGAAGATGTTGATAAACGTATGCAAGAACAACAAAAGATGAGTGAAGCTCATACTGCTAAATTGGCCGAAGTTCAAACATTGTTAAAAGAAGTTCAACGAAAAGATCAGCTAGTAACAGCAGTCAAATTAGAAGAATCTAAACGTAGACATATGCAGACAAGACAACGTGTGATTACAGTAAGTGAAAGCATCCTTTTTATGATGTCACTCAGTGTCTTTTACTAGTTATTGAAATATGCTCAAGTGTTGCGTAACAAGGGCTTGAGTATTACACCTGAAGAAGAGAAGATGCGTGCACAACTTGAGGGCATGCAGGATCAATTAGAGCGTTCAGAACAATTCCATGGCAAATTAAGTCAACTATGGGCTCAATTGCAATTGATTAAGGAATCTGGGAGAAAGTATGGTAAAATTGATGGTGTTGATGAATGGGATGCTGTGAGTGAAGAAGACATGTCTGGTATAACAAAGGTAGGTTAAGGATACCCTATCAACCCCATTACTTAGGCTCTATTAGATATTGGAAGAACAAAACAATGGTGTACAACATATCGTTCAAGTACTTGAAACGGATGAAAAAGAAGTTGATCAACTTCATAAGGCTTTGGGCCATCAATACCACACTTATTAGTCAATAAAGGCATCTAGAGAAGTCCTTTCCTTGAAGATTGTTCAGCAGTTCAATAAGTCACATGACCTATCCTCTTTTTGATGCTGTCCACATGGATTTTTAACTACTGAGTTTTTATCTCAAATTAATTTTCTTTTTCTCTCTGAACCATCATGTCAAATATCACAGAGATTATACGAAAACGTAAGCTTCTTAAAGACATGAGTGATGACTTACTTTGATTAGGTCTGATGGACACCATCAGGTCTATCCAGCCACCAGGCAAATGGAAGATTATTGTGGTTGATTCAAAAAGTATTCAGATCATCAATGCTGCTTGCAAGATGTATGATATTCTTGAAGAGAATGTAAGTTGGATAGGATCCCATCTTGATTTATTCATATGTTATAGGTGACATGTAAGACAGACACATTGATACGTTATTTACATCTATAGTGGTTGAGAACATTGAAAAGAAGCGTCAACCTTATCCTTCTTTAGAAGCCATCTATTTCTTAACACCTTGTCGTGAATCTATCTTGAGACTGGTAGATGACTTTACTACAAAACCACCCACTTATAAAGCAGCCCATGTTCATTTCATGAGTGGTAAGAAGTGTTGTATCAACGTGGGATTGATCATGACTAGGTCTTAGTGATGAGGTGTTTGCAGATTTGAACAAGAGACTCAAGGCAACTGGTGCCTCACAATATGTCTTGAGCCTAAAAGAACTCTACGTTGACTTTATGGGTGAGTGATCACGATCAATTCAATTCAAACTCACTCGACTTAGTGAATGAATCCTCAGTATTTACTGTTGAGCCTACCACTAGTTTCTTGTCTACCTTTGGAGACATAGATCCTGAAGCATCCCTTCGAGTCACGGCCAAACAGGTAACCTAGAAGCATGTGTTCATTTGCCTAAATTATAAACAGCTACTCTCTGTATGTGCTACACTAGGTGAGGACCCCATCATTCGTTATCAGGCACCCATGGAGGGCATACAAGCTTCTCCTGCTGCTAAATTAGCACACATTGTTCAAAAAGAAATTGATTATTTCTGCCGCATTAACCCCAATTTCCCTGTAAGTGAATGGCATGGGCATCCTACATATTTACATACTTGTTAGCCTCCTCGTCATCCTCCTCAACCAAGAGCAACGTTATTGATTGTGGATCGATCCATTGACCCTGTAGCACCCTTACTGCATGAATTTACGTACCAAGCCATGATCAATGACTTACTTGATGTGCAACCCACAGACACAGGTATCAAATACACGTATGAATTCAATCAGGCAGATGGCAGTATGGGCACCAAAGAGGTTGTGTTGGACGAAGAAGATAACGTGTATCGATCCATTCGACATATGCATATTGCAGAGTGTTCTGACCATCTGATTGAGAAGTTTAATGAATTCTTGGCAGAGAACAAAGCAGCCACAGGCGACAGAGACCCCACAAAAGATTCTGCCAAGAGTCTCAAGGAAATGAAGGACATGTTGACCAATTTACCTCAATTCCAAGACATGAAGGCAAAAGTAAGTCATGGTCAAACGCGTATTTATGTATTGACTGTATCTTAGTATTCGGCTCATTTGAGCATTGCACAAGAATGCATGTCGTTTTTTGAAAGACACAAGTTGAATTCAGTAGGTAATTTAGAGCAAAATATGGCTACAGGCGAAACAGCAGATGGAGAGACACCCAAGACCATTGTGCTTGATATGGTGCCCTTGTTGGACGATCCTCATGTGAGTCCGGTAGATAAAGCACGCTTGTTGATGTTGTATATTATTTGGAAAGAAGGAGGTATCTTTGAAGATGATAAGCGCAAACTACTAGAACATGCTAAACTCAAGGGTGAACTACGTGATGCGATTCACAATCTGCCTTTGATTGGTGTCAAGTTAACACGTATTCGTAAGCCTGAAAGATCTTCTTTTCTAAAGAAGAGAAGACAGAGAAGAAGCAAGGATGAAGAGACACCTTATGAACTATCTCGCTATATACCCATTTTAAAGAAAGTGATGGAGGTAAAGCAAAGACTGTATGTTGAATACTAGAGTTCTCATCAACACTCTCTAGGCACATGTCAACAATACGTTAGATCCTAAGCAGTTTGCATTTACACGTCAATCCGATATGGACTCTTCTGAAGATTCACCTGGACAAGGCGGTATTCCTACCAGTGGTGTCTCTCTTCGTACGACGAAACCTACATGGGCCAAACGAACCAACAGTACCTCTGTAAGTCGAAACAAACAAAAACAGAAAAAAGCATCTTATGTTGTGTATAGGGCATGCCTCGCACTACCACAGGTGCTAAATTGATTGTGTTTGTTATTGGTGGCGCTACTTATTCTGAAATTCGATCTGCTTATGAAATTGGACAAACATACAATAGAGACATCATTCTAGGCACCACAGAAATCTTGCGTCCTACTACCTTTGTTGAACATTTAGGTCAGCTCAAACAACCTTTACCTCTTTCTCCTTCTGTGATTCCACCTTATGTGGCACCTCCTCCTCCTCCTCCTCTTTCTCAGCCTAAACCCAGTCATGAATCAATCCATAAGGCCACCTCTCTCATGTCACAGTTACATGTCAGTACACCTTCTCCTCATTTAAGCAACAAGAGCAGCAGTCTCTCTCTCTCGACTGTCTCTGACCAATCAACCCATACAGAAGAAAAAGAGAAAAAGAAAAAGAAAGGATTAAAACGATTTTTTAATGAATCAATAAACTAAGCCGTCTTTTTCACTCTAGGTTTGGGTAAAAAGTGATGTGCACCTAAAATCAGAGGGATAGCCAAATGACCCAAGAACCAGACACTTTTATAAGCCGTGAATGATTTACCGACCTTCAGGAGTTCAAAGCCGACTACAGCATACGTGATGGTCAATTGACACGTAAGCCAAGCGAGGGCTTTCCATGCATAAAAGTACACTTCATTTTGTTTGGTATAAGGTTGAACAACAGGCAAGAGACGGGCACGAAGGACTTGTTCGCATGCCACATAGAGAAATTCAAGCGCAAACGTAACAAAGTACATGATATGAAAACCATGCCAAATGGCCAAAAAGAACAAGGTACCGAATTGAGAGGCTTGTTTGTTACCAAGGAATTTGAGACGTTTAAAGACGTAATATTTGGACCAGAGATTCGTGTTGATATTAAAGGCACTGATGATATGGTCGATGGAAGTCGCTGTTTCATAAGTGGCAGGCAATGTGTTAGCTAAACCGCCAAAGAGAGCATGTCCTTCTTCATCGTCCCCTTCATAGGAAATACCATAAGCTGCAGTGGCACCTACACAAAACATGGATTTAATTTGGGGATGTGGGTAACACACACACAAACCTTACCTTCTGTCAATAACCAGATACCAATGTATTTGTTGTAAGCGAATTTACCAGCAACAACAAAAATCAAGGCACGCTTCAAGAATCCAAATGACTGGTATTCTTCAGTCAACAGATAAGAAGTAGAATAAGCAGCACCCACTGTTTGTTGCAAGGCCAGATAGACAACGGCCAAAGCAACACAGCGAATCACATAGGCTGTTTGAGCACGCTCTCTTTCCTCTTTTTGTTCTAATGTCAAGTCTAAATAGCTTGTTTGGATCCATTTCTTGAATAGCGAATAAGAGAATTGAGGACCCACCAGGAAAGCAGAAGGAAACACACAATAAGCCAAAAGTTCAACAAAGGTAGGAAGGTGCGTCAGAGGTGTGTCAGCCAAGAAAGACAAGGGCAGAACCACAGGCGGCTTCTTATCGGCTGTTTTTCGGATGGCTGTCTTGTTCGTCTCACCTGTTTGAACAGGACCAGCCATGGTCACCCGTTGACGTCCATCATAATAATCAAATGCGAATCCCATCATACGCAAACACAAAATACATTGTGTCATGGTCCAAGTGATATCATAATCATCTGTCTGCATAAAGTAATAACCCAACAACAAATACAAGGCATTCAAGATCCACACACCTGTGGCTGCTAATTTACGGTCACCGAGTTGTTCACCGACAACAAGGCAGATAACATAACTAGCGCCGACTGTGATCAATGTATGAATGATACTGAACCCATTAAAAAAAAAATTGAGTGCGAGACCTGATAATAAAATAAATTGAGTGCGCTCTTGAGGTGTGGACGCATGTTGAGTCGAGAATCGTGTGTGGTATAGATTGGCAGTAGGATAAGCCAGTACCAATGTGAGTAACAATCGAAGTGTAGGTTCAGGTAAACCAGACACTTTACTCAACACGCTTGTGATAGGATTCATCATGATGAAGAAAAGGTTAAAAAAATAAATCATCCCCCCCCTCCCTATCCTTTTTGTTTATGACTGTTATCACAGACTATGTGTAACCATTATGCCGAGCTTTATTGTTCGTAATCATCTGCTTGAAATCGAGACAGTTGCCATTTAAAACGAGTCGCTGTGCCTGGATAAAGATTGATGACTTGTCCCTTTGGGTTTTTGTACCAAGAAGTACATGTATGTGTCCAAGAAGTGCCTGTAAACCGAGATCTTAATTTGGCCATATAATCGCTTTGTGCTTGTTGTTTGGGTTCAATCCATCTCGATTTAAACCAGATTTCCTTGATGCATTGGATAGCGTAATTCACTTGCCTAAATAAGCATAAGTGGTTTGAGTTACATTTGATTTATACTTGCGTTTCAGCCATCAAGACAACAGAAGTATGGCCTACATAAGCATAAGGACCCAATAGCATAAAAAAGTTGGGAAAGCCATGGATCGTTGTTGATTTATACAGTTCTGGTAACTCTTGTTCCCAGAGTTCTGACAATGATTGGCTTTGTTTGCCGATAACTAGTGGTACGTTAGGTACAGAGCATAGGCTATTTTGCTACACTTACTCTCCATACCACTCAACATACCATGGTTGGTCTTAAATCCAGTACCCAAGACCAAAATATCCACTTGTTTTTGAGTGCCGTCTTCTGCTATGATAGTATTATCCTGAATTTGTTTGATAGGTACATCTACTATGGAGACATGGGGCTGTGTCATGATCTGATAATAATCATTGGAGAAAGCACCTCGCTTACATCCCACAATATAATCTGGCTTTAATTTCTCTACCAGATCAGGACGCCCTAGTCTCTCCAACGTGTTTTGGTTTCCTTGCCAAATCTTGTGCTCAAAATACCGCGCTAGAAATGACTGAGGATAACCCAAGGAAACCCAAAGCAACTCAAACTAAACGCGATCAGTCCATTGAGTTTTCGAGTGCAACATACCAAGAGATAAAGGGTCCATCGATAGAATGTCATCAAGAAAGGAAACTGTCTAAATGCATTCTTGACTTTTTCAGGCACAAATGAAACAAATTTTGGTACGACCCAAGGAGCTGTTCTTTGAAAGACACTGAGATCAGCTGCCTTACTGGCCAAGTAAGGTAGTACTTGAATAGCACTAGTAAAGGCAAATGTCTCAGTCTTTTTTTTTTTTTGTTTTTTTTAATTTGCTTTTACCTTGCTCCACTACCTACTAAGGCCACGCGTTTACCTTGATAGTCTAAGGAACTATCCCAATTGGAGGTATGAACCACTGGACCTTTAAAGTCATGAAATACACTTGGTATGTTGGGTATCTGTAATGTACCTACAGCCGAAAACAACAGATCAAAATAAACTCTCTCAGTCACTCCACCGTGTTGGATGTCAAGTTGCCATTGTCTTTTGTCCTTTACCCATGTTGCCCTGATGACTTGAGTGCCTAATTTTGTATGTGCCATCATGTTGTATTTAGCACTGGTGGTCTCTAAATAATGCAAGATTTCTGGCTGAGGACTGAATGTCTTGGACCAATCTATCGAGTGGTTAATCCAATGTCAAACGAAAATACCACACTTGCTTGGGTTTAATTCAAAGCTATACGAATAAATATGACTTGCTACATCACATTCACATCCAGGATACGTATTTTTAAACCAAGTTCCTCCTATACCTGTGTTCTTTTCAAACACAGTAGCTGTTATACCAAGTTGTGTCTTAAGCTGAACAAAGGCACAAATACCACTGAACCTAGGATAGCTGAATAAAACAGAAGGTTTGTGCCTTGAGATGGTGCTTACCCTGCGCCTATAATAGCTACTGTAGGTTGATTCATAATAAGAAGAAAAAGAAGCTTTAAGAAAAGAATGATTTATATAGGTGACATGTTACACGTGTCTATATGCACTTTTAATAATAAAGGAGTATCATTTTACGATTTAAAATGATCGTCCTTCTTTAATAAACAGGTATCTGTCTCCCTTGATGTAAAAGGGAATTCTGCTTTTCCTTGCATAAAGAAGTATGATTGAGTTTGAAAATACTTGATAGCATTGTCTGCCAATAGTATCAAATGGCATGGGGGGAACTCGTTAGTTGCACTTCCATGTGATATCAGGCATTCTACAACTTACATGAACGAAAATCTTTTAAAACTCAGTTAATTCAGTGCCTTCCTTGGTTCTCCGAAAAATACCAGACGTATTTCTTTCTTGTTTGTTTCATTCACCAATGTCCACTACTTGGAGTATACAACAACTGTTTGGTTTACTTGATCATAATCAAGATGGCTTGATTGACACTCATGATCTTGTTGCCATCTGTGCATCACCGAATACACCACTTTTATTAAACAAGGTCAGATCTTGTATGGCTATCTTTTGTTTATATTGACATCTTGAATAGAATACACTGTTGGAAATACAGACACAATGCGATACTCAATCCCATCGATCCATTCCCTATACAGAATTTGCTTCTCTATTAAGCCAGAATGCTTTTACTGAAAAGATTTCATCGGAACAGCTCGGAAAAATCATGAATATTGTTGTAAACTATACAACATCACCAGAAACACAGTCTTATTTAGCCTCGGATACCATGAAACATTTGATTGCTGGTGGCTTTGCTGGTGCAGTGTCTCGTACCGTCGTGAGTCCTATGGAAAGAATGAAGATATTATTTCAAGTAAGCCAACTCTTTTTTTCGTCTGAAATCACATGAATTCATTGCCTTTATCAGGTACAAGGTCCAAATATGAATACGGCCTATACAGGCATATGGTCCACATTAGCACGCATGTGGCATGAAGAAGGTTGGCGTGGGTTTATGCGTGGTAATGGTACAAATGTGATTCGTATGATTCCCTACAGTGCTTCTCAATTTGCGGCTTATGAACAATTCAAATCCATGTTGCTCGAAAAAGACAAGGCAGAGCTCGATACGCCACGACGATTGATAGCAGGTGCATTTGCAGGCACAGTTTCTGTAGCCTGTACGTATCCCTTGGATCTTGTCCGTACACGTCTCTCAATTCAATCAGCTCATCTGTTAAAGGGTGCAACACAACAGTTACCGGGTATTATGCCTACCATGCAACTGATCTATCAAACAGAAGGTGGTATACGTGGTTTATACCGAGGATTATGGCCCACCACATTAGTAAGTAGGGTACAGTACGAATGATGATGACTCATGACCTATCAAGGGAGTGGCTCCTTATGTAGCACTGAATTTCCAATGTTATGAAGTCTTGAAAGAATACTTGATTCCTATTGAACAAGATCATGGCAACATTCGAAAGTTGTTTTGTGGTGCATTAGCAGGATCCATTGCTCAAACCATTATTTATCCTTTAGGTAAAGATGATCCTAGGTAGGGAATAGTTCACTAACAATAACAGATGTATTACGTAGACGATTTCAAGTGAGTGGTATGAATAATGTGGATTACAAGTACAATGGTACATGGGATGCACTTAGAACCATGGCTCAGAAAGAAGGTATAAAATCACTGTATAGAGGATTATTGCCCAATTATCTTAAAGTGGCACCTGCCATGGGCGTCACTTTTTATTCTTATGAATTATGTAAAGAACTACTTTATGCCAAATAGACACACACACATATATATACTTATTTTAGAATCATGTACACACTACCTGTTAATACTTATTTCAATAAACGTCTTTTACACTTTATTAGGAAAAGATTTTGTGTAGAACAATAAAATATTAAATTCTAGAAACTAAGCAGATTGCAAGAAAGAGCACAGAATAGAAGGGGCATGACGGATCAACAATATGATCCAACCAATACTAAGCTGTGACTAGTGCAAATAGTGGCTACATCAAATATCATTTTTGTTATGCTTCACGGTTTACAGTATTCTACTTTAGGAAACTTATTATTCATACATGGAAAGCATGCAATTTTTATTCTTGATTTCAAAAATCATGAAAAGATATTCAATATTTTTTTTTCTTTCTTTGTGCGTCTTCTATATCTTAAGGCTAGAAAGATCAGCTACAAGTTGACTAGGATCAAAGTCCCAAACAACCACCTTGCCATCTACACCACAAGTAGAAAACTTGGTCACATGATCACGGTCACCTTCATACACACGAATTTCACTATCAAAAAGTCAATACATGCATAACAACCAATGAGACACTTACTTGATGGTGTTCTGATGGACTGTGTTCAATGTGGTATCATTCTCAGTTTCACCGCGGGAATCCATGGTCTTGAAACGGGACAAGACAGAAGCAGTACGGGTAATTTTTTGACGTCCTACATCAAGCGAGCCAGAGTAATGCCAGTCTTGACCATCTTTGGTTTCATACAAAATGGGAGCACAGTCATAACCAGCAGCCACAATCTGTTGTTCTGTGGTCCAGATAAGTGAGCGGAAAGGAAGGGTGTTACTGGCGATGGGAACAGTGATATGGTTGCCATCTGCTTGTGGATAGACCACCTGGATGGAAGAATCATGGCCTGCAAAAGCAAGAGCATCACCTGAAGGAGAAAAGGCAACAGCATGCACCCACCCACCAAGTCCACTGCTGAATTCACCGCAGACCGTGTTGAAAGGTAATTTGTCTCCCCAGTTAGTAGGTGTAGGTCTAAAACAAACAGATCAATCACGGGATGACGACGCTCGGTCTACTTACTTTTTATCAAGGCCCTTGATGAACGATGAAAAGACGCGAGCCTTCATATCAGCAGAACCAGCAGCCAACAAGACACTGTTGGGATGCCAGTCCAAGGAAAGGACAGTACTACGAATGGGCTTCTTCAAATGCTTACTGGCCCACCAATCATTGTCTTCTTCGAAGTAACAGACGGCAATACAGCGAGCACCACTGGCGACAGCAAATTTTTCTTCGTTGGGAGACCAGCGGACAAAGGTGGCAGCACGGTTGATACGCAACAACACAAGCCCTGGTTTCCAAATACCACCTTCGTTGGTCCAGACATAGGCGTTTCTGTCCTGAGAACAGGTCACGATACGGTTGGTGTTGGGTGCAAAATCAATACTGGTGATGACCTTGTCATGCTATCCTCTAATGTGTCAAATGGTAATAATCACATCAAATACTTACGCCCTTTAAAGTCGAGTCCAACTTGGAGTTAGAGTGACCATATTGATAGATTTGAACATCATCGGTGTTGGGACAGACCACCAATTCTACGTCATGCTGAGTAAGATGGAAAACAGAAAGATGCCTACTTACGGTCTTTGTTAAAGGCATGAGCAGTGATGGGCGCGTTGCCGAGGTCATAAATACTGGGAGAAGACATGTTTTAACTCGAGAAAAATAAACAGTGTAAAAGAGGACTCTTGTCAGTCAACTACAAAAAATGGTGTTATTTTTCAGAGTAAAAAGTAGAAATGAAATTTCGCCTCTTTTTTTTTTTTTGAGAAAGTATAACCAAGAGGTTTGGCTGGAGAAAAAGATTATGGTTAATGATTCATTAATAGAATAAAGTAGACAGCTAAAGTTGTGTATGATCATTATACTTGTAGAATTAAGTCCTCTTGTCTTGAAAGTTCATCAGTTACCTATGTTTTCTTATGCCACAAATACACCAAACGGGTATCTTTCAAATGATGTAATTATCTGGTATTAAAACAATTGATGCTCCGAATGCGTCGATTTAAGCCTGGTTTATGCAACGTTAAAGTAATACTATATTTCTTTCTTATTGTAATGAGTCAGCCTGCTTCGAAGATAAACCTAAAGTAAGCTATTCTTTTACAATTCAACGTTTTTCTTAGTTAAGATAGCTTCCAAGATATTACCAAGATTAAAGTGGATGCTATTGGTATGATTTACATATATATATATATATATATATACAATTGTTTACATTTTCACCATAGTTAATGCAGCCAACAATAGTTTGCTTGGAGGCGGAGGAGGTATGTTGACTAGTAAGCATATTCACTGACTAATTATTCTAATAGTGGATGGTGCTATTCACAGGTTTGCTTTTGGTTGTATTCAATGAATTGAAATTGATATATGATGAATAATTAGAGCTGCTGGGAAAGAGTTGTTAACAGAATGTCGTACACTTGGAGGATGTCCTGATGGAGTAAGTCATGAATCGAATATATTTTATTAATGTTGTTTTTTCTTTATAGGAAGCTAGAATAACAAAAGGTATAACATACAAAAGCATTGCATTTTACTGATTTTTTGAATAGGATACAACTTGCCTTCAAGCTGTATGTTGTAAAAAAAACACAAGTCCGTTTTACTAACCATTTGAAAATCATACAGACGTCATTCATACAGTGGGTCCACAGTCCGAAAATCCTAAAGTATTGTCCAATTGCTACAAAAACTCGCTTTCTATTTTGGAAGAAAAAGGATTGTCTTCTATTGCTTTCCCTTGTATTGCTACAGGTGTTTATGGTTATGATAACGAAAAAGCAGCAAATGTTGCTTTAAGCACTGTGCTCGATTATTTTAAAGCAAATACGTCCACAAAGGTAACAAAATAATTCTTTTTAGAATGCATATAAATTTGTGTTTTTTTTCTCTAGATTGAAAAGGTCGTGTTTGTCTTATTTAATGACAAAGACAAAAAGATCTATAAAGGTAAGTAATGATGATAGTTCACTATGCCAAGTATTTATGAAAATAATAGAACTGGTACCCAAGTATTTTCCAGGTGCTTCTGTTGACCCAGTTCAATTGTAAAAAAAAAAAAAAAAAAAAAAAAAAAAAAAAAAAAAAAAAAAAAAAAAAAAAAAGCTTGTGTTTTTAATAAAAAAGAAAATCTTTGATTCGCAATAGTTCTATCTTACAATATGTACTTCACTTGTACTTAATATACCTTATCTTACTAAGATCATTTGAGCTAGTAGCTATTTCTTGGATGAAAAGAAAAAAAAGAAAATACATAAACTATCTAAATGACCAACATGAGACAAGATATGTACTTTTATCTTTGACTATTATGGCGCAAATTTCTTTCCTTCTAGTTTCAAACAAGAAGCTTACTTGTCAATTTCAATTGCATTTGTTTTTTATATTTGGGAAGCTTCGATATCTGACCCAATGCTTATTTCGGGAAGTGACCATTGTAGCGCAAATGTATTCGAATCAGTTCATTTCAGCGCAAAGTATTATTGTTTTTTATACGACATTATACCTCTTAAAATAAATGTGCCTTCTGTTTCGGAAAATGTATGCATATAAAATGAGTGTAAAGCCTGTGTATACATGTGTAAAGACTCTAAATACCCAAAAACTATGTCTACTGACATGTACAATATTTTTGGACTTGTAAAAATGACCGAAAACCACTTTTGATCAAAGGGTACTACTCATAAAAATTGTTAATTTGACAACTTTCAGTTTTCTTTTTGACACTACAAGACGAAAAATAGAAGTATTGACAAGTGTAAACATTCAAAATAACCGCTAAAGACTGTATTTTTTGATAAATATTATTTTTTGCTTATTGTAATATACTTTCTAATGTTGTTTTGCTGCTATTATTGCTAGATGAATCGTTTGGATCAACTCACAGAGGTAATTGAAGACATGTCGCATTGTTTTTTGGCTACCTTGAATCAATTGGACCTTAATCCTCTCTCGCTACTGGCAAAAAAAAAAAGAACTTCACTCAACAATTGAAAATTCTCTTAATAAAAGAAAAAAAAAAAAAAATTCAAATCGAAGGAAAAAAGAACGCCTCATAGGGGGCTCGAACCCCTGACATTGAGATTAAAAGTCTCACGCTCTACCAACTGAGCTAACAAGGCTGTTATGCTTGACGGGCTACTTTATAATATAGATTCGTTAATTAAAAGTTATTTGATCAGGTATTTTAGGCGATTTGATTGGATAGTATCTATGAATATCTTCTTGATTGGAGAATATTTAAACAACGATGAAGACTTCGCTTTTTCTTTTGAAGGTTTTTGTCCTACACTTTTACTACAAGACCAAGATCAGAACTTATTTTCATCATTTTCTTTATGCAATACACATACTTCTTCAAATCAAAGTAATATTTTTAGATAGTTTTTTATTCAAAAAAGATAAAAGTGTATGTACAAGTGATAGCTAAACGATAATTTAAGCTGCTTTCAGTTTCTTGACGCTTGTGTTTTCTTCATTAGTTGGCATTGTCTTTCGCTTCATGGTCATCATGCCACCAACTTTCATGTTGTTTGACGAAGAAGGTGTCTCAGAAGCATTCGTATTGGCAGCAGACTTCTTGGCCAATGCAGAAAGACCTGTCTTCTTTTTCAATCCACCTACCATCATTTTGGATCCAGTGGCTTTGGGTGCATCAGGAACAACTGACAGAGGCTTCATGTTCAAACTGAGTTTAATGGGTTCTTCGCCTTCTCGCTTTAATTCAGTCACTTCTTGCTCCACACCTCCTTTAGCCTCAACTGATTTTGACGCTCTTTCGATTTGTTCCTTGAGTAGTTCCAATTCACGTTCTTCATCGTCCTTTTTAGCACGTTCCATCTTTTGAATGGCTGCTTGTTTAGCTAGTGTTTTGGGGCTATTATCAATCCAAGAAATAAACAGGCCTCGTTCAGTTTCGTCGACTCGTAAAATACCCTGTGAGGCCAATGTTCTACAGAAACCAGATAATGAACTCCATCGAGTAGCGTTCATGTGAATATGTTCCTTGTGTGAAATGTATTCTTGATAGACTTTGTTGGCCAAGACTCTTTTGGTACCATGTGCTCTGGAAAGTAAACTCAAGAAATCCTTTTTGAATTCTTCTGAATGGTTGTGAATAAACTTGCCAGGATTAGCTGCCACAACAATCATTTGTCGTTGATGGGACTCAGACATGATGTGACACTTGAAGCCGTTTTCATCACGGCATTGTTTCTGACAAGCTTGACAGTAAAACTTCAATTTTTGAAGACCTTTTGACTATAAATAAAAACAATGATGAGTCTAGAAACATGGCATCAAGCTACAAACATACCTTCATTCGGTTGGCAATAGCCTTGGGTGACATGAACTCTGCTTTAGGCATCCTGATTGTTTTGATTCAATGAAAAAGAAACCAAAAGAAAAAAAAAATATTATATAGAAAACTACGCAAGTTTTTATTGGTTCAGACAGTTCATAAAAGGAGAGTTCGTACTTTTCGTTTTTCTTTCTGTATGAGCTGTCCTAATTGTGGAGGTACTCAAACAGACATCAATGAGCTAGACGGATCTACATGTTGTCTTCAGTGTGGCACAGTCATTGACGATGCACCCTTTAGGACAACGCTCGATGAAACAACAGGCCGTTTTACTGCCCGAGAAGCAAAGGTAAACCAACTTGTCAAAGCGAATAGATCACTAATTGGTTATGCTTTTAGGAAAAGAAAACAGTGCTATTAGATAACTTTCTGAAAGCAGCAGCCTTTTTTGAGCTTCCTGAGGACTTGATCGCAAGAGGAAAAGAGTTGATTAAGGAACATAAACCTAAATTGAAAACAATTCACCCGAGAGAAGTTGCCGTGTATATAGTTTATGCTGTCAGTCATCAATGGAAACCTTTTTGGAATTTACAGGATTTTGTTCAAGTCTATCCTATTCCACTCGATATTCGCTATATAAATAGTGCTCATTCAATTATCAATAAGGAAGGACAGATTGTCAAATGGAGAACACCACAACAAGATCTAGAAGGGTTTATTCTTCGTCTTTATCCCATTATTGTCAAACAAGTATACAAAGATAGTCCTAAAATAGCAAGATCAGCCTTGACTCTACCAAATTTGAAAGAAAAGACCCGTGCTATACTGGATTTAGCTGGGCGCTATAACCTGAATACAGGCAAGAAAGCACGTCCCTCTATTACAGCGGCAGCTATGATTGCAGGTCTTTGGATACGAGTCACTAGTTTGAATCACAAGAAGAGAAAGACGAGGCCTATATCTGCTTTACGTTGGTTCAATTACTCTGAATTTGTACCCGTCGTCCTTTTTGGAAGAGGATGCTTAAGTTCTCGGTTGGATGAATATCTCGAGTTTCTATATATCTGTGCAACTTATATACCCTGGATAAAGAATTTGGAAAAGAGGTTTGTTCATTATCATCTACAAGATATCTTGCAACTGTATGGATCAAGCAAACCTGCATGGACATTAACATTGGATCATTATGAAATCAAGAGTTTCCGACGCTCCAGAGAAGCAAGGGAACAAATGGAAAGATGGGTTACTCTTGCCCAGTCTCACTTAGATCAAGATACACAACCAAAAGATTGTGACTCTTTAGAGTATTGTATATTCAAACTACTTCAATTTGGATTCGAAGAGTATCAAATTATCCATTACAGTCATGGCTATATTCGTAACATGGCTCATTGTCTAACATTGCGTGATACTCTGGATAGTTATCCTAAGCAAAAGGATTTGGAAAAAGCCAGTTTAGATGAAAACGACATGAATGAGCAAGAAGTAGCCTTGTACCTGAACTAACTGAATAAAAGTAGTGGGATGTAAACGGGAAAAGTTTACGTAATTTGACCAACTCCGGTTTTGCATTTAAAGGGCCTATATTTTTTTTCCCGCTTTTTTCTCTTTTCTTTTATTTCTGTTATGTCAGACCTTAAAGAACTCGTTGCTAGTATCCTTTCTCAAGAAGAGAAATGTCAGTTTACTCAGTTTAACTCTAAAGATGCACTTCAATTGGGCCTTTTGCTTATTGAAAAAGCCAAACCCTTCAAAAAGCCAGTTGTGATTGACATCACTTTGGCTGGTCATCCATTATTCCACTATGCTATGGATGGTACTTGTTCAGATAACGATGAATGGGTTCGCCGTAAAAAGTAAGATATTCAACATTATGCGGTTTACTGATACATGTATAGCAATACTGTCAACCGTTTCGGCCATTCTAGTTACTATGTGGGTCGCTATATTGCCAGTCAAGGAAAGACACTTGAAGAGAAGTACTTTGTAAGTGAAAAAGATTATGCTACGCATGGTGGTGCCTTCCCCTTGAAGATTAAGAATGTGGGTGTTGTTGGTACTGTCACTGTCTCTGGTCTCGCTCAACAAGTAAGTTTATATCGAATGAAATGGATTTGATTATAACGCGTATCACTTAGGATGATCATAACTTGGTAGCTGATACTATTCAAGAATACATTGGTAATCAAAAATAATAAATTCTACTTTTTGAACAATGACTAATAAAAAGGATTATGTATGTATAATTGTGTTCCTTTATAAATACCAATGAGTAGTTTAAGTAGTGCTAGCGTATGAAACAAGAGAAAGAGAGAGCAACTTTATTTGTGTTCAATATGTAGCTTGTTACTACTGCCTTGGATCAATACTTCACCGGGCTTCATGAGTGCAAGAGCTGAGTGCAAAGGTCGACAACCTTGGAACCATGCCATTCCAGCAGGAAACGCACCGTATATCCATGACTGTAGATTTTCATTATTATATGTGTATACTGTGTATCGATGTGTGTGATCAAGTTTAACAGTACTACACCCATTGACACATTCAGAAACTTGTAAAGGTATTGCCAACTCTTCAGTTTCTTCATTGCATCTGTGTATGTTTCTATAGTTTCCATACGCACCAAGGTCTACATGCAATTGTTCGTTCCCAGGATACAAGAGAGAAGTGAAGACAGCAATATAATCAGGTTCTGAATAAGCATTCAAAACTGGCTTTGGAATCACATCAGGTGGTCGTTCTGTCACAATAGTGAAACAGCCTCTATCCAATGAATGTAAAAGCTGAGGTGCACTTTGAAACACCAAGCAAGCAAATGTATGAGAGCCATCGCGTATATGACCATCAAAGCTAACTAAAGGAAGCCCTTTTGTTCCTGGTTTTACAGCATGGCGCAAACCGTGAATTTTCCCGTCAATTTCAAGACCTAATACAATACCCTCATCGACATGAGGCGCACTCTTGCCTGAACGTAGTATATACCAACTGGTCAAGAAGGATGAAAGTCCCAATGTGCCATGCCATTTTAGCTCCTTTAGACTTTTGATAACACGCTCCAAATCGCCACTGAGCATACATTGATCAGCATGCATACCTGCTTTTTGCAAAACTCCACTCACATAGATGGTGATAAGCATATTCAGAAAGAAGACAGTACGACAGCCTACAGTGCTATGGGAAGATACTTTGTGTATGAACTTGACACAACTTCCTCCACATGCTTCACACTTCTCTGCAATATGCAAACCAATGTTTTTCACCAAAGAGCCTAAAGACTTAATCGCACCCGATTGTGATAGGGCGCAAAAGCCAGGAGTCATAATCACTGTACCAGGTGGGTCACCATGCTCAATGCCGAGAAGTATAGTACTTGCAATCTCATTGTCTAACCAAATCATCAGTTTCTCCAGCAACTCTTCAGGTACTCCACAAAAACGAAAAAACAAAGCTCTTTCAAAGTAATAATAGGCTATATAATCACTTTCACGTTCTGATGCTTCCAGCTTGATGCCTTCAAAACCAGATTCTTCTGGCGTATAAATCATGAGGCCTGAGCCAAAGTTGAGAGATACAATCTTGCATAAATTGACTTGAGCTAATCCAAATGCCACAGCTGCAGCATGAAGGTCAGAAACTTGCAATGATACTTGACGCTTTTCTCTCGTTAATCGTATCAAGTCGCGAATGACACTGGCTTTGCATTGACCAGCAACTGAAAATTTTGATTTCCATTTTAGCCATTGAGGATCCGGTTGTTGGCCACCTCCCTTTTCCCAAATTTCACTCACAATCTCTTTGAAATAATGAATGGCTTTTTGTTTACTTATACCGATAGGACCCGTTGGAAGTAAACCGAAAACAAAGCCTTCTCTGATGTTTCTTCCTACATTGATGTCACCAGCACCTATTGCCTGCCCACAAAACGCAATCGCATTGAATATGGGCATCGTCTTTGTCCAGAACTCAAAGGTTGTACTTGGACTAGTGACTCGCAAACGTCCTTCTGAGTCAAATTCATATACTTCGTATTTCTTAGGATCTCCAAGTCCAACCAATGGTTTGAAAACAGGCAAGTATTGACTAAGCACTCGAATATCAGGTGCATTTCTTGTACGTGCACCTCCCCATGCATCAACAGCCATCTTAGACGCATTGATACCTAATTCAGCAAACCCAGCAATCGTTTTCTCCAAGTTGATGGTCATTTTACCCACCCCCAAGGGGAGTTCCAATGTTACTGCAGGCATGATTGACTTGACAGATTCTTTTATGTTGGATTCCCCAGAATTTAAAAGTTGCTCTTCTTCTGATTGCTCCCTTCCCACATGGTCTGAGTGTTGAGGAAAAGAGCTGTATAGGTCTTCATCTGCAGGAAGACCAACCTTCAGTTTTAAGTCTTCAATTTTTTTTTTTTACTTTATAATCGTTGACGCCTCGCAAATGATTAAAGGCTTTGCCATCATAAGTAAGAGACTCTCGATCTATATTGCTGCATAGAGCATACATTTGATTCACCATAGTATTCCCCCTTTTTTTTTCTAAGAAGACAAAAAGAGAGATGTTCTGTTTTCAATTTCTAAAAAAGACTTCTCATGTAAACCGTTACACATATACTTGTTATCTTATCAGTAAGCTCAATAATAAAAAAGCAAAAGAAAGTAGAAAGAAAAGAATATTATTTCTACGCTATCATATGTATATATATAAAACTAGATACCAGTATATCTTGCTTGATTTATGATAACCTTCATTTCTAGAATAGATGAAGGACTTGAAAATCAGGTGCAACCTGTGCCTTGTTTGTGAACCCATAACGTGTTCTCAGATCAACCTTAGCTCAACAAGCTTCCGACTTCCTATACATATATTCAGTCAAGAGAATTAATATTTGAGAACATAACAAAATGTTTCTTTCTCTTGGTTTATGTAGCTTCTCTTTTTTTTTTTTTTTTTAAATATGCGTACTCATTCGAACAGTTTAGAAGACAATCTGACCAAAGGTTGAATGTAATAAATATGACAATGGGGCTTTACTTATCTTGCTCGCATTAAAATACTCGGTACGATATAATCTGAGAACAACATACAGTCAGACTTACGGAAATTGGTGTTTACTCAAAAATAAATGGCCACAAGTCAAAAGTAAAGTCAAGCGAAATGAATTTTTGGAAAAAGAATCGCTGATGACTAGGATTAGTGAGACATGTGATAACTTGCATTTGAGTGATTCCAAAGGCTTTAATAAATGCTCTTTTTTTTATGTAGGCTGTTTGTGCCAGTATATCTTTATTTTTTGTAGGCTGTTTTTTTATGTATACTAAAATATTCAATGCCAAGAGTGTCACATCGTTCGGAAACTTGTGTTCATCCAAAAATGTTGATTTTTTGATTTGCAAGCCTAAACGAAAGCGTATTGCCAATAACTTCATGATCTCTGTTAGACTATTACATGTGTCAAGATAAGACAAATGTTTGATAAGAGAATACAAGGGATTAATTTTCGAAAGGATAGTGCTCTTGCTGCATGATCACCAAACGAAGATTCAAACCTTGAAGCAGAAAGGATTTACTGTAATAGGATGTACTAGAAAGCAGAAGAGTAGTAAAAATATTGAAACCTGAAATGGATTACTGAACCTCATGTGTAAGCGTCTAAAGGAGAGATCACTAATTGATCATGTTCTTGCATCATATATCTCTCAAGCTAACGTCCGGTTGGCAAAAATGGATTTAAAACAAATGAGTGAAATACATAAAGATTTACATGCAGAAGGAAACACTCAGGGTAAGCAAGTCAGTGACACATTGTATATCTAAAATTCATATCAAAGCGAAATGAACATTGGCTCGGTAGGGTCATCTGAAAAGGAGATTTTAGTATTTTCCATATTGTAAATTAACTTAGATAGTTTGGAGACGTTTAGCTCATTTTAGGGCTGACAGTAAAACATACAGATTGCTTGTTCTCTACTAATAGTAATCAAGGTGGGAAAGGTATATATATATATATATATATATATATATATTTTGACTTGTGGCCCATTATTTTTTAGTAAATGCCAATTTTCATAAGCCTGACTGTATGAGCACTGAGCATAACCAAGATTGCATTGTGATTTTTAAAAAGAGCAAAACATGCTCGAAGCATGTTGCTTTAAGTTCAATGGGTTTATTCAGTATACATGTATATAACTTGATTTTCTTTTTAAAAGAGTAACTTCACAAGTCATTTCTAACTTATGGGTATACAATTCGATATGTTGCTACGAGTGCTTATTATCGTATAAAGTTGGTTGGTCCTTTTTCTTTCGTGTGTAGCAATCGGTTTATAGAAGTGCTGCTTCTTCATGACTTCTCGTTGCTAGTTGTTTTGGTTGAAACATCTTCATTGTCCAAGTATAAGCAGCAAATGTAGCAGCATTCGAAGGAAAAGCCCTTAAAATAGTAGGCGTCAATCCTCTGAAAAAGATACGCCAACCTTCATGGTGATAAGATCGCTTGATACAATCAAAGAATCCCTTGTATCTGTCTGGCTCAGATTGTATTCTTGTCTTGACAACATCTATTTCAATAAAATAAGTAAAGTCACCCATATATATATATTTATAATCATGCCTGCAAAATAAGTAGAACACCAAGCAATAATACCAGCAGAACCGCCTGCCAAAATTATTTTGGATCCAGATAATTCATATGTGTCATTATCTTTACTTGCTGGATCACTCAAAGTAAGTGCTCTGCAAATAAATTCATAGGATAAGAAATAAGGACCAAAGCTAAGTTCCCGTAGTGTGGTAGGTAACATTCCTTTAAAGCAATACTTTATTCCGCCTACTGCATAAAGTTGTTTGAGGCAGTCAATAGGCCCCTTTATCGTAGTTGTATGCGTTTGGTTCTGTAGTTGGACCTTGACAAGTTCCATAGGACATGTGACGAGGCTATAATTTTCTTGTTTAGTTTGTTGTTTTAATATTGTTTAGTTCACCTTGTAATAACACCAGCACCCATCCCTGCAAAAAAGACATTCTGTAAAGGCGGTAATTTAGCATCTTGAGATAAAGGACTGTGTTTCTGTTGAAATTCAATTAACCAGGTATAAGATCCAAACACAAGTGCATTTACGCCAGCAACACCTGCCTATAAACAAAAAAAAAAACATTAGTTTTTTAGGTGTTGTGTGTTTTCACACATAATAACATACTGCAGGAGAAGCCTATATATACATATAAAAGATTAGAGTTCATTAGGATTGTTATTCAACTTACCATTCCTTTATATAAACCAAAAAACTAAAAATGATACCACAGGTTAGCTGAGAATCAATGTTTATCTATTATTACCTTTTCTTGTCGTACTGTAGTAACAAAGCAATTCCATGTTCCTTTGTATCGAGAAGCTAGTTCTCGAGATTGTAATCTAACTTTGACTATAAAGAGAGGAGTGTCAATTATTGCTGATATGGTAGTAGCTATGAAAATGAACCTGTATCTACATCGATAAGAGGTGAGTTTATACGCTACTAGACAGTTATCTTACCAAATGGATGTCCAACGGCTAAACCTGCTAAACCTACCATATGAAAAGTGAGATATTTACATTTATAATATGGTATCTTTTACCACCAACTAAACCAGATAATACGCTATTGAATGTGTTTACATTAGGTTTTTCAGCTTTTGTAAAAAGAAAAAAATGATAAGATCAATAAGTTGTGCGTGAAACAACTTACGGATTTCGTCAACGTCCAACATGTCTGTAAAAAAATAAATAAATAAAAAAAGGAGAATAAAGAAAAGCCAATCATTTATTTTTAACATGTCAAACACAAAATTCCCACGAATAATGAAATTTGTGCCCACGCTATCACTCATAATTAGTTATGACGCAAATGACTCGCGTTGAAACAGGTCGCATATGTTACAACTAGAGAATCCAATGATATTGAATGCAAACACTACAATAAAGCGCTGTCTTAAAAAGGGAATCATAGAGCTTGTGATCTTGACGCTATTCAATAGCTGCATAAACCTACATTCATATTTGAGCCAATCGCCTTGAGACATTGAGCACCGCTTAGTGTTGCACAAAACTTTGTCCTGGTAAATAGTGTTAGGATAGGAATAGGCAATTAAAATCACATGAGCTTTCTTTTAAAAGCTTCAGAGACGTCATTGGCAGAGATTACAATTATCTATGGCGGATAGAATGGCTTAAGTTCTCAATCAAATTGAGAATTTAACAAACGGTTAACATTGCTTATTGTATGAAGCTTGGTGTTAAATAAAGAAACGTATACATCTATTTAAAATCTGCTTCTTTACTCAAGTTGCTAACTACTGCTAGTTTCGCATTGTTTTGAAGAAAAGCCATTTACAGATACTATTATTCGCAGTCTTTGTATTTAACTTTTAATGACACCATCGACTGTGTCTTGGGTAACAGCTACAATGGTATCAATTAAAAGCTCAGTGGTCTGAGTATTGCCAACTATAAATAGCAGATGAGCATCATTTATCAAGCAAACCAATGTTCAAGGCACGGCTGGCCTATATTACTCGACAATAGCTATCATATGTATTGTTTTTGCCGGATTAGTTCCCGTAGAAAGTCCGCGTTGTATTAATTTTTTCTCGGTTCAAAGAAGTAAGCCTATATTTATCTTATTCGATTGTACACAGAAAGATCTTATATTTTTGCTACATACAAATATAAACGGATGCTAGAAATGTCATGCTTCTGGCTTGTAGTAATACATCGTTGTTCAGTTTCCATTGGACATGTTTGTATGTATAAGACTGTATTAATATAGGTCGATGAAATAAAAGCTTCTTTATATTTCTTTTTGAATTGTAAGCCATCTTATCTTCAACTCGTAGAAAGCTACAAGTGTCGACCCCAGGTCATCAATTTCTTCAGGTACAATAGGGACAAGCAATTTTTGCTTTAGCAAGATAGCATCAATTTCTTAACATCTTGCCATCCTTTACTTCACAGAGACAGAGAAGAATCTTCTTGTTATATGTGATAAAATCGCTTTGTCTACCCATCAAAATCATGATACTGATGCTGGTGGTAAACTCATTAGTATTTTAACACTGCTTGAATATCACTGATATTCTTCAACATACATCTTGCTGTTGACATCAATCTGTCTATAAACAAAAAAGGCGCTTCTACTACGTTTGATCATGTCTTTATACTGGAATAAAGTTTAGACGACTCAATATTACTGGTAAAGAAAAGTACTATGTTGATAAGCTGATTAAGTGCATTGAACATTATTCTATTGTTTGACTAAAGAAAGGAAAGGTGTTTAAATACAACGGATAATTAAATACAACTTCTTGAGCTAATTTATTAGAAACAAACTCTTTGGTTTGAGGTTCTGTAAACTTTTTTTCTTTTTGAATAAAAAGCTAAAGTAATCGATATATTATCCAAGTTATGCCTGACAAAATTCAATGCTATGTACATAAAGGAGTTTGTACTTTATGTAAATGCTTTGAAAATGTTCATAAGAAGGCATGATGATATGTTGAGCGAATTACCCAATGATTGACATAAAGATTGGTAGTCTACAATTCTTTGTGTTTGTATTGATTTTTGGAGAGCAAAAGCTATTTTGTCTGATATTCTCTTTGACTATAGAGATAGTAGTAATGAAGAAAACGATGATGGTGGAGACAACAAAGTAAGTAAGAGAATTGTAACTTGCTACTCTGTTTTGATTTAGAAAACTACAGTTCTTGACTCTCAATTTGATATACCTCCTAGCTTGACACCTGGTGAGACTTCTTTGAACTTGCCTAACGCTTAGACCCTTCGTCTTTCTTTTCAACTTCTTTTTATCACAAAAAATAAACTAGATTCGTTTCCCAGTTCTACTTTAGCTGATCATCCAAAAGGTTATATGGCTGATTGATACTTTTTCTAAAAGAAAAAAAAAGTATCTTCATGATCTAAACGATTATTTTTAGTTTTCGTATCAACAATCTGACAAGAGAATCAATAGTGAATGATTGCAAATCAAACAATAAAAAAGCCAGCGTTGTATGTATTACAAGACCTTGTCTTTATCAAGAAACAATAGGCGATCAACGACTCCTTTTTTTTATTATCTATAAAATCAAGAACAGTACCAAGAGATTTCCATAGACTCGATCAATGCAATCTTGAAAGAATTGACAACATGGCCATTAGATACAAGAGTGCACTTGGTTGGCGATATTCTTGCTATCAATAGAAATGGCAAGTCAAAGCGCATGTTTATGTCTTTTATCCATAAAAAAATTGGGTGTATTTATCAGTAAACAATTCTAATATGTGTATGTGTGTGCATATACATGAACACACTACTAGAACCCTTTTTATAAGACATTGCTGAGTTTTTGATGTAATACAGAAGAAAAAAATTTGAAATGGTGATCCTTGTCGGATAAAAGTCCCCGCTTTGTAAACAACACAATCTTGTTCAAATCAACAAGTATGCAATAAACCAAATGGTCTACGCTTGCATATCATGTAAAGAGGACAATGAGACATTGTTAATTTGATCACAACAGTATACCCTAAGACACAAGGCAGAAAAAAGAAAAAAAAGGGAAAAAGTTACACCTAATCCCGATCAAAAAAAGGCGAATTTTGATATAAAGAGCCATAGTAATCAAATTACGACTTGATCTCTCTTTTTCTTCTTTTTTTTTCACTTTTTCAATGCAAGAGTCATCCGATGCAACACTTGTCAAAATAAAACATTATTTTAAAAAGAGAAGTGCATTTCGACCTCCTGTTGAAGAAGATCCTCGCTTACTAGACCCAAAGATCAAATCTCGAATTGTTGCTTGTATATCACTCGTTGCCTGTACAGGTGGATTTTCCAGCACAATTTATTTTCCAGGTAAAGTAGGACATATGCTTCACTATGTATTAACATTATGCAGGTATTCCATATGTTACTGCCGAATTAAATGCACCTTCCATTGCCACCACACTGACTGCAGCTCTATTTATTTTATTTATGGGTATTATGCCTGTTGTTTGGGCATCCATTTCTGAACACTATCATGTTCGCCGTGCGATTTATTTAATGGCCATGACAATCTATATTGCTAGTTCATTAGGTGCTGCATTTGTACACAACATTTGGGCACTTGTTGCTGTCCGTTGCATTCAATCGATGGGCGTATCTTCTGGTCAATCAGTAGGGTCCGGATACATTAGTGACATGTACCCTATTGAACAGCGAGGTGCCGCATTTGGTAAATACATGTTTGGGGCTGTCTTTGGACCATTGCTTGGTCCTATCTTGGGCGGTCTACTTATCATGAGTCCATTGGGCTGGCGAGCGACTTTTTGGTTTTGCTTCTCTTTTGGAATTTTTATCTTTATCATCACTTTCTTATTTACACCAGAAACTTTTCGAGAAGATGCCAGGTTTGACCAAGCGCTACCTATTGTGGAGACAATCAATGAGAAAGATAGTGTCATCTCCGCACACACAGCGATCAACACAGATGGTGACACAAAATCCATCATAGTTGAAAAAAAGCACGCATTTAACCCATTCCGACCTTTTGCTCTACTAAGGCATCCTTTTGTGTTTATGCCTGCCTTAACAGGTGGATTCTTTTTCGGTGCTATGTTTGCTACTGAGACTATTCTTCCTACCGCTTTTGAAAATACGTATGGTCTGAATTCATGGCAAACAGGTCTTTGTTATCTGGGTGCAGGTATTGGTAATATTTGTGGTACAATGGTCGGTGGCAAGCTCTCTGATCGACTACTGCTACGTTCTCGTCGATTACGAGGTGGTATTCCTCACTCCGAAGATAGACTAACAGCGAATATTTGGGTGGCAGGATTTCTATGTGTGCCGTTGGGTTCTCTCATATTTGGTTGGATTGTCGAATATAAATTGAGCTTTTGGGGTGCCATTGTTGGATTTGGAATTCAATGCTTTGGTAATGTGCAGGTGATATCAACATGCACTGCCTATCTGGTGGACTCTGTGCCAGGTCGAGGTGCTGCTGCTACTGCTGCTGCCAATTTTGTGCGTATGGGATTATCTTGTATTTTGACGATTGTATCAACACCTATGATTCAAGCATTGGGCCCTGGATGGACATGTACTTTATTTGCTTGCCTTTCTTGGGTTGGTATGGGTATTACTGTTATACTAAAGATCTATGGTGAACCCATCCGTCGTTGGAGTGGTTATTAGAAAGATTGTACATAAATGCCATGATGGACTTGTGCCTGGTTACTATAGCAATAAATGATTGAACAAAAATAAATCGGCGATTGAATTGCAAAGACTTGTTCAAACAGCAGAACAAATTGGCTTTTCCATTTACGAAGCGTAAGAGTAAGAATAGCAGTGAAAAGACTGCTTCCAAAAAAACCTTTTTTTCAAAAAATAAAAAATAAAAGCGCTTACGGAATGAAACAAAATAAAAAAATTTTCACTCTTCTTTTTCTTTTTCCCTTTCTTTGTAATATAAAATGACTGAAGGTAGCGTGTACTCTAAAATAAATAGTCTGACTGTCATGTTAGACCCCAAATACAGACAAAAATTCAAGGATTTAAAGAAGCGTATCCGAGAAATAGAAGAGGTATGCGTCATCTCTTCAGACAAGTGAACTGACTGATCTATAGGAAAATGACTTGCTTAATATCAAGTTGTTCAAGGCTCGTAAAAATATTCGTCATCTCAAGTTGGAAAGAACGTAAGTCAAACTGAGGCTTGTACAGGCTTATTTAATTATTCTACAGACTATTGCTTGACCGCATGGACAAATCGAGTCAAATGTCCTTAGATTACAGTGATAATTCAGACTTGGGTTCAGAAATCTATTCTCATGATGAATCTGACATGGTAAAGTTGTAGGACAATGAATTAAAAAATTATGTATATTCATATACTATAGCTCTTGCACAAGTTACCACAAAAGCATCATGATGGACGTGGCCGAATGGATAAGCTAATTGGCAGCAACAATAAGCCTCAGCGTAAAAGAAAGATCCTAACGCGCCAAAGGGACCTGGCAATGTCTTCTTCTTATACTGTCGATTAGAAAGAGACAAAATCAAAGACGAACATCCTACAGAAAACCTAGGCGAAGTAACTCGACTCTTGGGTCAAAAATGGAAGAGTTTGACAAAAGAAGAAAAGAAGGTAGCTGCACATTCCCTCTCTGAAAAACACATTTAACATTTCTTCTGTAGAAATATTATGACATGTATAAGCGTGAACTTGAAGAATATGAAGAAGCAATGAAGACATACACTCTTAATGGTGGTGTTGTTCCTCCTCACGATGTACAGAGCAACATTGGAAATAATGAGGATGCTGGTATGATATCCATTGTCTCTTCACCTGCACAGACTGAAATGTCTATGGATTTTGCAAGTGATCCTGCTCAGCATCATGATTCACCTGAAGTCAATGCATTCATGGATGAAGAGGTGATGGCTTCTCAGCAACCTGAGGTATTTCATCATGAACCAGTAGGATCAAGTTGGCAACAAGCCACCTAAATGTATTTGTATTCTCTCCTCTATTATTATTATGTATCATTTTCCCTTATAAACTTTGCAAATAAACAGTTAGAAAAAAGAAAAGGTAATTTGTCATACTATATATATCCTGAATACTGGGTCTGCAATTGAAACTCAATAATATCATTATGTGATAATCTGTCCCAAAATAAATGTCATCGGCTCAACAAGCTTAGTTATTCAAAAGGGTGAATTGAACTAAAGACAAAGTGAGATTCAATGAAACACTATTTAGGTAAGCATATGTTCTATATCACTTGTATGCCATACACTTCCCACTTTTTGATCATAAATATTAGCATCTAACAATTGATGTTTTCTTTGTGTGGTAAAAAGTAATGAAAAAGTGTAACGCATTTACGCAAAAACAGTCGCTTTTTATTTGGTCTTGGTCAAACGGCAAAAAAATATTTGAAGGTATACCAAGTCCTAACAGCAATGAGCTGCTTCAGAGTATATATGGATGTTAATACTGAGTTTTAGACTTTACTACTGGATCCGGAACGAACTCTCCCTTGGTGAAGAGAAGAAAGTTTATTGTCTATTTCTCTGGTAATGGCCAAAGAAATTGGCTCCCTAAAAGATTCGTGAGTACATTGTCTTGTTACTTCTCAATGAAGCTGGCGTTTTTTTTCTAATAGTTGATTGTCAATAGTAGAAACATCACTGATGAACTCAAGAAATTTATACAAAAAAGCATCGATATGACAGAAAAGACGGGTAATGTCAATCCTTTGAGAGTGCTGTAAGTATAAAAAAGGCAAATCAAGAGATAGTGCTGACACTATGAGAAATTAGCTCCCTCTCTTACATCTTCCCTGTCAGCAAATTACAGCCAAAATATTCTGTTGCTGAATATGTTGACGTTAGCATGAAAAGAGATTTGGAGAGATTTGCAATCCGAAAAATTGAAATGAAGAAGGCATCAGCTGATGCATTGATTTACTGCAAGACAGTCACCGATGTAAAGTACTACAGTTGTAAAGCAGAATGATGATTTGGCATCTCCTTTCCTTTCTTTCATAGGCCATTGATGATGAAGGAGAAACCGAAGGCATTGTGTTTGAGCCAATGAACAAAATTGGTTCAATTGTCAAGGATATTATCAAGACATTTTGTTCAAACGGACTATGCACAATGCAAACTCTGAAGTCACTTTTACTGACAAGTTCGTGATACCTTTCTTCAATGCCGTCTACTTGAGCAATTCAAGTGAAGACGTTGTTTATTTAATGTAATGTATCATGTGGCTAGAAAGGGGTTTGATGATTAACATATTGATATAAAATTGGTGGCTATGAAGACAACACCAAACCAGACTTTGCGCTTGGCATTAAGGACAAGAAAAAAAAAGTACATTTTTTTGTGTTGAGATAAAGCGTCCAGATTGTGAGAGTAAATATCAAAGCGAGGACAATGTCACGAAATGGATGAAGACTATGAAACACTCTATCGATAATCAAATCGATTTAAAGATCCCTCAAGTCTGTATTATATGGGCTCCTTGTTTAAGGTAAACTGACTTAGGTATTGAATACAACAAGAATAATAAGTCGTTTTGAAAGTAATATAGGATTTAAGGCTTCCATGTATAAGACGAAGCTGGTTGAAGAAGGCATTTATATGCCAACAATGATCAGGAAGTTCGACTTTCCTTGTGATCATACCAATTTCATTGGTATTCCTAGGCCAGTTGAATGCCTGTACCTTGTCAAGGTAAATATATCATACATGTACACTTTATTTGAAAGAATAGGTACTAGCTACCTCTCTTTGCTGTTGTGTTATTAGCAAGAGCTTGATTTGCTCAAGCAGAGATTTATAATACAAAACGCAACAAGGTCAAAGAAAATAGCTTCATAAAGATCCCTTTGTTACTAAATATCAAGAATAATTTTCTTGACCCCCCTTTTTTTTATTTATGAACGTATTCTATGTCTTTAGTTGTTATATTATATCATTTTGAAAAAAAAAACCTTACAAGTTTTGTTATTATTGTCTTTATAAAGTAAATAATCAATAATAAAAGGTTCCTGCTCTTGTTAACAAGCAGATAAAAACTTTGTATATATTTATTAGCTTAAAGAGAAACAAATAGATCAAATATGTTATTTCAATTGATGCTCATCCTATGACTATGGTATTTTCATCAAGAATAAAGACACTAAAGACTTTTGTTTAATAAAAACAGAGATATATTTACAAGAACATTGAATAAATAAAGAAAGGGAAAGAAGTCTAGAAATCGAATTTAAAGATGAAAGAAGGTTTTGTGAGCTTATGTTCTTTCTTCACTTTTTTCAATCTTTTCTCTTAAACTGCCAAGCTCTTGCTAATAACACAACAGCAAAGAGAGGTAGCTAGTACCTATTCTTTCAAATAAAGTGTACATGTATGATATATTTACCTTGACAAGGTACAGGCATTCAACTGGCCTAGGAATACCAATGAAATTGGTATGATCACAAGGAAAGTCGAACTTCCTGATCATTGTTGGCATATAAATGCCTTCTTCAACCAGCTTCGTCTTATACATGGAAGCCTTAAATCCTATATTACTTTCAAAACGACTTATTATTCTTGTTGTATTCAATACCTAAGTCAGTTTACCTTAAACAAGGAGCCCATATAATACAGACTTGAGGGATCTTTAAATCGATTTGATTATCGATAGAGTGTTTCATAGTCTTCATCCATTTCGTGACATTGTCCTCGCTTTGATATTTACTCTCACAATCTGGACGCTTTATCTCAACACAAAAAAATGTACTTTTTTTTCTTGTCCTTAATGCCAAGCGCAAAGTCTGGTTTGGTGTTGTCTTCATAGCCACCAATCCTACAAGGAGACATTCCATTTACTCTAAAAAGCGACGGCTTCTATGTGAACTTACAGTTTTGAAATAGAAGAAAACATATCAAAAGAAATCTTAAACAATAAGCAGGCTTTCAGTAATTTATCAATTCTTGTTCTGTGGCAAGGATAATTTTACTAATTTAATAAATCCCAGTATGCGGAAATGGCTTTTGTAGGATAAGCCTATGGTTTGTGCATGACTAAAAGTCGCTGAAAACAAACCTTGGCCCGAGTAATTTCTTGCTTTAGAGATAACAGTCACCGAGTTCGAACAATAAGAGGATACAAGCCTGCCTGCATTTTTTCTTTCCTTTTTCTTTTTTAGTTTCTTTTTTTACACCATGAGTTTCCTTCGTGCTGCTACTAAGACTGTAAGTCAAGAAAGAGCTGTTTATGCACACATTTATATACTCATATACACTAGTCTACTTTCTTGCGCCCTACTCTTCAACTGCGTTCTCCTCTCGCTTCTTTGTCCACTCGTTGGATCACTACTGAAATGAAGGCTCGTTTAGACAAGGTATGCTTTAAAATACATGAAAAGATATACTTATACCTGCACTTCTATAGGACATCAAATCCAATGATGTTGTTTTGTTTATGAAGGGTACTCCCGATGCCCCTATGGTAAAATATATGCGTATTGGCTTGCTAATGATTCACTCTTTTGTTAGTGCGGTTTTAGTCGTGCCACTGTACAAATCATGCAAGTCCAAGGTGTTGATTTCAACACAAAAGTCAATGCATTCAATGTATTGGAAGACCCTGAATTAAGAGAATCTATCAAAGAATACTCTGAATGGCCCACCATCCCTCAAGTCTATATCAAGGGTGAATTTGTTGGTGGCTGCGATATTTTACTCAACATGCACCAATCTGGCGATTTAGAAGATTTGTTAGCCAAGAACGAGATTATTCCTCCTGAAGAAGAAGAAGAACAAGACAAATAAAGAAAACGTTTATTTCTAATGATGTGTGTTTTTGACAGCTTCTACAAAAGCACGGATTTTTGTGAGATCTTTGAGACCGTTTGTTTCTACACCAGAAGAAACATCGACCATCCAAGGCTTGACTTGAGCAATAGCAGTGGCTACATTGGCAGGGTCTAATCCACCTGCCATAATTACAGGAAAGTCATCTTGACTCAAGAAAGCAAAGGACTTGTGGTTCACAATCTGTTGGGCAATGGACCAGTCAAATTTGATACCTTGTCCTCCTTGTTGATCTGCAGGTAAACTAGAGACCTTGGCATCCAATAAGACATAGTGGTGACTACCAGGTTGAGTGATATTGGCCATTTGAGCAGGCTTAAATGAGGCATTGTCTATATGGAAGGCTTTGATGACAGGCACAGGTAAATAACGTGCGAGTTCAACGGATTCTGTGCCGTGCAACTGAATCAAATCCAGGCCAACTTCTAAAGCCACTTGCGTCATATATTCAATGGTCTGGTTCACAAAGACACCCACTACCAAGGGCTTTCTAGGGCGACTCTCTAACAAACGACGGTGGATTTGAAACCATTCATGAGAGGAGGCATCATGCGTTGTTTTCTTGATAGGTTGTGTATCAATTGAACGAACCGTTTGAACAATTTGTTTGGCTGTGTCCAAAGATACTTTGCGTTTTGATTTTTCAGCAAAGATAAGGCCAATCAAATCAGCACCTGCTGAGGCAGCTTCTTGTGCAGCTTCCACAGAGGAAATACCACAAATCTTGACCAAGGATTGTTTTGTTTCTTTTGTAGCAGGCACAGGATCTTTTTTCTCAAAACCTAATAGATCAGACACAAATTCCTTCAGATTCCAAGCACGCATTAAGGCTTCACCCACAAGCACACCACGGACCCCTTGTTTGACATACATCTCGACATCAGCTCTACCAGTAATGCCCGATAAGGCACACAAAATAGTGCCCTCAGGTACCATTTCAGCCAATCGAGAAGTGGTCTCCATATCCACGTCAAAACTATGCAAGTTGCGGTTATTTACACCAATCAATTTAGCACCCAAGGCATTCGCACGCGCCATTTCTTCTGCATTGTTCACTTCCACTAAAGGTTCCATGCCCAATGAGACTGAATAGTTGTACAAATCATGCAAGACTTCATCACTCAACATGGCCACAATTAACAAGACAGTATCACAACCATAAAGACGACCCTCCAAGATTTGATAGCAGTCCACAACGAAATCTTTGCGCAACACACAGGGACGATTAGGTAAATGTGTGATGGCTTCACGGACTTGACGCATGTCATGAATGGTGCCTCGGAACCATTTGGGCTCTGTCAAGACAGAGACCACACTGGCACCGGCCAAAGCGTATTGAAGTGCTTGTTCAGCAGCATTGGCTGTAGCGTCAATGCTACCTTTTGAGGGAGAAGCACGCTTGACTTCAGCCAAAAGAGCAGGTGTTTGTTGCTTGATGCGAGCCACAACATCTTGAAGTGGAGGAGCCACATGAAGTTGCAACAGCTTTTCCAAATCTTGCATGGTCTGGCCGGGAATTTCTTTGGCTGCCTCAACATCCTTCACACGTTGAGCATAGATACGAGTCAAGATCGAAGGTGCATCACTGGTGGTGGTCTCCACAGGCTTAGGGGGTGTTTCTCTCAGTTTTTGAGGCAATACACCGGCACCAGGATTCTCTTCCCAACGACCTCCTTGCAAATTCAAAAAGTTAAGGATCATTGTATGGCCATTTTCACACAAGATGCTTTCAGGATGGAATTGAACACCTTCGACTGTGTACTCTTTATGGCGAACACCCATGATCACCCCATCGTCTGTTGTAGCTGTCACTTCCAATGCGTCAGGGATAGTAGAAGGCATGCCTGCTAAAGAATGGTAGCGAGTGACCATGTTATTTTGAGGCACACCCTTAAACACACCACGACTGTCATGTTTGATACTGGAAGCTTTACCATGCATGATCGTACCAGCATAAGAGACAGTACCACCATAGACTTCAAACATGCATTGTAGACCCATACAGATACCAAGAATAGGAATCTTGCCTGCAAAAGTAGCAATGGCTTCACGAGAAATACCAGCATCGTGAGCTGGATGACCAGGACCAGGTGAAATAACAATATTGCGAGGTGCTAATTGCTTGATTTCTTCAATCGTAATCTTGTCATTACGATAAACAACCACATCAGCACCTTGAGAACACAGGTATTGATAGACGTTGTAAGTAAAACTATCGTAGTTGTCAATAAGTAAAGTAGTCATGAAAAAAAGGTACACGATCCCTCATTCACTACGACACACTGCTTTTCAAAAAAGAAAAAGAAAACGGAGTGTGAAATATCTTGTCAATCTGACTCATCCACTTCGTTTAATGAGAGGATAGCAAGTATACCATTGATTTATTACTGATTAGCTGATTAGTTAATTATACAAGATAAAATAAAAGGGGGGTATGAATAAGGTAGTAAAGTAATAAGAGTGTCTGGCAGAACAACAACAATAACAACAACAAAAAAAAGGACTAAAGTCCTGTAAGCCGATAGGTGCTTACACAGATAACATATTAGCTAAATATGGAAACATCGCTCTTTTAAAAACAATAATTCATGCTTGTCATCTTGCATTCTTTTGTTTCCCTTTACTTTTATGTTGGTCTATGAATAGATTCGGTTAATATGCCCTTGTATTATCTTTATTTTTTTCTTTACCTTGAGGCGGGATATGCTCTTCTTTTACTATATGGGTGGGCTGTTCTGTTCCTTGTTGTTGAGAAGGAGACAAGGACTGAAATTCTTGAATGACACTGGTCTGTCTGCCATAATGATTCAGTATATTGGGATCAATACTATTGCCTCCATATTTTGAATAGTCGATATTAGGATTCATAGCAAGCATACTTTGTTGAGATACATCATAAGTCCCACAATGATAAAGATAATGCATGGCTTGTGAACCCAACATATCTTGATAAGGTGGTGTGATTGAACGATCATAGACACGGCTGCTTTCTGGATACTCAAGTATCAATTGATTTGTCTTGGGTGAAGGTGGCATATGTGACATAGACATTGGCTCTAATTCAAGCAGAAAAAAAAGTTATACAACATCCTTGCAAAATAACTTACTTTTCGTCACGGATCTTACATCCTCTTGTCCAAAGAACTGTGGCAATGGTGTTAATCGAGGCTCAAAGGTCTGTAGATGAGTGTCTTGTTGTGTAACTGTACTGGTACCCTGAGGAGGACTTGTTCCAACCGAGACAGGCGAACTACCTCTTGATGGATGCTCTTGCGTCTTTAGTTTCTTTTCTTTTGCCCTTCTGTTTTGAAACCAGATCTGAATGCGTTCTATCTTTGTATTGAAACGACTGGCAACTGCTTGTTTAATTTCTGTGGATGGTTTTTCGCAGTGCTGATACATGTCTTCCAAAATAGAGATTTCATGTGGCCTGAATCGTTTACGAGATCGAACAGGGACTTGGCATTCATCATCGCTTGATGAATAACTATTTAAAGAAGCTACATCATAGTCTTCATAGGTCAAAGCAGCCTCTTGGTCCGAGATATCTAAAAAGAAGAAAAAATCAGCCCTATTTTACTGATTATCAACTTACTATGGTTGTATTTTCTTTTAGGCATGATGAGAAAAAAAAAAAGAGACACACTAAGGAAAAAAGGGGACCTATATATACTTTTAAACTGATTTATCAGTTGCTCACGCAGTCAAATACTGACAGTGTTTTCTGTCTCTTGTTTTTCTTTCTTATATTAGGACTTCTTTATAAAACAAAAGTGGGTTTATCAAGGTGCATAAAAAGCTTACCAATTCAAGTCAACATCTTCACTACTCTAAAAATAAATGTATCATATAGATTAATCATAAATAATCAATTGATAAATAATAAGAATGCAACTATGGACTCAGTCAGGAACATCCAGTTGAATGTGTGTCTAGAGATCACCATGGTGCCTGATCTGTCATCCAAAATTTGACATGCACGTCAGGTGAATGCCCGCCCGTATTTGATTGGCTTATTCTAGTGTGTGACTGCTTCTTTATTTCTCTCATCCTTTTTTTTTTTTTTTTTTCTCTGAAGACTGCATAAACAAAGAAAAGCATTGAAGAAAGTAAAAGAAAAAAAAAAAGATAGTGTCTGACAAGTCACCTAATGTCAACAACGACTGAACCTCATTATCCGCCTGTAGACACAGGTCTCATCCGATGTATATGTCCTTCAACAGAAGACGATGGATTTACTATCCAATGTGAACGTTGTCTTGTTTGGCAACATGCGTATTGTGTTCACATCACACATACGAACATTCCCGATCATTATCTCTGTGACCGCTGCTCTCAACGCAAACGGCCTAAGCTATCTAAACGTATCCCTATCTCCAAAAAGACATTGAGTCAGTTAGATGCAGCAGACCATATCAAAAGCAAAAAGAAACGACCTGTCAAGTGTCGCATTGTTTCTCGTTATGTGCATCCGATCTTTAAAGAAGCCAGAGAACGTTGGCGTAGTCGTATGGAACAGGATCATGGGCTGCCCTTGTTGTATGACCATGGCCCCTTTGTAGCGATGGACATAACGACGTTATTGACCAAAGGTGTGTTGATGAATGCGCCTGTTTCTAACCAAGGCCTGTTTGCTACTCGACCCATCCCCTCGCTGCGCTACTTGATGCAAGTCACAGGTGATGTGATGCTCAAGTCTGAATTCAAGTTTGATCCTCTGAATGACTTTGTCATTTTGGGTACGCCACTCAGTCACATCATGTTCTATCCTATGCTGGATGTTTGTATCGATACACGTCAGTTTGGTAATAAGGCAAGGTATATTCGTCGATCCTGTCATCCAAATGCAGAACTCAGGAATGTGGTCTTGCCTCATACAGAGGATAAAATGGTGCATTTGGGTCTGTTTGCTCGTCATTTGATTGACAAGGGACAAGAGGTGACGATCAGTTGGAATTGGCAGCGAGGCCATATTGCTTGGAAAGAAAACATGAATTGGCATTATCAACATAAACACAACCAAGATACAAACCAAGTGATTGATGAAGAAGAAGAACGAAGACGAAAAGCAACCATTCAGACCATGTTGGATCGATTCGAAAAAGAGTTTGGTAGTTGTGCCTGTGTCAACAAAAAGAGGTGCTTGATTGAGCATTTAAGGCGGCAATGTAGCATCAAAGAAAAGCCTGTGTTACAAATGCCTGCTTTGAATGGACTATCGACCAAGCGAGTAAGAAGAAAATCATCCGTTATCTTGTTAAAGCCAAAGCCAGAAAGGAAAAAAGTCATACCACCAATTACAGGTAAGAGAAATCGTCACTCATTAAATCATATGAATAACAAACATAGGCTCTCAAGAGAATTCAGATGAAGAATTATTAGATGTAGAAGGTGATATTGATATAGGGGATGAATTACCTGGTTCCAGTCATCCTTTACCTTTGATTCACCCTCATGAAAGTGATGCAGAGGTATCTTCCCTTTCTTCACTTTCAAGTTTATCTGTCTTTGAAGACTCTGAAGAAGATGAAGAACAACAAAAGCGTAGGAAAAGAATACATCATCGTTCTACTAAACCACCTCCGCCTGCTTTATTACCTCGTAAAAAGCTATGGATGCGTGATTATCTCAGCCAACATACAGCAGGTCAATCCAAACAAGAACCTAAGAGACAAGAGGAAGAAGACATTGACATATTAAAAGAAGATGATGCAGAGATGGATCCAGGAGAACTCAGTGATGCCTCTACTATTTTATTAGATGAAGATGAACTCAAGAAAGTGTACAAGAAAAACACATCAGAACAACATCATTTGGAAGCCTCTTTAGACAATGTAGATAACACAAAGAAGCCTTTGGTGAAAAAGATATTATTACAAGAATATTTGTCTAACAAACAAAAAGAGCATTAATACCCCCCACACACTTTTAGTTCTTAATAACATATATAAATTATTATTATTATTTATTAATTGGCAAAAGCAGGAATACCCGTAATGGCTTTACCAAGAATCAAAGCATGAATGTCATGCGTGCCTTCATAAGTATTGACAGCTTCCAAATTAGCTGCATGTCGAATCACATGATATTCATCTGAAATACCATTACCACCCAACATATCACGACACTCACGCGCAATAGCCAATGCTTTACCACATGAATTGCGCTTAATCATCGAAATCATTTCAGGAGCTAACTCACCACTGTCCTTGAGTCTGCCTACTTGAACACAGGCTTGTAAACCAATGGCGATTTCAGTATTAGCATCTGCCAATTTCTTTTGAATCAGTTGGTTAGCAGCCAAGGGACGACCAAACTGTTTACGATCCAGAGTATAAGCACGGGCTTGGCTTAGACATGCTTCAGCAGCACCCAATGCACCCCAGGCAATACCATAACGAGCATTATTTAAACAACCAAAAGGGCCTCCTAATCCTTTTGCCTTGGGCAGCATGTTCTCCACAGGGACTTCGACATTGTCCATCATGATCATACCCGTGATAGAAGCACGTAATGAGAACTTGCCTTTGATGGCAGGTGCTTCTAGACCCGCCATGCCTTTTTCAAGCACAAACCCACGAATCGTGCCTCCTTCATCCAGATTCTTGGCCCAGACAACAAAGACATCTGCAATAGGTGAGTTGGTGATCCACGTCTTGGAACCATTCAGGACATAATGACCATTGACTTTCTTGGCGGTTGTTTCCATACTGCTTGGATCTGAGCCATGATTGGGTTCTGTTAAGCCAAAGCAACCTACCTTCTCACCCTTGGCTAATAAAAGAGGTTAAGCCAATGCAGTCTATGTAGGATATCACTTACCCAAAGCAGGAAGGTATTTTTCTTTTTGTTCTTCTGTACCATAAGCATTGATAGGATGCATGACAAGTGACGATTGTACAGACATGGCAGATCGATAACCAGAATCCACACTATTTTACACACACACACACATACATACATTCAATATTTTTTTCTCACGCTTATTTATAGCGTACCTTTCTACTTCACGGGCTGTCAAACCATAAGCAACAGAGGATACGCCAGCACACCCATAACCCTCAATGGTTGAACCTAAAAAGCCAAGTTCACCCATTTCAGACATAATCTCTCGATCAAACGCTGCACAAACATAAATTAGTATGGTATTGGACAATGTAGACATGACTCACATTCATTACGATAGGCATTCACCACTCGAGGCAAAAGACGTTCCTGACAATAACTTTTGGCTGCATCGCGAACAAAGATTTCATCTTCAGTCAAGAGTCTATCGAGATGAAGAGGATCTTCCCAATTGTATTTCACGAATGCTTTTGAAGCCATGGCTCTTGAAGCCAAAGGTGTTATTCTTGATGTTTGACGTAACACTGAACGAGCCAACATGATGATATATGAAAGAATAAAAGTAAAAGCAAAAAAAAAAAAAAAAAAAAAAAAAAAAATGATATTTATATATATGCAAAATTTCCCACCATTGACTAATGGATATCCGGTTCAAACCGGACAAGTGTGAAAAGATTTCCCGAACATGTCATTTTTCCCATTGTTGATGTACATTCCAACCTGAATATTTCTTATGGACAGAAGAAGAACTATAACGTTGTCGACGAGGTGTCGTAGAAGAATAAAAGCTCTTATGTTTCGGCAATTCTCTGACTAAATCGTCCATCTTGAACACATCTTGTTCTTTTGTTTGGGATTTTAAGTAAGATTCATGGCTATTTTCTCTTTTCCTTTGACTGACGATTTTTGAAAATGGGCCTGATTCATGACATCCGCGTAACACACGCCTCAGGTAATCATAGTCAGGTCGATCATTGTACCGAAGTCGCCTGGTATAATCAATAAAATGCAGAATGCCTTGCGGTAGTCCTAAACACATCTCATGGAGTGACATGTCTTCCTTGATTCTCAGCAGACTATCCCAACCTTGTTTGCATGTCTTAGCTGTGATGCCAGACCAGGGCAATTGGCCGTCCAGCAAGAGATCCAACAAGACATAACCCAGGCTTTCCATATCATCTCGTCTGGCATGCGTACGACCTCGATGAACATTCAGAGAAGCATATCGTGCTGTGCCTGTCTTGTACTTGAGTGGTTTTTTGCATTCAGGATAAGGCTTTTTGGTCTTGGGATGACGCCAATAATTTGCAAGGCCAAAATCAACCAAATAAACACTTGACTTGTCCCAGCTGTTGAGAATGGAACGACAAGAAGGGGGTGAAGGAGGAGGGCTTTGTATAGGTGGCTGATAATAAGAAGATGGGACAAGACAAGAGGCAGAAAACAGAATATTCTCAGGCTTCATGTCTCGATAGACTATGCCTTTATCATGAATAAATTCCAGACAAGTAATCTAAAAGATCAATATGCATCCAACATACTTTGTAGTTACCAATTGACAGCCCAAGTCAATCACAACATCAAGTGGTATATGGCACACTGTTTCCTGAAATTGCTTTAGACTTGTGCCAAGCAAATCAATCACAATACAATCAAAGCCGTCGAATTGACCATACCAATGACAGGTTGGTATACCCGCTATAAAATGAATCAATAAGACAAATGGGTGTCTATAGATACTTACGTCCATGTTTTAATGCACTGTAGATCTTATGTTCATGATACAATTGTGGATGTTCAAGGTCAAGAGGCTCTCTTTTAATCGCAAAGAGTTGCTTTGATATTAAATCTTGCACTTTTTTAAAATGAAAATAAGTCCATTTTAGTGGAGTTACAAATTAATTAATGCAAACCTTTAAACACCTCACCAAATGATCCTTGGCCAATTTTAGATAAAACTAACCATTGTTCACCAACAATGATATCCTTTTGTTTGTTGTCCATACTATATACAAGAAAGAAAGAAAGAAAGAAAAAAGAGAGGATAATAAACGTTCTTTTTGATATTTTTTTTCTTCTTCCTCCCTTTCTTTTGGCTGATGAGGATGTTGAGGATTACAAAACACAAACACAAACACACACACACACACAAAATAAAAAACCAAGTGCTTATATATAACTAGAAAAAAAAAGAAAAAAAAATGAAATGAATAAATAATGAAAGAAAGAAAAGACAAATTATTACCATGGGAAACGACAAAAAAACCAATATGTTTGTGTCGTCATCAGGCCTAACATATACGTTTTTTTTCTCATTGATTCTAAGGTACATTTGAAATCTAGAAAAATATCACGTTGTTCTCAAGATTTATGCATTTTGTTGTTTTTAATAGGAGCAATACTCTATATACTGTCATTAAGGAGTACAAAAGAAGATTTTCTTTTTCTCTCTCTTTTTTTTGTCATACAAGAATGTCAATGATAGCATCACTTGTGTCCATTTAACATAGTATCTTCATCTTTAAATGCATACCAAAATAAGCTTAGAGTGTGAAATCAAGAGTTGTACCTATCGTATCTTGTCAAACACAGCGGAGTCTTTTTGAAACTTATTAGACTTTTTTTTTTTTTTTTTTTTTTTTTATTTTTTTATTTTTTACTCTCTTCTTGTTTAAAAATCTATAAAAAGCTAGTTTCTTAAGGTATAGAATACAAACAAGAAATACAGTCTTTGAAACAACAAAAATATGCTTCAAGCCAGTTCAAGAAATAATACACATATGTTATCTACACCTCGTTCAGCCTCATCTAGTTCAAGAACCACCCGAGTGATGGAAGAACTACAAGACAACTTGGAAACGATTCAAAAAGAACTAGAAAATACTAAAATTCAAGTAAGTAAAAACCCCCAAAAAAAGTCAGGATGTGTAGAGTGACACCTTGTTTTAGTTGTTGACAGTCAAAGAAAACAAAGAACAGAGTGAAAAAGAAAATGAAGAGTTTATTGAGAGCAATAAACAACTTAGGGCTGATATTCAAGAAATCATGCAAATACTTGAATCCAAGCAACAATTACTGGATTCCACCAAAAAGACATCCATGGGCACAGAAAACCAAGTGAAGCAACTGAAAGATGAAGCTATGGCTGCCAGAAAGGAGTTGGACGACTTGAAACGGAGAGAACACACGATCGAAAAAGAATGTCGTACAATTGAATTGCTCAAGGAAAAGCAGTTGCAGAACAAAAAGACACTTGAGCAATCGGTTGCACAATCACAGGCTGAGTTTGCTAAGGAAATTGGAGCACTTGAAATGGAATTGGCTTCTGTACAAGACCAAATTCAGGCTTTGAAGCAAAAAGATGTTGCAGCTGAAGCGAAGCAGATGGTTGAAAAACAGGCCAAGGAAAGACAGGCTTTGATTCAACACTACAAACAAATTCAAGAACAAATAGAATCCAATCACCAACAGTTTGTTGACCTTGTTAAGCAAGAATTAAAGGAATTAATGGAACAAGTGACAGAAGAAACTGGTTTAGATACGCAAGTCAATCACTGTAAAGAAGATGTTGATAGCTTAATTGCTCGTATCAAATCAAATGCTGCTGTGTCAATAACCGAATAAACTAGTTTTTTTTTAATTGAAGGTGTGACAATGCCTTTTTTTTTGTTCTGTATTTTTTTGTTTGTCAACATGATGAAAGGCATCGTATTTCAATAAGCACTTTTTTTTTTAATTATTTATTTAGCTTTCTTGTTCAATTAGCCGGTACAAATAAACTCCTTTTCTTTTCTTTTTTTTTTTTTTTATATAAATGTGCCTGGCGGGGGTATTGATATGATTTAAACTCCTTTAAAAAACGCGTTTTTTTTTTTTTTTTTTTTTTACGCGCCGTTCCTTTCATCTATATACGCCTTTATTATGCAAGAAATGAATGCTTTGATGAACCCTTCTACTTTACAAAGAGATACAGAAGAATGAACAGAGTTCTTCAATCGATTGTTTATTGTTTATAATGTATTTGAAGCGGTAAATAAAACAAACTTTTTTTTTTTTTTTTTTTTTTTACAAGTCTGTCAACATTTTTCAAACTATTTTTTTTTCTTTTCCATGTTTACTTATAGTCATGCACTTGTTACTTGTCTTAAAAGCCTAGGTTTAGCTGATGTAATTTATACAGCAAACACATCAGTTCAAGTCCATATTGACGAGTCTTTATTTATGATACCAAATATTACACATATGTCTTTTGGTTCTGTTAGTTTCTACTTGTTTTGTTGTCTCGATTGGCACCGTGCGTTTATGCAACTCAAGCCATTTTGGCCATCCGAAAATCCTTTAGAGATAAAGAAATACAATCGACTTGCCTTAAGATGGATGCAACAATTAAATCAAAACAAAACATGGCTTAACTATGTACCTTTAGAGCCTGTTTATTTCACAGAATGCGCTGGTCCCCTCATGCAGAAAACCATGTTGGCTTTGACATTGGCTATCATGGAACACTTGATTCAGCACGACTTCAAGACCCATTTACCAGCAGCTCAACATCTCAACAGGGAAAATGTACAGTGGACGTATGAGACATACAGTCATGTTTTTCAAGAGATAGAACATCATCCACAGGATGTCAGAAAGAAACAATTTGAAGGTAAGTCTGGTCTTTTAACCATTCATTCATATTCTCTTAGCCTCTATCATTCAACATCTCAAGTCATCTCAACTTGGACAAGACTATCTACATGCCATTCGACACTATTTGGACAAAGGGTGTCATCATTATCATCAAACAACACCTATCTCGACCACACCAACCACACCTTCTACACCTATGCCAACCACAGTAAAATATACACCCAGCGCACTTGATCTTCAATTAGAAAAAAAAGCAAGAGACCATGTCAAACGGCTACCATTACGTACTCTGTTTAATACAGCCTATTATGACCAAGTCACAGATACCCTTCAGCATTCAGGATTCAGATTTTCTTCTCAATCGACTGAATTGACAGTTGAAAAAGGAAGAAAAGCACCAGAATCACCACCTGAAAAAAGAGATGTGCGTATTGCTTTAGCTAAACTCTATAAGCCATTGGAAGGGTTCAAATCTCATCCAAGGTCATTCCAAACTGAATCAAAAGAGCCCACTCAATCAAAACCTGGGTTCATGAAACGTATGAATTCAACAGATGAAATAGCCAAAAAGCCATCCCCACCAAAATAATAAACTTAACCTCCCACAAGCCTTGATCGGAATATGAATCTAGCTCTTGGACTGTTTCTCGCTTTTAGTTTTTTAGCTTTTTTTTTTTTTTGTTTTTTTTTAGTTTTTTCATTATGGGTTTAGCAGGTCAAAAAGAAAAGCAACGTATTAGTCAAGATCCCAACAATTTGTTTTGGAGTAATGATACTTCCAAATTTGGGTTCCGTATGCTTCAAAAGATGGGCTGGGCTCCTGGTAAAGGTCTTGGTGTCAATGAAGATGGTAAAAAGGAACATGTCAAGATCCGTCTCAAAGATAACAATTTGGGTGTGGGTGCTACTAAAAAAAGCATTGATAATTGGCTTGGCAATACAGATGCATTCTCAAGACTCTTGGCTGATTTAAACTCGAGGACAAATTCAGAAGCCAGTAGTGTTGTTGACGATGAAGAAGAAGAAGAAAAAGAAGAAGAAGAAGAAAAGACAAAAAAAGAAAAGAAGAGTAAAAAAGAAAAAAAGAGTAAAAAGAGAGATAGAGAAGACAGTGAAGAAGAAGAAGAGCCAAAGAAAAAGAAGAGTAAAAAGGAAAAGAAAGAGAAAAAGAAGAGTAAAAAAGAAAAGAAAGAGAAAAAGAAAAAGGAAAAAGCACCTGCACCTGTTGTTTTGCGTAATGCGTAAGTGTCCTACTTTTGTTCTATAAGCTTATTGAACCTTGTTTTTTTTTTAGTGCCCGCGCTAAATTCTTGCGTGCAAAAAAGATGGCTTCAAGTGCAGGCGATCCATCTCATATCAACGAAATCTTGGGTATCAAGACAACTCAAAAGACTGAACATGCAACAGTCGAATCCACTACATTTATGGCTTCATTTTCTGTATAATAGACAACCATTCTTTATTATTATTCTAAAGGTGCAGTAGCAGCTTTAAACACAAGTCTTTCTCTTATTTTAGCTGTGATAATCTCTGTGGATAATTGAGTGTGTTGTATCATGTTGTAATACGTATGAAATAAGTGTGTATCAAGCGATTTAAACAGATCAATGCATTCCATCAATTGAGAAGCAACATAATAATGTGCTGATTCTATAAGAGACAGGCATGAATATATATATACATATATATATTCCTACCTTTTAAAATGACCAAATTGTCAATCAACAAGACAGATTCAAACTGAGATGGTAAATGGTCATGATGTATTAAAGACCAGAACAGACTGGCTGCTTGCTTAAATGCTTTATCTTGAATGCACTGCTTGAATTGTTGATATTGAATCAAGAGTGAATAACATGGACTTGAATGTAAGTCTGTCATGTCCATCACCACTTGATCCAGTTGTCCTGTCTTCAAATACTGCTGGAAGGCTGCATGGGCCAATCGATCCAAAGATGTCCAATCTTGTGCTTTTCCATATTCTATAGTAGCCAATTGTATCTTGTTTGCTTGTTCATGGCGTTGGCCTAATGCTTGATGCAGATATTTCTGAACAGTTGGTAGTTTGTATTGTACCGCAAGATCTAAAATGGACGCCAATGTGTCCATGTCTTGATGATCTACAGGAGATAAAAGCTATGATCATAAGAAACAGATCCAGTAGACTGGACTTACTTGTTGAATCCAGATTTCTTTGTTGGCTTGACAGAGTGTAAGATAGACTACAGCTTCTTTCCACATATCGTATTTCTCTGCAATCATTGTGGCGTATTGTTGAATACCATAAAATACAGGATCCAAGACTTGTTCTGTTTGTTTGGATACCAATGCATGCAGAGGATACACACCCACAGCAATCAAGGCTTGACCTAAATGAGTCTGAAGCCAAATATCATGACCATATACATCAAAAGCATCATCAAATAATCCCTGCAACAATAAACAAGCCATTTTGAATGGTTTGTCATCTGAATGGATGTTCATTGTCTGAGCTACTTGGTTTAGACTAGCAACAGACATCTGTGGTCGAGCATAAAGTAAAGTAGCCAACAGACGCTCTATCATGTTGCCCATTGTCACAGGCTGGCCTATCAAGACATGAAATGCATCTTTAATGTAAGGTAGAGCATCTTCAGCAGATACAGCGACATAGCTCTCAAAACGAGAAATACAGTCATCATGCCATGCTTTCCATTGTTCCATATAGACTGTCTCATTGTCCATAGGTAGTGACGTGTATTGTTGAATGAGATCCACAAGGTGATGACTATCCTTGGAGAGTGTTTCTAGTAACAAGACGGCTTGGTCCATATTACCACGCAACAAGTGTTGTATCGCACTATCCCAACTGGGTTCTTGTTGAATTGGATAGTACTCATTGATCCAATGATTCAGTTCAGTAGCGAGATGCATACGATGCGAAGGAAAATAAAGAATATCACATAATTCCCAAATCGATTGAAGATGTTGTGTTTCTTTACAGTCATGAACCATGTCTGTATACTCTGAAATGATAGGAATGACGTCTTGAAGCCTATGCTTGTGAGTTCAGTGATATGGCAGATGATCTTACTTTGCATGACTCAAGTCATGGGTTGACACCATCTGATCATTCAATCGACAAAAAGTTTTGAAAGATGCATGGTAAAGCTATAGTCTAGTGTGAGGTTAGTTTATTGAATCATAGACTGACCTGTTCTTGAGTCAGATCCAGTTGATTGAATGAATATGTCAGCAAGTCTATTTGTGTCTATAGGGGATGAGAGGATGCATGAGCTCATGACTAGATTGCATTAGCATACCTTTGTTTGTTCAGGTATAGTTGTAGGCTATAAACAAAGCAGTTAGTCTAGACATAAAGAAGAACGCGTTTTATTACAATAGATTCAGACATGATCAAGCCGCGTTTAAGAAAAAAAAAAAAAAAAAGGAAAGAAAATTTTATTAGATTAAACGTCTATTTCAAAATTAGTGATTTGTGGAAGGTAAGCGCAAGCACTTAATTCCAACATGTAAACATCTTCAAACACATGTCTGCCATCATAACCACCCAATACATAGAGTCGAGAATCATGTAGTACAGCCGTATGATAGCCTCTTGGGCTAGGTGCACCACCATAAATCTTGCGTATTTCCCAACTCATTGTCACTAAGCGAATATATGAGTCTATATATGCTAGCGATAGATAGGCTCTCTCTCTCTCTGTGTCCTTACCCAAGTTTAATAACAAGACGTCATTCGAATAGCGACTACCATCATGTCCACCAATAACAAACACATAGGATCCTACTTGTGTAGCTGAATGAGCTAAACGAGGTACAGTACGATCGAGATCGATTTGACTCCATCGACGACTGACAAGATCCAGCACATACACATCACTAAAACACTCATGCCCATCACTTCCACCATACACAATCAGCTTATCTTTGACCAGATTACTTGTATGGTAGCCTCGGGCAATAGGTGGTGTTCCCTCGGTTTGTAATCGAGACCAGATGGGATGAGGCTCAGAGACATCCAACGTATGCACATCCGCCAGCGCACGTGCACCATCGCCTCCACCCACAACAATAATCTTTTGGTTCCAGATACAAGTGGTATGCGCACGTCTGGGTGAAGGCGGTTCACCTACTGTCTTGGGTTTAGACCATACCAACGTGTCTGTATTGAGCACATAGAGATCATTAAAATAATTGGGACCATCACCGCCACCAAAGACATACAGACTATAGGATTTCTTACCTGCACCTGAGTCTCGCTCGACCGTGGTACAGGAATGAGCGCGACAAGGAGGAGGTAATTGACCTGATGTACGTGGTTTGGACCAAGTCAAGGTATCTATCATGTATAAGTTCTCTCTTTTTTTTTTTTTTTTTTTTTTTTTTTTTTTTTTGTATGAATCACTACTTGCCCATATCTAATATATACAATGTATTGAAACATGTCTTCATGTCACATCCACCAAACACATAAAGACATTCACCAATCAAGTTGGCCGAGTGAGCACGTAAAGGTCTAGAGGGACTTTTGCCATACGTAATAGCACGTGACCAATACATACCTGCAGCAGGTGCGGGTGGCACTTGAGGACTGATGCTCAATTCAATCGCGGCTGCTGTATGATCTGACATATGTTTCTTTTTATGAGATCGTATGGCATCATAGCGTGGTTTAGGTGCCATAGGTAAAGGTGGAGGCTCTTGACGTAATCGTTCCAGAGGATAGACTAACAAATCAACATGAATTGTTTTGATATTACACATCATCTTACCATTGGAAGGTAAGGGTGGTGGTGGTGGCATATCGACATAAGTCGCATGTTGATGAGGATGATGATATCGAGTAGGTGAGGTGGGCATACTAGAGTGAGGTGCATTCTCTTCAGGAGGCAACGTAGGTGATTCGGGTCTATCATAACTAAGTGTTGATGAATAAGCATCGTTTCGTCAGCTTGGCATTTACCTTTCTGTCGAATGAACACTACTGGTAGGTTGAAAAAGACTGGATGATCGTTCATTCGAGTGTGTGTTTGTGGCATAGGCTTGACTCATCCAAGCTATAGGTGCTGTTGGACTGGCTTGCTTTTGCCGATCTGACATGATAATGAAAGAAAAAAGAAAAAAAAAAATATTAATAATACGAGAAACGGGAAAATTATGAAGATCTGCGTCACTTTAAAGATGTTTTTTTTTTTTCCTTTTTCTTATTTGTAGGCCATGTCAAATAAATCAGATCAACTTACTATTTTGCGTATTAAACGTAAAAGAACAGAAGAACCTTTGGAAGCACTGTGTATGTCTTGTTGAGAGTGGTATGTATATTGACACCATGTAGTGATTCATCAAGAAAATGAAAAGAGGATCAAAAAGAACAATGACAAACAAGACAAGAGTGTTTTGAAGGGTAAGTTTAAGTATATAAAGCATGTAGACTGATGTGTTTAGTTTCTGCTACTGCACTTCCTACTATCTTTCGTTTGGCCGAGACGGTCGAACAAAAAAGTTTCTCTAATCTGGATGAAGCAAAGAAACTAAGAGTAAAGGGATTCATAAAAACATCACTTGTATTAACACAACAACATAGGATCGTATTTCTCGACGTATTCAACCGGGCACAAGTAGACCACAAACACCTACCTCTATTGAAGACAGAAAGAATAAACGAGTACAAGAACAAAAGGTAGTATATACATGCATGCTAAATCCTAAACTTGATCAGGAAGCAACCACCAAAGCGAGATACAGAGTCATTTTAGAGAATCGATCCAAAGCATCTTCTGAGGATATGCCACCTGTGTAAGTAATCATTTAATCTTTAGGTTTATTTATTGTATACAGTGTACAGAGTTCATCAGAAAAAGCAGCCAAAGATCTGTTTAATATGTATGATGCAGTAAAGGATGATAAGAAACCCAAGTAAGTATACCCTATGTCTGTCTAGTATGGATTTATTGAGAGATCAGACTGTTTATGGACGATAATATGGAGGATCCAGATGATATTATGTGTAATTTTATTCCTATGGTCAAAGAGTATTTGACATGTAAGTATTGTCCTAGTCTGTTCTGTCACTGATATGATCTAGTGCAAGAAAAAGAACAAGAGAAAGAAGATGACTATGTATATGATGTTTATTATAGAGACACAGATCAACACGTCACTACAAACAATATTGGTTCTCTTATTTGGTTTGATGAAGCACAATCCGAATATGTGGATGATGATTCAGACAGTGAACTAGGTGATGAATTAGACGAAGACTCGAATGGTAAAAAAAAAAAAAAAAAAAAAAGTGATGAAACTACCTACATATTTGCTTACATAAAATAGCTGAAGATTATTATCAAAATGATTATCCTGAAGAAGAAGAAGCAAGTGATGAATATGAAGACCGTAAGTATTCAATATATATAGAACAAATAGATAACACAAACTTAGAATTCAATTATGACCTTTCAAGTGAAGATGATGATTATTCATTATAATAAACTATTAAGAAAATTCTCTAATGTTTTTAATATGTACAGGGCCAGTACCACAACAACCACCCACAAGTACTTTAGGACCATACGTTTGAATACACTTGGACATCATACATCCAAAGGCTTCTTCAGGTAATCTGGCAGTAGAATCCCAGCTTCTAGCCACTGCATTCCACTCTTCACCACCATCAGGATAAGCTATCAAAGCACGATGACCATGATCTTGATTGAATCGAGAGACTGTTTCAAACAAGGCTTCTACATATTTAGGCTTTGTGCAGTTGATACCCAAAGCAAAGATCTTGTCACTGGAAAGTGCCTCTAAGGCCTTGAGAACAGGTGTGCCATCAGCAATTTGATCAGATGATCGACACTGGAATGCCACAGCCACAGGAGGAAGATCAGCACCTTGAACCACTTTTTGAATAGCTTGAGCTTCAAGATAAGAAGGAATAGTTTCAAACATGATCAAGTCGACTTTAGATGATGCTAAAAAGATGGCAAGTCGAGAAGCATGGAACTCGACAAGCTGATCCACTGTGATTGAACCATAATCACCTGTGTATTCAGCACCATTGGCCAAGACAGCACCATAACAACCTATGGACAAAGCAACTAGGCGTTGTTGTTTATCTTCAGGATGAACTTGCTTGAATTCATCGCGTGCTTCAATAGCCAAAGCAACACTCTTTTGCATCAACTGAATGGCTTGTTCTTTTGTGTAGCCAGCATTTAAAAATCCTTGCATGGAAGCTTGATAGGAACAACTTGTGGCTACATTTGCACCTGCTTCATAATACATTTTATGAACAGACTAAAACATAAGAAAGAGAAAAACAAAACAGTATAAAAATAATTACCTTGATGGCTTCAGGATCATCTTGAATACATTGAGCAGACCAAAGTTTACCTAATAAATTGTATTAAAAAAAAAAAGAAATTTCTAGAAAAAAGTGTTACCAGATAAGTCTTTGCCAAATGTTCTTTCAAGTTCAGTGGCAAATCCACCATCAAGAATTAAGGGATAATCAAATGTCATAATAGATTAGAAAAAGGAAAAAAAAAAAAAAAGAGATGAAAAGATGAAGATGGAACACAAGCTTGAGATTGAATTTCATTTGATTAAAACTGATCTATTATTGTTCAATCAAATGTCGTGATGATTATTCAAGGGCTCATTTGATTGGCTAAGAGGATTTACCATAATCTATTGAGAGCTTCACATTCATTTTAAATTCAGAATGATTGTATTGAGTGACAAGTCCCATTGAGTCTGGGCCTTTTATACAGCCAGTTCATTTCAAAAAGATTGGTTTTAAATATTTAATGAATTTTATGAATTTTATAAATTTATTATTTCTAAAATTATTTACTATTTACATAAAAGCAACTCAGACTTGCTAAACCATTTTTTCGAATTGACTTACGCCTAAGAAAGATTGTGAATTAGCACAAGTATTAAAATACAATAATGAAAGTATTTTTTATGTATAACAATCTGAAATCAGATAAAAAATTAACACTTTATCGGTCATGTAAGAGCTCCGTGTTAGCATGGAATGTATTGTGCTCATCATTCAAAATGATATACATAAAAAAAGGACTTTCATCTTACAACTTACCAAACAGAAAAAAGTAGTTTAAAGAGATTTTTTTTAAATGAAAAAGAAATGCATTTATTGATTGAGATAACAACACACACAGTCTATAAGAAATATAAGTGACAAGTTCAAACAAATGAGATACAAGTGCATTTTTGTCTTTTTTTTTTTTCTCGTGTCAGAAAAAAGGGTATGAGCTGCATGTTTTATCGACATGTATACGTTTCCGCCTGGGGCGGCAAAGCATTCATCATGGATAGAATACAAAAAGAAAACAAAAATGCTTACTTGTTCACTATGATATTTACCTTTTCAACTAAAAAAATGATAAAGAGCACAATTAAAGTGCTTGAATGGCTTTATAGTTTTTCAAAAGAAAATTTTTTTCTTAGCTGACCGCTTTTTTCCTTGGCCAATCAATAGCTATCTATAGTGGTCACAAACAGTCCCAAAGACAAAATTTCTTTGCGGTACTTGTAACCTGCAGCGTCCTTTGAATAGAAGCTTATCATATCCAACGTTGATAAATAAAGTAATCACTTAATACAAAAAAAAAAAAATATCATATCCAACGCTGCTCTTTTAGACCTCGAAAATATCTAGCACTATAGCACTTCTAAACTGTTTATGTATTGGAATTGAGCCTGGTAAAAATGAGTGCCAGTCTACTGGGTACTATCTACTGAAAAGGGCTTTTTTTTTTTTTACCAATTACAGTGTGCAATAAGCTTTGAATGCAGATTTGAAGCCAATGCTTAAATAAGGTTGACTTTTTCGTCTTAGTAAGCTCGCTTTCTTTTCTTCAAAAGTACCTAGAGATGGCCTTGTTTGATTTCGGCTGGATCAGACCTATATTGGCTTATTCCAAAAAATTCTTGATCGAAAAATAAACTTCATCCAGGTGCCAAACCAATGGCACCATTCAATTCTTGGACTCGAAAGAACATGTTTTAAATGAAAAAAATAGCCTTGTTGGTAATGTAATTGTCGAGCAATAACCCATCAAAGATTGGCCTGTCTAAGCTGTGTTTTGAGCATTTCTGCCCTAGACGTCATATAAAACGTGTTAGTAATAAATCTTTCAAAGCTATTGTATGTTACTTAGGGTGCTAAGAAGCATGGAGAAGTAAAAAGATAGGTATTTTATGATGTAAATGTGGGTGTAAACAAACATAGGACATACCAGATGGCAATATGCGAAGATTAAAATGGAAGGCAACTCCAACTCTTCTTGCTGCCGCATCAAAATCGGACTTTTGTTGAGAACTGCATGAAGATGCAGTTATTCAGCTTTGATGCAGTGAAAAAAAAAAGTTGTAAATCTTTGTTTTCTGAGTCGATTGATATAGAAAAAATAATAGCTTTGGTGCCAAAATATTGAGTAAATAGACAGAAATGACTACGAGGTTTTTGGCTCATATCGTACCATTTTCATAGTACAATAAGCAAGCAAGCACGTTCGCCAAAAACTACAGCGTCAGACGCACATTCTGAGTATTTTACCTCATTGATAGCTCTATCTTTCGTCTTGTAGCGTCAAAAAGAAGACCAGAAGTTGTCAAAGTGAGCTTTTTTCGTGAATAGTACCCTTTGCTTAAAAGGCCATTTTGACCAAATTTTACAAATCACTTTTTTTTTCCAAATCAACTCTAAAGGTACCATGGATGTTAGCAAGCATTGTTTGTAGGTATTTGGAGCATTTATATGTGTGTGCATAAGTCTTAAAGCATCTTTGTTTGTTTAAGAAAAAGACAAAGGTTTGTGTGGATTATTGGCTTTTTTTTTCACAGTTAGAGTACCTATTTGCCTGGTACATCTGTTGCATGAATAAATGATGGAATACCAAACTATCTATTCAAATAGAATGCCTTACAAAAACACACTTGAATCATTGAGCTGATGAGTCCTATGAGTCTGGTGAGTGGTTTGAACTGAATCTAAGTCGAATTGGCTTGATTTTTGTGAAAGCAGACTGTTCGAGAAGTCTTCAATTGAAATGTATAGTCTGAGTGAAATAACTATATCTTGGAAAATTTAATAAAAAAAAAGATACTAAAAACAATGCCTGTAAACGCACTATAGATTATGCTTCAAGCCTCAACTTGTAGCTGATAGTCTATTATAATAATACCAATGATCTAATCTCGCTATACTCTTAGTTTATCGAACACTGTAGAGCAGTGCGTGAATTCTTCCGTTAGATTATGTAATAAATAATTATAGCGAGAGCTTTAGAGTTTATACAAGTAAAAGATATGGTACCAACAAATGCTGGTGTAACAGCAACATCATAGTTTTCTCTTGTCAAATCCTTATTGACAAAATGGTATGATAGGGATTTTAACTAGCTTCTGATTCGAAGATGGTCTAGTCGATGTTGTACATTTTGCAATATCTATCTTTACAATAGGCAACACCACAATATGTTATATGATAAGTACGTCCTACAACAACCTTGCTCTTTTTTAAATAATTTTGAATTGATTACTCTGAACTGTTAATAAAAGCTTAAACCAACATATAGATGTTTGCCTGTTTCCCCAAATCTGGAGACCTAAGACGGTTTCTTTGTGTCGCTCTATTATTAAGCATTTCAGCGTTTTGTAATGATATTTAGCTAGAAATGAAGTATACTGAACTTATCCAACAGATACATAAACTGCTATCTAACGTCTAGCGATCTAAAAATCTTGTAGTATTCTCATCTGATCTCTGTACACTTCAAATAAAGCCCTTCTAATGGCATATGTATTCTTGAATGTTCTTTTTAACCGTCATCGAGTAAATGAGTAACAAGATATATAAATTATTACTAGATTGCTTGATACTAAAAACAGGTTCATTTACTCAAAATAAATTGTTTCTGAGACTATTCAAATGTTTTGAAGTTCATCTTTTTATTGTGCAACTTCTTTACAACGAATAGATGGAGGCACATGGGAACACAACGTCTAATTTGCCGATAAAGACAAAAAAAAACACCTTGTTTTTATAACATACAATAGTAATAAAAGTAAGATACAGGGTAAATTCATAGCTTGGTATAATGAAATCATCTTTCCGAAACAGTGAATAGTTTCATTGCTATGTTAAAAATTGAAAACAAAATAAGGTAGCCTTTTTTTTCTATAATAGTCAAATATATAAAGTGTAGATCCGAATTAAGGTTTATTTGTCAAGATAATATATGTTGTGTGACATCTCCAGAGACAAATATACCATAAAGGAAAAGAAGAAGAAATTTAACCAGTTTATTGGTGCTGACACAATTTGCCTTTCTTAAAAACAACTTGCAACATTCTAATTTCAGCTGGAATATTATCCTTGAATACGCAATGGCTTAAAAAAGAATTAGCTCAATAGATTATCAGCTATTGACATTTGTTCTAGAAAACAAACAAGGATTCACCAGTCGTTACTACCATAAATAAATTGTAGAATCTGCAGCAGAAAATGTTGTTTACTGCAATGTCCATTTTCTAAAAAATCAGCCTTAGCAATAAAGTTTCTTATTAAAATTTTCGATAAACTTGCGCTCAATTAATAAAAGAAAACAATAGGAATCATTTTATGTCGATCATTAAGATGACTTAAATCATATTTAGTTAGTAGTATTGCTTTAGTTTTTGAATTGTTTTTTTTTATCAGATTACAACTTCTGGGAAAAACTCATATATGTATATCTATGCAAAGTGTCTCAATTAAATGCAGTGATCAATTTACTTTGTCCAATAAACGCTATTTATTTAAAACTCATGATGCCAAAATGAAATATTCTAATAATAATAATTGTTGTATGATCGCCCGGATGCTCGCTTGTTCAAAGCTTCATTGGCATTAAACATGCTGCCCTTTTTCTTATAATAGAAATGCCAGTCGTCAAGGTTTAGTAAAAAAAAAAAAAAAAAAAAAAGAATCAAGAATATAAATACGCTGCAGATCAAGCATCTCAAAAATATTCTTCATTCATACCTCAAAATGGTTTACATTCCTTCTCTTTCCTCTTCTCTTGCTCTCATTACTGTTCTTGCTTCTGCTGCTCAAGCTGCCACTTGTACTGTTGCTACTACCGGTAGTGTCTCCAAAAACATTGCTACTGCCTTCAGTAACTGCGCTAATGGCGGTACTGTCGTTTTCACCAAGGGTGCTACTTACAATCTCGATGATGTTGTCTCTGTCTCTGGTTTGAAAGGTACTACTGTTCAATTCTATGGTACTCTCAATTTACCTGCCTACAATACCAAGTTTGACAACCTCAATGCCTATCTTACCATCAAGGGTGACAAAATTACTTGGGACGGTGCTGATGTCGGTGTCATCAACGGTAACGGTCAAAAATGGTGGGATGCTTTGGATAAGAAGGCCCCTACTGTCTTGAGAATCACTGCTACCAACTCCAACTTCACTCACTTCAAGATCATCCAAGCTCCTCGCGCTCACATTGGTATTACTAGTTCCAACCAAGTCACTCTTGACCATATCAATATCCATACTCTTTCTACTAGTTCCAACGATGCTCATAACACGTAAGATGACTTTTAGTTTCTGAATACTTTTTGCTAACATACAGTCTTTAGTGATGCTCTTGACATTTCCAACAGTCAAAACGTCTATTTTCAAAACTCCAATGTCGTTAACGGTGATGACTGTATGGCTATCAACGGTAACACCTCAGGCGTTCATGTTAACAATGTTACTTGTAACGGCTCTCATGGTTTCTCTGTTGGCTCTCTTGGTAAGGGCGGTGAAACTGATGTTGTTTCTGGCATCTATGTTCAAAACAGTGCTTGTGTCAACTGTCAAAACGGTGTTCGTATCAAGACCTGGCCTGGTGGAAAGGGTTCTGTCAGCGATGTCCACTTCACTGGCCTCACTCTCACTAACGTTGATAACCCTATCCTTATCACCACTCACTACTGTGACAATAACCAACAATCTTACTGTAAAGGTAACGACAATGCCTCTTTGACCATCAAGAATGTTGAGTTCAAGAGCATCACTGGTTCTGTTTCTTCTGCTGGCAATCCTATTGTCAACATCAACTGTTCCAAGAACACTCCTTGCTCTGGTTTTACTATGTCTGGTATCACTATTACCAAGAACTCCAAGACACCTAAGAATATTTGTACCAACCTCTCTGGTTCTAGCAGCATCTCTTACTGTAGTCAATAAGTTCTGAATAAACTATTTATTTATCTTTATTATCCATATAATTGTGAGCATTTCAATGTTGTTCTTATCATGGTTATTGCTTTAAAAAGGCGCTTATTATTGGCCAATGTTTTTTTTTGATATGTTGTAATAAAGTGTATTACACTTTTATGAGTTTATTGCTTCCTCATTCAACTTATTCGAGCTAACTAGACTCACTTGTATTGTATACATCGCCTTAACAGAAATATTTGCTTGCTATGACATATCTTGTTTGGTCCATTGAATGCAAGGTATAATGTAATTAATCACAAATCACTTTCACCAGTTACATTTGAGTAACAAAAGCCGTCAGACACTAAATCCTTATTCACCAAATATGGTCTTTTTTACTTAGTTTATAATTTGTACGACTATTCATGTATCAAGTGAAATGAGGTTGTGCAGCTTTTTTTTTTATTAATCACTCTCTCATGCAAATAAGTATTATAGTTCAGTACTTATATTCATTATTTTAGATAGCGTAAGCTTTTTTCCAGCCAAAAAAATAGGCAATTGTTTAGTCTTTGAGTACAAAAAAAAAAACTTAAACATTAAGCATGTATTTATCGAGCAGTCATTGCATTTCGTAATAGTGGTCTACTACAACGGTTTTGTGTATTTCTATATCCATTTTGATGCAATGAAAAAGACCAAATTGTATTACTAATCCCTAGACGTTTTTTATGCATAAAATGCATTCTTTTTTACTTCAATACGAAACAATTTGCTTCGTACAATGGCACAAGCAATTTTATTCATATATGATTGTGCTCGCCAAAATCAGACTAAACAAAAAAAGATAACCTAATTTTAGAAAAGTCTATCAGTATTCATCTATCTTTTATAAGTAATGCAATGAATGTGTGCTGCTTTACTATGAATTGTAGCCCTTTAATGAAGCTCATGAGGTGTATGTATATTGACTAAGAAATTGGCATCAGTTAAACTTATTTGAGCCACAATAGACTCATTCCTGTTATTGTTAAGCTTTGTTTGATCTAGGCTTTTCATCCTTAGTATGACACATCGAATGCATGAATACAGACCTATCTATCCTAACACATTCATGTCGACTGATACTTTTCTATCAAACTAGCTTTTGTAAAGCAAGCACATGCTAAGACTCACTATTGTTTAATTGTAGGACCAAGGATTGATTCCCTACGTTTGTGTACCCAGGTGCTGGCCACGACATAACTTAATCATGCATATTTCAATCGAATTGCACTAAATGCGTTGAATTGATCAAAAAAAGAAGAATTGTCTGTAAAAGGAATGAAGCTACTTGACACCCTTATTTTCTGATATAAAAAGAGACAGCATTGAAAAACAAAAATCTTTATTCAAACAATAATCCTTATTTGACTCTTTCCTGCTCCTTTTCACAAAAAAAAAAGATGAAGTTTACTCTTGTCTCTTCTTGTATCGCACTTGTTGTGATGGCTATGGCAGCTGAAGCTGCTCCTTCTGGCAAGAAACTTTCCGTTCCTTTGGTCAAAAATGAAAACTACAAGCCTAATGCTAAGGCTGCTGTTGCAAAGGCTAGAGCCAAGTATCTCAAGCACATCATTAAGCCTCTTCATGGTGTTCCTTCCAATGTCACTACCGATGGTACTGGTTCTGTTCCTGTCACTGATTATAGTAATGATTCTGAATACTATGGTGTTGTTGGTATTGGTACTCCTGAACAAAAATTCAAGTTGGATTTTGATACTGGTTCCAGTGATCTTTGGATTGGTAAGTTCATTTTTCTCATTGACAGTGATAGCTCATGATGCATATAGCTTCTACCTTGTGCTCTTCTTGCAGCTCTCAAAACCAATACGATCCTAGTAGTTCCAGCACCTACAAGGCAGATGGTCGCTCTTGGTCCATTTCTTACGGTGATGGATCCACTGCTAGCGGTATTCTCGGTACTGATACTGTCAATTTGGGTGGCCTCAAGATCGCTCATCAAACGATTGAATTGGCTAAGCGAGAATCCAGCTCTTTCTCTAGTGGCCCCAACGACGGTCTTTTAGGTCTTGCTTTTGACACTATCACTACTGTCTCTGGCATCAACACACCTTTTGACAACTTGGTCGACCAAGGTTTGATCTCTTCTCCTGTATTTGGTGTTTACCTCGGTAAGGCCTCTAACGGTGGCGGTGGTGAATACGTCTTTGGTGGTTATGACTCTTCCAAATTCAGTGGTAGCTTGAAAACTGTCCCTATTGATAACTCTCAAGGTTTCTGGGGCATTACTGTTGACGGTCTTTCGATTGGTGGTCAAGACGTGGCTGATTCTTTCTCTGGTATTCTTGATACTGGTACCACTCTTTTCTTGATGACGGATGATAATGCTGATGCTGTTGCTGAAGCTTATGGCGCTACAGATAACGGTGATGGTACTTATACAATCAGTTGTGATACTTCTAGCTTTGACCCTCTTGTCTTTACCATCAATGGCGCCACTTTTGAAGTACCTGGTTCTGACTTGGTCTATGAAAATGATGGTAGTACTTGTTACGCTTCATTTGGTAAAGGTGGCCTTGACCAAGCTATTTTGGGTGACACTTTCTTGAAGAACAACTATGTCGTCTTTAACCCTGAAGTTCCTCACGTTCAAATCGCTCGTATTTAAATTATTTATTAAAATAAAATGTAGTTTCTTTTGTTAAGAATGCTGTGAATAATAAGAATTATGTTGAGGATATGTTACATGTTGTGGCTCAGGAAAAGACATTGGTTCTTTTCTATTTTGAGATTGTTCGTACATGAGATTACTGTTTGAAGGATAACTATTTGAAGCTGGTGAATTTTGATTGAGTTCAGTCATTCTGTAATCTACAGAATCTGATTGTTCATTTAACAAGTTCGATTTATCAACACCCTCAGTCTCTTTTCTCTTCTTTAATTCGCGTCGCTTTTTCATTAACTGGAACGAATCTGCGCCACAACGCAAGGCCATGTACAAAAACTCGGGAATATAGGCTATATAGCCATCTACAAAAGCTTTCCAGGGCGACATTTTCTTAACTTGGCCTACACTAGCAGCACTGGCAATATTGTCTTGAGGACCAAAAAACTTGTTCATCATAATACTATCGACCATCATCACTACACAGACGATAATCACATACAAGCCATTTTTGACAGCATCAGCAGGCCATGCGATACTGCCATGTGATCCATCGGTGCCCTTAATTACACCAACTGTGGTCAAGATAGTCAACAGAATTTCACCAAAGTAAAAATTGACCATGATAGGACCCTTGACACACCAAAACATACCATGGGCGCGAATATGGCCTCGTTTCCATTCGTTATGAAAGACATCGAGATAGGTGAAAAGAGCACCCAAAATGACAGATAAGGAAATAAAGTTGATGATGGTCAAGTAGACATAAGCACCACTAAAACTGTAACTGCCTTGACAATAACGACCTTTGAGTTCTGCAAAAATGGACATAAAGGAATCTAAAAGTGACCTAGAGAGAGCTATAAGCAGAAAGAAACCTTATGATTGTGTTGTTCTTACCAAATAGGGTATTGAAAGACAAGAATATCTGTAATAATACGATAATGCATTCCCCATTTTGATTTTCTAACAAAGTCAGTTTACAATGCACTATTGAATAAAATGTCTTACAAATGAAGATTATAAACAAACATAATCTTGGTATCCTTGGGTTCTTTTAATGCACCAGCTTCTTGTCGAAAAGGCTTAAGATAGGCTTGTAAACAAATATACAAATTAAATACAGCAAATGCTTCAAACACAGTCGCAAAAAATTTGATGGTGGTAGAATAATCATATCTTAGGTAACCAAACCATGATAGTGTGGCGTAGACAGGTGGAAACAAAATCACCCGTAGTTTATGTCGTTGTATTTGAGGTTCGCTTCAAAGAAAAGGTTAGTATCGCTTCTATCTATAGCATGATACACTTACTAGTAATTTCTCAGGTGCTTAAACATAGTCATCAGTGATATAATCCATGTTACTGCAAGAATACCAACACAGACAACCCAGCCAATAACATGCCAATTGCCTGTTGGATCTGTTCTAAGTGAAGACCAATCTAATCCTGGTTCACTATAAAGCATGAGTATTTTTCTTTTTTATTATAGGGATACATACAATCCTCCTTCCATAGACAACCCAGGGGTTGTAGGACAGCTATCAGCCTTTGTTTCATTTGAGCTCATTTTTAAGAAAGAAAATAAAACCAAATATAGACTTTTTGAATAGAAAAAGAAAAAAGAAGGAGAAAGTAAAAATAAAAAGGTTTTATAGCTACACCAGGAATAAACATTGTTATTTTTATTGGCTTCATGATATTGACGGAGTATCAAGGCGGATGGTGAGGCGGGTGTAACCATTTCGGCGCCTATCGACGGTTGAACAAAGAGAAAGAACAAAACCATTGTATAATTCACTTTGTTCATGAATAAGATGTGCCTCTAGTATAGAAATACTCGTATAAAGAAAGAAATAAGATCAAGAAACAACCCCTAAAAAAAATAGGAAAAAGGAGCAGTTACAGTTTAGAATTTTTGACGCAGTGTCCAAAATGCTTGGCAAAACATGCCGAGTATTTTCCTATTAGCAGTCAGTTATTTTATTCCAGTATTACAAAAGAAAAAGTTAAGAAGTATTATACAAATTTAGAAAATTATTTATGAGCCACATCCTTTTGTTACACGTCCACAAAGCGTAATAAAGATAGTTTATTCAACATACAATTTGTTCTCTTTGTGCCATTGTTCCAAAGAACAATCAGGATATTCTTCAAATACATGCTTGTCTGCATTCACAGCAGGTGTAGGAATCCAGTTTGCCTTGGAGCCAATCATAATTCGGTAGATTTGCGATTCATTCAATTCAGGTAAATCAGTATCAATAGCAGAAGCATAAGGGTAGACCCAGTTGGACCATTTTTTATCATAAGCATAGAGATGTGAACCACATTCACCACAGAAATAACGGATGTTGCCACTAATGAAATGGTGAGTTATTTTTATAGTTATTAGAGTAGTTTACCATAATTCATGGGTTTTTTTGTCTCTCACAGCACGGTACTCTCTAAATAAATGATGTTAGTTATTTTTACATGCACGACTGAGCTTTACTTTAAATATTCTTTTCCCTCTACTTCAAGCGTTTCATACTATTCACTATTCAGTCGATAGTCTACGCGTTTATGCTTGTTTACCTCGCCCATAATATTAATAGCATAGCCACCACCACCTTGACACTTGCGACAAATAGAACTTTAAGGAATAAATAATGCATCTATAAAATATACTGCTTACCAATGACATTGCATAAACTATACATACATGAGTGAATAATACATTTACTTTTCAACTTACAGGTGCAGGTGTATGAGACTTGACTTTAAACTTCACTTTCTCACAATGGCAAGAGCCTTTCAACTCCATGATAATAATAACAAACTAAAGAAAATACACACACATGACATCAATGCTCTTTTCTTTTCATATACGAAATGACAAGTGAGATATGATTGGCTTAGTTCGAATCCCCGAAATGTGACGTTCATTGGCCAGCACGCGAGTTTTTCTTACATTCCATTAAAAAAAAGAAGGTTATTGTTCAAGGCACATTACTCAACCTTCTTTCAATAGAAACAATGCCTAGACGTAAAAGAGGAAGACAACCTATGGGCTCACCATCACACACTTCTGCTCAAAAACAAAAGGGCTCGCCTTCCCCTGAGCCAGAAGTTATTTCCAGTACGCGTTCTTCTAGTAGAAAGAGAGGAAGAGCCAGTTATCCATCTACACCAGAAGAGACTACAGACACAGCCAAACGCAGACGGGAACAGAGTCCCACCAACAAATCAGATGAAGAGTATGAATCTGATATTGATAGCACAGGAGAAACCAAAGTGGATGCCAGTGGCAACTTACTTGGAGGTAATGCATCATGTTTAGACATGAGGACTCATTTTTTCTTTTTACTAGGTCGAGAATATAAAGTACCTACATTTACATTACCTGAACATGGAGATCAGTTACTCATGTTGGCTATGGAACCTACAAAGGCTCTTGGTTATCGTGATAGTTATCTGTTCTTTCATAAACATCCCTCACTTAAGCGTGTGCGTATCACAGAAGAAGAAAAAAAGGCATTGGTCGATATGGGCATGTTGGTGACTTGGTTCAAACATCGCGATGTAGCTGTCGTTACTGCTCGTTCTGTCTTCAAGTGCTTTGGACACAAAATTATCAAACGAGGCAAACGTATCAAGGACGATTATTATGAAACTGAACATGAAGAACGACCTAGTAAATACCGTAAATCAGCTAACGACATCAGTGATATAGATACACCTGTACAAGATACACCTATGGAAGATGTACATCGTAAATCGCTTATTACTAGAACAGTCAAGTCAGAAGGATATGCTTCAGAGGCACCTATGAATCACCAAACATGGATGCATCATGCTGCATTAGCAGCAAGAGGATTTAATGCTCAATTGCATGAACGAAGGGCAGCTAAACCAACATTTTACGATATTCACTCGAATGTAAACCAAGTTCCTTCTGCACTGCAGCCACAATCATGTACGTTTGAAATGGTCAAGGCAGACACACCACAGGTTGAATTTAAACCAGCCAGTCAATCTCGTTTCCATGGTATTGGCCGAGAATTGTTAGACTCCGCAAACCAACCCGAGATAAAGCAAATGGATGAGGATAGTCAATTTCCTTTGGCTTTGATGGAAGGACAATTTCAAGCGAATTTCCCTCTTCATCAAGCCAGATTTAATTATCCTGTGCCTAAAATACCTGATCCTTCCAACTTGATTGACACTGCACAATCATTGGCTGCTCAACAGTATTATTTAGGCCTTGTCTATCAATCTGTAAATCAATACACACCCGAACAACAACAACAACAACAACAACAACAACAACAACAAAGACAGTCTATTAACAAAAGACCACCACAACCACAATATCAACCTATCAAATTACCGCCACCAGAACCCATTGTGTGTGGTGTTCCCTTGGGTGGTAATCAAGTCTGTAAAAGACCAGTGATTCGAGTAGGCGAACGATGTTCAATCCATATGGTATCCAAACCAATGTCTGATTTTGCTAAAGGACCACCTCCTGTAAGTACCCAAAGTAATCAGCAATTAGATATTGATCTTGATTTAGAACATTGCTTATTCAGACAACAAATGTGCTGATTGTCATGAACTCAAAGCGGCTGATAACCTGTTTAGTTCAGCAGAAGAACATATCACAGACGATTTTGCTGTTGTCAAATGTGCCAAATGTACACGAAAATACCACCCTATCTGTGCTAATCTGACAACACCACGTCAAATTGCTGCTGTTGAGAGTTATCCATGGTCTTGCCCTGAATGCAAAATATGCTGTGTTTGTAAAAGTGCTGGTGATGAATCCACCTTGATGATCTGTGATGGCTGTGATCGTGGTTGGCATACAGGTTGCTGTAATCCCCGCGTAGAGCATGTGCCTGAAGGATCATGGCTCTGTCCACTCTGTGCGAATTGCCATGGCTGTGATGAACATGGTATGGCTGCTGAATCACAATATACACACGCCATTGCACCCCCAAGCGATCGATACAAATACCCCGTCTATTTAGCTACGTACTGTAACAAATGCATTGAGCATTTCAATGGAGATCGATTCTGCCCTGTCTGTCTCAAGACATATGCTGAAGAAGAGAACGATGACGAAGACAATGAAATGGTAGCCTGTGATACATGTGATCATTGGGTTCATACACGCTGTGATGAAATATTAACACCTGAGAAATATCAATTGTTATGTGATGAAGAAGAAGCCAAATATTCATGTCCTATGTGTGAAGATAGATACAAACGATTGATAGACACAAGTACAGCGGATTTAGCACTGAAGGGGTTGTCTGCACCCAGTGGATTTTGTATAGGCTTATTAGGAGGAAAAGTAAGTCATCCCAAGTGATATTTATATTGATTATTCTAGGTTAAGACAAGAGGCATTGTGAAATATAAACAGAGTAAAGTGGGTGTGCCAGAAATCAATGGCACGGGCATTGCTGAAATGCCTTCCAATTAGTTGCTTTTTTGGTTCACAGTAGAGAGATACGCATTCCAACCCAAGGCTACTACATTGGTTACCATCAAACGATAATTCAATGGTGTAAAATAAAAGTTGACAATCTGAACTGCAGGCCAAATCTAACATTGTTGTTAGCTTCAATAGAAAGATATACTCTATCATTTACCTTGTAATTGCCAACCAGTGCTGTTGTATAGCCACTCGCTAATTTGTCCTTGATATCCCGAATCGATTTACCTTCAAACAAGCCTTGTCCAGTAAAGAAGGCTAAATTCATGTTTAGTCTATTTTGTTTATATATGCATTATTCTATACCTGCTATGAAAAAGGGAGCAAAACAGAATTGATCCAATGCTACCTTAACAAAAAGACCTTGAGCAGGACTCTTGATAGTCACTTTTCTATCTACAAAACGATACCATTGACTAAGAACAGGTCCTGCAAAGACACCACCAAATGCTGTCATTCGCAATGTTCTTTTCATATCATGGTTTTCCCAGCCTTGTTTTTCAACAAGTTGTTGTGCAATGACATCGCCTGAATGACAAGTCAATCAATAAGATCGTTAATCACTTATTTACCTGCACCAAACAAGACAGCTAAACGAATGTTGCTCAATAAACAAAAATGCTGCTATTTTTTTTTATGTTACCTGTTGAAAGACTTTGGACAAGAATAGGTCTTTTGGTAAGCACTTTATGATATAAACCAAACATGCTGATCAAGTAAGGAAAAAAAAAAAAGGGAATCTTTATCTCCACTCTATGTGCAACATGTCACTACCTTAGTTACTCCCAATACGAAGCAATTCGCCAAAAGTGTATTGCGGATTTTTAAACTAATTTTATGTTTTCATTTTAATTAGCGACTTCAATTTCATTAGTACCTTGACAGTTCTCGGAATGCAACATTATATTTGTGGATACTGGAGGTCTTTGTTCGTCTACAAAGTATTTACCAAAATGATGAATACATAAAAGCTATTGCATTCTGACACAATGGGCCAAGTCTCTTTCTGCATACTGTATTTATCAGTTGTAGGGGATCTATTTTCATTTCTTTGTCAATGCTTTGGTTTTGTTCGATTGACGCCTTCTGGAAACTTTGAGATTCAAGTGTGACCTGTTAAAAGGACTGCTTCATAGCGATTATTACCCTAAGGATCAAAAAGGCAGCAAAATAGAGAGTTAAATCAAGAAAATGCTTCAACCAGAAATTTCCTCAATGATAAAAGATAAATCAACAGCATACGTAAGTTGTTTTTATTGACTTGATACAACCTCAGCAGAAGACGGTAAGTAAAGAAGCTATCTGCTCCCCCTCGTTTCGTTAACATGACATACTCAAGACACTAAATGGGTAACACAATTACGATGGACTGGCTTTTTTTTTTATCCCAGGAACAAGTAATGCATTAGCATGCATCAACCACTTACTGGATAAACCCCCGCCCTATTCAGTAAGATATGTCTAATTTAAAGACAAGATGAAAACGACAAAAAATATATTCTCTGTATTGATCTCTTTACTGCTTGTCATCGAATACTGACGCAATAAAAGGTTTTCATGTTTCACATTTGCTCATCTTGATCTTGTAAAAGGCGCGGGCGGTGAACCGGCGGGAGTTGTACAAAAAAAAGCTTTTTTTTTTCATTTAGTATTTTTTTTTTTGTTTTTCCTTTTTTCTCTTGCGTTTAACCATGTCTGCACTTTTAAATAAGCTTAGACGTCGTCCATCTCATGAATATCCTCCTTATCAACATCTGGAACAACATTTTGAGTCTGCAGAAATAGTGCGTGACACTATTATTGGTCTTTCAGGTAACTTTTTATAAACAAAAATGTACAATGATTGATCAACCCATAAGATGGTTTGACTGTGCCTTTTGCTTTGGCTGCTGGTCTTTCTTCTCTCGGTAGTTCCAAGCTCGTCATTTATGGTGGTGCTGCAGGTAAATAAAGATGATAGCATAGATTTTAATTGACTTTTTTTTTTTTTTAAAAAAAATAGAACTTGTCAGGTAATGTTTGTTCAACAGTCGATACGTGTAACATACTCATATAAAAACAGTGGTGCTATTTCAATGGGTTTAGGTGGTTATTTAGCTGCACGTTCTGAAATTGAACATTATCGTACTGAGCGTTTGCGTGAAGAATTTGAAGTGGAAGAATGCCCTCAAGATGAAGAAGAAGAAATTGTAGAAATCCTTGAACCTTATGGTCTTGATCGTGAAACCATTCAACCTTTAATTGACAGACTCAAGAGTGACCCTCAAAAGTTTGTTGATTTCATGATGAAGTTTGAACTCAACTTGGAATGCCCTGATCCTAGACGCAGTTGGATCTCTGCCTTAACTATTGGTTTATCTTATTTTTTGGGTGGTTTGATTCCCTTGATGCCTTATTTCTTTATTGATGATGCTATGTTGGCCTTGTATGTATCTGTGGCTGTGACATCCTTGACATTGTTGATTTTTGGTTATATTAAGAGTCGATTGGTGAACCCTAACAGTGCTGTTTGGGGTGCTATTCAGACATTATTGATTGGTGCTGTGGCTGCAGGTGCAAGTTATGGTATTGTGTATCTTTTGCCTCAAGAACCTGGCACAAGCTTGTTGTAGAATTTGTAATTTTTTCTTCTCTTTTTTTTTGGGTTGCATTGTGTATTATTTGTTTATAAGTAAGCCCCCCCCCTCTCTCTTTCTTTTTCTTCCTCCTGATTAGCTCCTTATATATATAAAAACATATTTTTGCTATATTTTGCTTTTCCTCTTGTTCATTTTAAATATGATTGTTTGGACATGTCTATGGTTATTTGTACCCCTTGTGATTTTGCAGGAATTACAATTATTGTATGACCGTAAAGTGGATTTGATTATTCAAGATAATATAAAAAACTTTGGTCAAATATCAGCATGGTAAAACTTCATTCTTTTAATCATAGCTAACAGCAAAAGGATATCTACTTTTTCAATGGAAAATGGTACATGGCAAGATGTAGACTATACTACCGGATGTCCTGCGCGTAGAGCCAACTGGCCAGCACAGCAACATTTTCTTCGTACATGTAAATCACAATTAAAATAATAGCATCGATTCAAACATGATTTTGTAGTGACATTGGCAAGCCAATATCGATCTAATCATGATACGCAACTCTTGCCTATAATTTCAAAAGCAATGGACTATTGGTTTGGCCACAATTATGAACCTGATACATGTTTGGATGAAGGTGGATTGGCCAACAGTACCTGTCCTTGTGATACACCAGGTTTTTGGAACACAAACTGGTTTGGTCAGGTAATACGCCTACAAACAAATAGTATGTGTTCCTCACTCTTGTTAGATGATTTTAATGCCTCGTTTTATTACCAGTACATGTTTATTGCTAAAAGCAAACTTGACAACCACTCAAAAGAGTAATTGTACACTTACAAGCCAACGTGTCTATGATCGTATCGATAGTTATGTTATCGGCATTGGTCCAATGACAGGCGCCAATATGCTGGATGCAGCCACTTCTGTACTCAACTTGGGTCTACTTACAGACAATGAAACTACAGTTCAGATTGCATTAGACCATTATTATGGACAAACAACTATCACAACCAAGACAGGCGAAGATGGTGTCAAGGCAGACGGATCTTATTTACAACATGCTGCTCAACTTTACAATGGGAACTATGGTAAAGAGTTTATCAATTCAGTAGTGATGGTCTATTATCAAACATCCAACACAAGTTTTGGTCCTCCTTTGGCTTCTCAAGAAGCATTATTGACTTTATTGAATGGAACAGAATGGATGATTGTCTCCAACAGCACGAACTCTAGCTTATTATGGGAGTACAGTGCTATTGGGCGTATGGTTTCATTTGCTTCTGTGGATGGACAAGCCAGCGGTGGTGTTGCACTCAATTTGACACGCATACAACAAGCCACGTCGACATGGACACATGCCTCGGATATCAACCGTATCCTTAACAGGCTATGGGCACTCCAGACACAATCGAGTCCCAGTCAAGGTCAACTTCAAGGCACACGCATTTTCTATCACTCTGACTATGTAGTTCATCGCAACACACACTACGCCACAACACTCAAGATGTTCTCTACGCGTACTTCCAATTCTGAATGCAACAACGACCAAAATCCATTTGGTTTTCATCTGAGCGATGGTGTTATTTATATATATCGAGCAGGCGATGAATACCTTGACTGTTTTGCTGCTTGGGATTGGAACCTTGTGCCTGGTACGACTGTCGATTATGGAGCAACACCTTTAGGATGTAACTCGACTCAGTTTTATGGCAACACAAGTTTTGTAGGTGGTCTTTCAACAACGGGTCATGGCGGTATGGCAGTGATGCAGTACATCAATCCTATGACAGGAGCTTTGCGTTGGGAAAAAACGTTTTATTTCTTTGATGGGTTTTATGCCGTTCAGGTTGGATCCTTACAATGCACATCCAATAATGCTTCTGTTATCACCACACTTGATCAGTCCAATCTCAAGGGCGATGTCTATATCAATGGCCAATTATTGACGACAGATACATTTGTGTCAAAAAAACCAACATGGGATGTATGGCATAACCGTATCTTGTATAGTCTTGTAAATCAAACAGGCCTAGCCCTTCACGTCAACACAGCCAGCCATGCAGTCAACAACTGGACAAGTATTGGTATCTCAAAAGGAGTGGCATCACAGCGTATATTTACGGCCACCATAGAACATGCCCTGCTAAACGATGCAACCTATGTTGTTCAGATAGATACAGATGCAAAAGAATCACATCAGTTGGATTCTCTTGTTCAATTTGTGAATCAAGACAGTCCTTTAGGACGTGTACGTGGTGCTTATCATGTCAGGGATAATGCACTGGCTTTGGCTTTTTGGACACCGGGTAGTTTTCAGAGTCCATGGGATGCATGGACCATTCAAAGCAATCAGCCTATTCTTGTTTGGTATTGTGAGTCACAATTGACAGTGGCAGATCCTACGCAGTTATTGTCGAGTGTCATGATTACTCTGAACAATCTCACGTTTGATATTCGGCTGCCTCAAGGTGAATTCGCAGGAAGTAGTGTATCCATGACAGTATAATTAAATCTATTTTAATGCATAATCGTGACCTTTGTATTAACACAGACTCAAAATTGGCTGAGCCATAAAAAAAAGATTGTGTGGGTATTTTTCTCTTGTATTCTTTTTTTTATTTTTATTTTTTAACAAGAAAAAAAAAAAAAAAACTAGTGTGTGAATACATGTTAAATATTGCACCTTATATTGCAAAAGTAAGCTTGTTTTCTAAATAATAAAAAAACAATATTTACTTATATGTTGACATAGTATGTAAGATCTTTACATGCTCGTCAAGAGCAGTTAAAGCTTCCATATATTCAGTCTCAGTTCGGTGTTGTGCTTATGGTGGACGTTGTAGGCAAGTGATATCTTATAAGAGAAAAAGTTACTTATGTATATTTTAGGATTTAGTGCTGTAGGTTTATCATATATTATATTATGTCTATTAATCAAATTAACAGTTGACTTCAATGGCTGCCGAGAAAGGGGATTCTGGAGCAGAAGCAGTTGCACTTGAAATAGGCACTTATATGGGCGAAGTAATGTATGACCCTTTTTTTATGATTAATGCCACTTGCATATATGCATACTAAACTCTGTTTAGTGTATAGAAATCATTGAACATTTTGGGGGTGATGTAGTCAAAGTGAGTACAAAACTTATGAATAATACATGACTCATTCTCTTCACTAGTTTCTTGGCGATGCAGTCCTTGTTAGTTTTCAGACGATTCATCCCGAGGAAAAAGATCAAGACATGTCTGAACCTAATACGTCCATTGAAGAAAGAGAGAAAAGACATAAAAACCTACTTGTCCGAAGAGCAGTCGAATGTGGATTACAATTACTGGCCAGATTGTCTCATTACCGAGTCTATTTAACTGCAGAAGAAAGATCCAAACATCGCTCAAATGCTGAAATGGAACGAAGATTTAATTCGCATCCTGGCATGGGCAACCAACGGTTCTTATTGTTTGATGGTACAGGCACAGCCAGTGATAGTGAACGCACCTTGTCCCGAGACAGTCTTCAAAATGTTTCTTCTATTTTTGATTTTGATCATACGTATAATGAAGAGTACTCAACGGCTTTTAATGTCTGGAACTGCATTCCTCTCTTGTTTGGCAAAGACAACAAGAAAAGAAACAGAGTTTATGCATCTCGACGTCGAAGTCATACAAGTGATACTACACGAGAAGAACCCGATGCTATTGATCTTGAATTACACATTGGTCTCTCATGCGGAAATATCACGAATCTTGTTCTCGGTGACATCAAACCATCGTCATCAAATGTCAAGCGAAAAAGAAGTTCTCAACAAAAGATAAAGAACATAGAACAGGATCCATCGGAATACACAGGTCGTTTAGAATATGCCATTTGTGGTCCTGCTGTGGAATCGCTTGAAGAGGCATTGACAGCAGCCAAAGCAGGTGAAATGAGTATCACCCCAGAAGCGTACAATATCTTTCATAATCAAATGATGTGTCTTTCTTATGAAAAACGAAACCAATTTTATGTTGTCAAAGGCACAGATACCATTACACACCACCATACTAAAAAGCGACATTATACATCTCATCAAAAGAGCATATCAACGCCCAATGCAAGTTATTTGATGGACAAGCCAGGTCTTATGAAACGAGCTGCTACACTTAACATTGAACCTCTAATACCCAAATCACGAGAAGACTCACTGTTGGAACTCTCGACTGATCCTAATCCAGATTACTTTAAATACATTAACCGAAGTGCGCTTTATCGATTGCAGAATAGTCCTGAGGATAACTTTTTGCCTCAGTTTAGAGATGCAACTATCATGTTTATCAGCCTTGGCAAGTTAAATGTAGCTACACCCAAAGGTGCTAAAATTGCTCAACGAGCTACTGTAGCTACCATTCAAGCCTTGTTAAAATACGAAGGCATCTTGCAGCAATTTGCTGTCGATGATAAAGGTATAAAAAAAAAAGCAATGATGATGATTGTTTAATATTCTATACTAGGCGCTACGTTATTAGCTGTGTTTGGTCTTCCGCCTTTATCGCATGAACGAGAAGCTGTATTTGCAGCCAAAGCAGCTATTGAATTACGAGACAGTTTTGCTGAATTCCTCGATGATTTTGCCATTTCTTTATCCACAGGTATCATATTTAATGCTGTCTTGCCTCAAGGTAATCCTTATCGTCGAGACCCAGGCATTGCAGGTGACACAATCATTCTGGCTGTCCGTATGCTCAAGTTTTCATTTGCTCAAAAGAACATTGTATGCGACTTTGCAACCAAACAACAGATTGGAAGAACATGCGACTTTGAAGAATATGGTGAGAATTTCGTCAAGGGTAAAGTTAAGCCTGTAACTATCTATGGCATCTTGCGATTTGCCACTGTCAAGACAAAGCGTATCTCTACACAAAGTCAAGAGAAGAATTCTGATTTTATTGGATATAAAGCAGAGATGGCTGCAGCTACCGAGTTTGTGGATGATTGGATGGAGGCTTCGAATCATCATTTGTTGGTCATCTCCGGTCCTTCAGGTGTAGGCAAAAGTTTCTTTTGTCATGCATTGAGCAGAATGATTATTTCGCATGATACAACATGTTGCTGGTCTTCTTCAACAGAAGGTAGATATATAAATTAGGTATGGATTTGTAATGCTTTCTTTTAGTTGAAAAGAGTTCAAAATACTACCTTGTCAAAAACATCTTGTTAGCCTTGTTTGAAATCATTGATTCAGATCAAGTGCCTCAAAATACACGACGACGTGTGCCTCACCTTAGTGGTTCAGGTGGATTTTACTTGGCAGATTCAGTCCAATCCCAACAATCAAACGATATCATGTCCGCCAATTCCTCTTCTTCGTCTGTGGTACCTTCGCCTACGACAACCAAAGACAATCATAGCAATAACCACCCTCTCTCGCTTGAACAAGTACAGCGTCTTCGTTCTTATTCTACCATCTCACGCTTTTCTTCTCGAGAACCTCGAGAACGCCTTGAAGGATCCAATGAGTTGGAAGAACTGATCACTCGATGTCTTCGTATTTGCGGTGAAGAAGATGGGTTTCTGCCATTATTTAAAGTAGTTTTTTCTGCCTTATCTGATCTAGAAGACAATCGGTATACACGCCGATTGGATGGCCGAGGCAGAGATATTTTACTGACAGGTCTTATCAGTCGAATGACACGCTATGTATCTGAACAAGTAGGTCTTGTCTTTATTCTTGACGATGTCCAATGTAAGTTCTCTACAAATTAGCGAATGATGGTTGATGTGTTGGCTATAGGGGCTGATTCAGCATCTATTCGTTTATTACAACATATTCATGAACATTGTCAACGTGTGTTGCTTGTGTTGGCTACACGCCCTGTTAAGGACTACAATGTTACTTTTATCAATGATTTTAGAGAAACAGGTTGTTCAGAAGAAATCCAATTGAACGGATTAGGTGCTAAAGAAATTGGCGAAATCATTCTCCAGACATTTCAAACTGCAGGTGTAACCAATGTCAGTCCTGAAATTGTACGTGTCATTCAAAAGCGTACAGGTGGTAACCCGCTTTATGTGAAAAACATGGCCATTGTATTAAAAGACTTTAACCATGTCACTTTGGTCGAGAATACCTTGGTGCCTACAAGCAATCGATTTGATCTTGAAGACCTATTGGGCAATTTTGATTACAAGCGTATTATCAAGATGCAGTTTGATCGATTGGAAGGTACCTTTCAAGAGTTCCTGACAGTCGCTAGTTGTCTAGACCAGTACTTTACTATTCAAGAAGTTCAAGCAGTGATCAAAGAAAACAACACTGACTTCAAGTATGCAGATGATGACACTGTGCGTCAAAAAATTGAATTGTACGATGTTTATCATTTTATTCAAAAAGCAGACGATAGTTTGGTGGGCAATGAAGTCTATACATTTGCACACATTACCATTCCTCAAAGTATCTATGATATGGCATCTTATGAAACCCGTATCGTACTCCACCGTTTACTAGCCAAGTATTATGAAAGCCAGCTCACTCGAGAAAACTACATGGAATTGCTGAGTAAAGTAACTCGCCATTACTTGCAAACAGACTGGCTCGACAAACAACTGTATTATTTGGAAGCATTGGCTGATGTTAACATGAAAGCGTTTCTTTTGCCAGAAGCCACGCATAACCTTGAACGCATTGTCAAAATATTAGACAGTAATCAAGACTTGGCTGCTCAGTTTGGTCGCCTGCATCGAAGTGATATCTATCGTCGATTAGGCATGTGCTTTGCTATGCGAACCAAACTCAAAGAAGGCGAAAAATTCTTGTTTCAAGCACTGGATTGTCTTGGTGAACCTTGGCCACAAAGTGAACCTGAATTCCTGTTCAAGTTCTGGGTCAACCGTCTGGCCCAATACCGCCATCGAAAACTGCGTGTGTTTCGTAAAGTTGATAAAGACATCAAGAAAGAAATCGGCAAACGTGTGGTGGAAATCATGGCTCAATTGTCCAGTATTTATTTTTATACGGGTAAAGGACGTGCTTTTGTATATACTTGTCTTGTTGGCCTGAACGCTTGTGAACGTCTAAATGAAATTGGACCTAATTATACCCTATTTTTGGCTAGGAATTCATTACTAAGCTGGCTTAATGATGAAAAAGAGCAATCTATTTTTTATATCACTAAGGCATTGCGTTACATGGACCAAAAGAACGATGCAGACACACTGACGATTTGCTCGTTTTTATGCTTTGCGGCAGGCAAATTCAAGAATGCAAGAGATTTGTTGTATCAGTCAATTGATGCTGTCAAGACGTTGGGCGTCATTACAGACTGCCAGGGATTTTATCGATCTGTAGGCTTGGTGATTACGATGCGTATTTTTGAAGGCACCTTGGACCATTCACCCGATGATTTGGTCTTATTGAAGCAAATGGCAGACACGGCTCATAGTAATTGTGATTTTGAAGCGGAGGTTTGGTTAAGTGTCTATAATGTTGGCAATGCTTTGATTATGGATCGATTGCGTGATTGCGAGCCATTTGTGACCTTGTTAGAAGCGCATTTGAAGCAGTCTGCAGACTTTAATCGTATTGCTATCCATGGTACTTTGCTCTGTTATTATGCAAGAACACATAATTATGAATATGCTCGTCGACACACACGGCACTTGGTAGCTATTCTTCCTTTATTGACTGTCACACGTAAGTGAAGGCATTAATGAATAATATCACTAATACATGAACATAGCCAACATTTTCCCTATTTTTGGCTTAATATTTGCTACGATGGGCATGTATTGTATGATTGAAGATGAACAAGTGGACTTTGTCTCTACAGGTGATGCCAATAACTATGATCGCTTCATTCTTGGTGTTTCCAGAATTAATCACGCGTTTCAACAAGTCAAGTTTTGGGAGTTTACACAACCTTGTCTTTACTTGGCAAGAGCATTGCCTTATATCAGCACAGGCAGGACAGTAGAGGGCTTTATGGTGCTTCAACATGGTGTATTGGAAATGCGGTTTATTCAAGAAATACGTTTCTTAAAGGCATTTTATTGGGCTAACTTAGGCAAATACGCATTTACGCCAGCAGACCGTATTGAATGGACACATAGGGCAAGAGTGGATTTCGAAGATCTCAAGATACCTTCACATGTGTATTGTAATCCTGACCCAGCCAATTCCTATACTCGACATATGCCTGCAGATTTGACAGCTTAAAATGTTTATTTTTGAATGATATATATATATATGGGATTATTTTGTCTTTTTTGCCTTTTTTCTTTTAGGTTGAGATTGATCTTGTAATAGTTGATGTATGTAGGCTTTTGTCAGTAAAGCATTGATAAAAGGGAAATAATCAAATTTCTGTCTTTCCACATCAATTTTGGCTAAGTTCTTTTGTTCTGATAGTTGTTGTAGTTGTGTCTTTAATGCTTCAGCAGATTTCTGCAAGGCTTCCATCTTGGGTTGAGCAGCTTCTTTGTTTCCTTTGGTTATGTCTTCCCAAAACAGAAGTATATCTTGTTGGGGTATATTGTTATTTTCCATGATTTGAAGACACAGTTTCTCCTTTCTAGTCAGTGTAGGGCGTGAATAGTCTTGACGTAAGACTTGTTGAGTGATCTGGAGGCATTCTTCATAGGCTTTATGTTGTTGAGACATAGCACCATAAGAGTCCCGAGTGACAGCCATAAGACTGAATGTCAACTCATTTTCAGTACTTGTAGTATTATTAGTAATGTATAGGCACACAATAAACTTACGAAGAGTTCATGCGTTGTTGTAATACAGGCTTCACAACCTCAAGCCAGTTTTCCTCATTACATTGGGCTATTTTGACAGGTTGATACTTTAGGCCATCTAATTCCCATACATAGCCATCTTTTTGAATATAAGTAATGTAATGGAAATCGTCCACATCAATAAACTCTGCATTATCATTCTCAGAGACATTAGAAAGGGTATCGTCCATATCTATTTGATTTGCATGTCTATAGAGAATGAGTGTAAATACGCGTCTTCTTTGGTTCTTACGTTGCATAAGCGTCGTGTATGGTTCGTATCTGTTCAGAGTTGCCTAAGCAAATACCTCGATTCACTGGTGAAAAGCCCTTGGTGAATTCCAAAAAGTTGTTCAAGATATCACCTCTGTCAATATCTGCATTAAATAAGATAGCAAGTAATGCTAAAGTACCACATACGTTGGTAATAACCTAAATATGAGTATAAAGAATGCACGTTGGATAGCTTACTTGAGCAGTAAAGATAACTGCTTCTGCATCAGGATCAGCTTCATGAAAGTTGTCTGGTAGTTCTTCTTCTACATATTTTGAGATGAATATCAAACCATGAACAGGTCTATAGAGTATATCAAATACATATTCTACATAGAAGCTAGCATACCCTTCTTTAACAAGATCTTCAAAATCAAGTGTAAGAACTTCTTGCACTTTTGTGTCCTTTACACCGTATTGTTGAATCATGTCATCAAACACAGCTGTTTAGATTAATATCTTCATATCATTAAATAGTCATTACCAGGATCTGAAGGAATCAAACCCCACTTTTCATTGACAATGTTCATTGTAGTGGAGAAAACAAGGTGAGAAACGGTTATAAGAGAAGCCCTTTTTTCTTATAACTCCGGTAACTTTAAACTCGCACTGTACGTGTATTCTGATAGCCATAAAAGACAAACAATCCTTTGAGTCAACTTCTTCTTTGTATTTTATATACACATTTCTACTAAATTTACTTTGAGTTTAATATAGTTATCATAAAGAGTAAGAGTCCATCTCTTGTTCATTACTACAAGCAACAAATAGTTCATCTTGTCTAGCTTTTTCTTTTTGGAAGCAGTGGTTTTAAAGGATAATTTTTATTTCAGTGGCGAATATGATCCCCTGCCAAAACTTGCTTTGTCTGTAGAAGAAGAAAATAGAATTGGCTGAAGCGGAGAAGGAGTTGCCTAAATAGAGTTTACTTACAACTAGTGTCTACGTTGTCCTTTGGTGAAGCATGGCTGTAGTACCAATTTAAGAGACAAGCTATCAGCAATAGAGTTTCTCAGCTCCTTTTCCAAGATACTCTTTCTTGTTTCAAAAATAACACCAGTCAGTCTAACATTGACTTCATCAATAAGGTAGTATCCTTCTGTATAAGAAGCGATATGTTAGCTTGAGGGAGATGTGTCATATTCGGAAAGTAAGTATTTTATTTCATGTCAAAAAGCGGCTGCTAAAATCTAAACAACTTTAAAGCTTCCACAAGATAGCTTTCGTTTAATGCCATGTATTTCTTCCTCTTCTTCTTCACTCTCTCTTTCATCTTTATCTATACAAGAAGTAGGTGTAGGACCTAATTGAATGGCATGTGTATGTCGCATATGGTACTTGAGACCATTTAGGTTCTTGTATCGTTTTTGACATTGTTCTAGTGAGCAAACATAGGGTTTATTGCTGTCTAATAAATCTGTACCATCATTGGGTGTACAATGACCATGTAGTCGATGATATTTCAGTCCATTTGCATTCTTGTATGCCTTGTCACAGTCACTGACTTGACAACGATAAGGTCTGTCTGTTTGATCCTCATTACTACTACTATTGGGCGTTGATTTAGTATCAGGTAATTCTTCTTTAGTGAAAGGATATTTTAAAAGTGGACAACGATGAGTTAAATCAATTGTTTGTGTTTCTTGTGTAACAGTTCTACGAATCAATAAAGAACTCTTGTCTTCTTCTTCAGTTGTCTTTTGAGAAGAGTGGAATTCTTCATAGTGTTCCAATAGTATATGCAAGTTCTTTAGCCGTAGTCCACAGCAACTAAAATCCTTGCAAAAATTATTTTCTAATTCTTGTTTTTGATCATAGCTATCCAATCTTGAATATGGACTAGGTGAATTGATTCTACAAGAGGAGTGAGTCATCTCATCTGATTACAGTCGCAATATCTACAATTCAATACCACAGTTCAAGAAAGGTGAAAATACCCAATCTCCAAGAGACATTTTAGTAAAATAAAGGAAGAGAGAGATAGAGAATGACTGCGTATCGGTTCGTCATAATACTTTGAATAAGATCAAGAAACCCCTCGCTCTTATGTGAAACATGTCTAATGACACAGGCCCTGTTTGTTTATGCGAACAACTCAATTAGAAAGTTCCAGTGTATTCCAAACAAATTTTGATTGGTCAGAGCACAGATGCATACAAGGACGACTTGTGACTGTCGATTGCTTTGCATGTAAATTTCAGGCCCCCTCCATCCCCATTTCCATATCCCTTCTTCTCTTTTTATATTTTCCAATGAACAGACTTGCTGCCAAGGCACTTCAAACTACTCGCTCTCGTAGCGCTACTGGTATCCTTAACCGTCTCTACTCTACACACAAGGAAATCAAATTTGGTGTTGAAGGTCGCGCTGGTCTTTTGAAGGGTGTCGATGTCCTTGCCAAAGCTGTTGCTGTCACTCTTGGTCCTAAGGGTCGCAATGTTCTTATTGAACAACCCTATGGTTCCCCCAAGATCACCAAGGATGGTGTCACTGTTGCCAAGTCTATTGTTTTAGAAGACAAGTTTGAAAACTTGGGTGCTAGGTAATGTCAATTTGATCGTGAGAAAAATAATTAATGATTCTATAGACTTGTTCAAGATGTTGCCAACAAGACAAACGAACTTGCTGGTGATGGTACCACTACTGCTACTGTCTTGGCTCGTGCCATATTCACTGAAGGTGTCAAGAACGTTGCTGCTGGCTGTAATCCCTTGGATCTTCGTCGTGGTTCTCAACTCGCTGTTGACCATGTTCTTGATTTCTTGAAGACTCACAGTAAGGTTATCACTACTTCTGCTGAAATTGCTCAGGTAAGAATCATAAAAAGGAAATGTAATGGAATGACTTATTATGTATGTTTTAGGTTGCCACTATCTCTGCTAACGGTGACAAGCATGTTGGTGACATGATTGCTCAAGCTATGGAACGTGTTGGCAAGGAAGGTGTCATTACTGTAAAGGCCGGTAAGACAATTGATGATGAATTGGAAGTCACTGAGGGTATGCGCTTCGACCGTGGTTTCATTTCCCCTTACTTCATCACTGACACAAAGACTCAAAAGGTCGAATTCGAAAAGCCTTTGATCTTGTTGTCTGAAAAGAAGATCTCCTTGCTTCAAGATATCTTGCCTGCTCTCGAAACTGCTGCCACTCAACGTCGTCCTCTTTTGATCGTTGCTGAAGATTTGGATGGTGAAGCCCTTGCTGCTTGTATCTTGAACAAGCTCCGTGGTCAACTCCAAGTTGCTGCTGTCAAGGCTCCTGGTTTCGGTGACAATCGTAAATCTATCTTGGGTGATCTCGGTGTCCTCACTCACTCTACTGTCTTCTCTGATGAACTTGATATCAAGTTAGACAAGGCATCTCCTGAACTCTTTGGTACTACTGGTTCCGTGACTATCACCAAGGAAGACACTGTCATCTTGAACGGTGCTGGTTCCAAGGACGCCATTGCTCAACGTTGTGAGCAAATTCGTGGTGCCATTGAAGACGCTTCTACTTCTGAATACGAAAAGGAAAAGCTTCAAGAACGTCTTGCTAAGCTTTCTGGTGGTGTTGCTGTCATTCGTGTCGGTGGTGCTTCTGAAGTTGAAGTCGGTGAAAAGAAGGATCGTTTCGACGATGCTCTTTGTGCTACCCGTGCTGCTGTTGAAGAGGGTATTGTTCCTGGTGGTGGTGTTGCCTTATTGAAGGCTGCCAACTCTCTTGAAAATGTCAAGGGTGCCAACTTTGATCAACAACTCGGTATCAACATCATTCGTCAAGCCATTCAACGTCCCTGTAGAACCATCGTTGACAATGCTGGTGGTGAAGGATCTGTTGTTGCTGGCAAGATCTTGGAAGATAAGTCTGGTAACCCCAACTTTGGTTATGATGCCTCTACCAACGAATATGTTGATATGCTTGAACGCGGTATCATTGATCCTACCAAGGTTGTTCGTACTGCCTTGCTTGATGCCTCTGGTGTAGCTTCTCTCTTGACTACCACAGAATGTATGATTGTTGATGCTCCTCAACCTCCTGCTGCCCCCGCTATGGGTGGTATGCCCGGTATGGGTGGTATGGGTGGTATGATGTAAAATGTATAATATATAGACAACTATTTTCCTCCCTTCTCTTAATTACTGTATCTTTTTATAACATAAATTTGTATTTTAAATAAAGTAACGCTCTCGTTTTTTGCATATCCAAAAAATGTAGAAATCCATCTGATCATACAGTCAGGCTTATGGAAATTGGCGTTTTCTAAAAAATAATTGGCCGAAAGTCAGAAAAAAATCAATCGGATTTTAAAAAATAAATGTCATAAGGTTAACTAAATTGGCCGAAGAATTGCAGATGTTTTGGCGGTTTTTTTTGTTTTTTGTTTATAAAAATATAACTACATTCTTTTATGAAGATGGACAAGAAAACCTTTTCAATGAACATGGAGAAAAAGTTTGCAATCCAAAAGAAGATGTTTTAACACAAATTGACGATCCCAATATAGTTCTTGAAACAATAACCAATCGAGAAACTTACTTGAGTGCTAAACGCCCCGAAAAAGCTACTGGTGAACCATCAGTTACGAAGCCGTTGAAATCTAGTAATTTGATTAAATCAACCAAGTCATACAGTATTTATAGTGATACGACCAGAGAATCGTTTATCGACCGTATGCTTGAGCAACCGCAAGAGCGTGGCTTAGTGACTAAAGTTGCAAGAGAACTCAACGTGAAGTACCGTACTGTACTGAATTGGTGGCACATTTATGAAGAAACGGAAAGGGTGCCGTATAAAAATAGTGAAAAAAACAGTGGTCCAAAAAGCTCATTTACAACTGCAGCATAACGAGTACATTACCAAGCTACTTGACAACGACCCTCAGATATTTGCGGACGATATGATAAGTAACTTGACTGAACAATTCGAAGGCTTCACCATTTCAAAATCGCAAATGAACAACCATTTACGTAATACTATGCTTATCATTGTAAAAAAGCCATATTTTGAACCTGAAGTTAGAAACTCAGTAGAGAATCTCCAGACACGATTCGAATGGTTTATGAAATGGAAAGATTCTGATCTGGATTTTACAAAAAATTGTATTTTTATAGATGAAGCCGGTTTCCATATCAACATGAGACTCAATTGGGCCAGATCGAAAAGTGGAAAAAAGGCCATCGTAAAGCAACCACAAACCAGAGCACCAACACATACAATCATTGGTGCCATTCACTCCTCTAGCATTATTCACGTTGCTATCAGAAAACCACCACCAAAAAAAGAAATTGAGGCTGCTAAAAAAAAGAGCACTAACTGAAATTAGTGGAGAGAATACAGAGGTTAACGACGATTCTGCTGATAATAATTCAGTAAAAAAAGGTACAACAACTGCTCACTTCGTTAAGTTTATGAACGAAGTTATTGCTGTACTGGATGCCGAAGAAGCTTTTAAAGGAAGTTATATAGTTCTAGATAATGCTTCTATTCATAAGTCTAAGCCGATGATAAGAAAGATTGAAAGTAAGGGTTACAGAGTAATGTATCTGCCTCCCTACTCGCCTGAATTGAACCCTATTGAACAGTTTTGGGCAATAGTTAAAGGGAAGATGAAGCGTGACAGACTAATGAATGAAGAAAATCTGTCCAGTAGAATTACTGATGCTTGTAATGATATACTCATCAGTGACCTTAATGATTTCTGTAATCATTCTAAGCGCCAAATTGTTAATTGTTATAATAAGACACCTTTCTAATATACAGTCGTTCCAACGCCAAAGGGCAGTTTTTTTTTTTTTTTTTTTTTTTTTTTTTTTTTTTTTTTTTTTTTTGATATTTGGAAAAGGTTGTGAACCGGGTTCAGTAAAAAATGAACCGCGTTCAGTAAAACCGCGTTCAGTAAAGTCATAGAAGATCAATAAAAATATGCAAATTTTGAATAAGATGATGTATTTGGTATGAATAAAACTCGGCTAGTACATAAATATCTGCCAAACTTGATGATAAATATAGGACGACAGTTGAGTATTTAGACTTTTCTGGATCTTTGGACTGGTTTTGATCTACAATCAAAAGACGATAAAATTGTTGGATCACTCAGAACGGCCTCTCTCTTGAATTCGTGGAATTCGTTGTCATAAATTAATTTGTCAATGAGAACTGTCTTCAATTTCTTATGAGTACTAGCAAAGATGTGTTAGAAGCGTGACTAAAGCTGGTTTGTCTGTATGCAATTTAACTTGAAAAAATTTTGTAGATCACCAACATTGGTAGACAGTCCTGCGAAATCGATTGCTACAAGGCAAATGTCTGTTACTGATGAATTGATATACGAAATCATGGCTAAGAAAAACATCAGTATCAGTGTTGTTGTTGATAATCATTCACATGTTAACAAATACATTGAGTGTCTCCTTTTACACCTATCAAATCAGTGAGCAAATCAGGGTTGACATTCATGTCTCTTGAGGCGATATTGGCGGCGGCCGAACAAGACCATGACACAAAGACCGTGTCACATAAAGATCTTTCTTTTAAGCACTGCACCATGCTATTCAAAAGCCTTTTTCTGTTTTCTTCATCATTGCGACCAGTAGACTTCCTAGCATATCCAATGATGGTGCATCCTTGCTTTTTTAGAGAGCTTATGTGGTTTTGATAGCGCGGAATAGAAGTAGTGATGGATTTCACAACACCCTCTAACAGTAGAGAATAAATAATGGTATTTCTAAGAAATTCAAATAGTATATTACCTCTAAATTCATTCTTCGTCACACAAAGTCTCCTATAGCGCTTATCCAATCCTCTACTCCTCTTCCTAGTAAATGGCACACCCATAAAGCTAACTTTTCTTTTCGAACACCAAGTTGCAAACGCTATTTCAGACTTCTTGCTCATGCATTCAGTTTTCGAAATAACTGACTCATATATTTCTTTGTTTTCAACTTCTTGAAGGCAATAGACAGCTTCATTCTAGGTCGAAAGAAATTTCTCGCAAGAATTTCTTGAGACCGTCAGAACAAAATAGAAAATGTTATTATGCTAGAATCTTCTTTAAACTTTATTTTAAGCGAATTCAAAGGATATATAAAAGACAATAAATTTTCTATCTAAATCATTAATCTTCTTTTTCGCTCGGTCATTACCAGCTTACTTTTAACGTAACTACAACCTTCCTGATGTCAACTATCGAAGAACAACTTTTAGCTTTACAACAACAATTTGCATCACTTCAAGCTCGGATTCAAACGGCTTCTGTACCTACACCTATGCAGTCAGCGGATGACACTGCTATGCCTATGCAGTCAGAAGAAAATACTGCGGTTCCACCTCTTCATTCCTTCGGCACTCGCCCTCACTACGTGTGATATTTTGATAATAGAGTTATATAATAAGATGATATAGAGACAAAGGTAGATACTTTGAGACTGTTTTATGCAATTTTATTGTTGTTCTTTTTGACTATAAATTATTCTAGCATATTTATACATGAAGAGATGTCGGAGTAAGTAGTAGTAGAATTCATGCAAATGACTGAGTCTCTATTATCATAGACTACTTTAAATTAATTAAATAATGTAAATTATGGATTTCGGTTATAAGTCTTGATCTATTAGAAGATGCATTGTCTTATTCAGTACAAGAGGTTCTTTTATGTCTATTTCTGATGTAAATTGATTATGATATATTATAGTATGTAATTGAAGACTTATTTAATGTCAGATCATCACAACGTCAATACTTCAAGAACCAATGGATGATCAAGCCGTATATATTCCAACAACTCCAACTGACACGGGGCCCGTTTTCAATCGATCTATTTGCGGACAGGACAACCAAGCTGTTACCAAAGTACGTATCGTGGATGCCGGACCCAGACGCATTGCATACGGATGCGCTGTCCATACCATGGACTCAGTTTCCTCACCCATATGCCAATCCCCCATGGAATCTGATAACGCGAGTCCTGAACAAAATCAGGCAGTAACATCTTCCAATAGTGACTCTGGTGGTACCTTACTGGCCCAGTGCTCTTTGATTTCTCCTTCTTCAGCGGATGGCTCTCGATTCCCCTTGGCTACTTCCACCACAAGCGGTGCAAACGACTTCTCCCAGGACTCCTCACCCATTACAACTACAGAATTGGATGCTCTCCGTGTGGCGACTTTCAGGCAACAATTGATGGATAAGAATCTCAACGCACAAGCGGTTGAGGACTTATTTTCTCAGAAGTTAGCTCCCACTGGTACCAATCTAAGTTACCGCAAGAATCAACTTAGATTCCTGGAATGGGCTATCCGTCATAATATTTCCATTACGGTGTTTACTCCCACGGATATGGTCAACTTTTTGGCGGATATGCGCACTGATCATAATTTACAAGCTTCGACTCTAAAAACAGTAAGAGCAGCAGTTTCGCATCTTCATAATAACCCAAAAGTTATTCGAGAAAGTGAAGAAGTCAGCTCTTACATAGAATCCAGGCTTAGATAAGAACCCCCTGTTTCCATCCATCGACCCACCATCGATGTCTCTCCAGCGTTAGCCTATGCTCGATCCATCGTTTCACGAACGACAACTCCTATCAAGCTGCTCCTACAGAAATTGGCTTTCTTATTGGCAATGTCGGCTCTCCTTCGCCCTTCAGACCTGGAACGAATTCCTTACAGCTCATGTTCCATCACGGACAATGGATGTCTCACCTTTACTGTGGTTGCACCTAAAGAAACTCGTGGCAAAAGACGTATCATCAAGCCTTTCACAGTCTACCCTCATGCGTCCGACTTTGAACTCTGCCCAGTGCAATGCTTCAAGTTTCTGCGGGACCATCCTGTGTTGGCGGCTCGTCCTTCTGGTTCCCAACTCTTTGTGAAATCTCACCTCATCCATCAGTCCCTGTCTTCTTCAACTATTTCGACCTGGCTACACAGGGATTTTATTAAACGATGTACATCTGAACCTAATGTCTCTATTCGGGCTATGGCGTCTTCTCGGGCTTTAGATCTTGGGATTCCTAAAGACCACATTGTTACTCTCGGTAACTGGGCCTCGTCTGCTACTTTCGAAAACCACTATCAACGAAATCAGATGACACAGGTTGACTTTACTTCGACGATTCTTTCGGACCCACCGGACCAATACTTTGATGCTTCTGATAAATTTTTCTCTGGATCAGCATAATAACATTTCCTATTTTGTTCTGACGGTCTCAAGAAATTCTTGCGAGAAATTTCTTTCGACCTAGAATGAAGCTGTCTATTGCCTTCAAGAAGTTGAAAACAAAGAAATATATGAGTCAGTTATTTCGAAAACTGAATGCATGAGCAAGAAGTCTGAAATAGCGTTTGCAACTTGGTGTTCGAAAAGAAAAGTTAGCTTTATGGGTGTGCCATTTACTAGGAAGAGGAGTAGAGGATTGGATAAGCGCTATAGGAGACTTTGTGTGACGAAGAATGAATTTAGAGGTAATATACTATTTGAATTTCTTAGAAATACCATTATTTATTCTCTACTGTTAGAGGGTGTTGTGAAATCCATCACTACTTCTATTCCGCGCTATCAAAACCACATAAGCTCTCTAAAAAAGCAAGGATGCACCATCATTGGATATGCTAGGAAGTCTACTGGTCGCAATGATGAAGAAAACAGAAAAAGGCTTTTGAATAGCATGGTGCAGTGCTTAAAAGAAAGATCTTTATGTGACACGGTCTTTGTGTCATGGTCTTGTTCGGCCGCCGCCAATATCGCCTCAAGAGACATGAATGTCAACCCTGATTTGCTCACTGATTTGATAGGTGTAAAAGGAGACACTCAATGTATTTGTTAACATGTGAATGATTATCAACAACAACACTGATACTGATGTTTTTCTTAGCCATGATTTCGTATATCAATTCATCAGTAACAGACATTTGCCTTGTAGCAATCGATTTCGCAGGACTGTCTACCAATGTTGGTGATCTACAAAATTTTTTCAAGTTAAATTGCATACAGACAAACCAGCTTTAGTCACGCTTCTAACACATCTTTGCTAGTACTCATAAGAAATTGAAGACAGTTCTCATTGACAAATTAATTTATGACAACGAATTCCACGAATTCAAGAGAGAGGCCGTTCTGAGTGATCCAACAATTTTATCGTCTTTTGATTGTAGATCAAAACCAGTCCAAAGATCCAGAAAAGTCTAAATACTCAACTGTCGTCCTATATTTATCATCAAGTTTGGCAGATATTTATGTACTAGCCGAGTTTTATTCATACCAAATACATCATCTTATTCAAAATTTGCATATTTTTATTGATCTTCTATGACTTTACTGAACGCGGTTTTACTGAACGCGGTTCATTTTTTACTGAACCCGGTTCACAACCTTTTCCAAATATCAAAAAAAAAAAAAAAAAAAAAAAAAAAAAAAAAAAAAAAAAAAAACTGCCCTTTGGCTGTATATTAGAAAGGTGTCTTATTATAACAATTAACAATTTGGCGCTTAGAATGATTACAGAAATCATTAAGGTCACTGATGAGTATATCATTACAAGCATCAGTAATTCTACTGGACAGATTTTCTTCATTCATTAGTCTGTCACGCTTCATCTTCCCTTTAACTATTGCCCAAAACTGTTCAATAGGGTTCAATTCAGGCGAGTAGGGAGGCAGATACATTACTCTGTAACCCTTACTTTCAATCTTTCTTATCATCGGCTTAGACTTATGAATAGAAGCATTATCTAGAACTATATAACTTCCTTTAAAAGCTTCTTCGGCATCCAGTACAGCAATAACTTCGTTCATAAACTTAACGAAGTGAGCAGTTGTTGTACCTTTTTTTACTGAATTATTATCAGCAGAATCGTCGTTAACCTCTGTATTCTCTCCACTAATTTCAGTTAGTGCTCTTTTTTTTAGCAGCCTCAATTTCTTTTTTTGGTGGTGGTTTTCTGATAGCAACGTGAATAATGCTAGAGGAGTGAATGGCACCAATGATTGTATGTGTTGGTGCTCTGGTTTGTGGTTGCTTTACGATGGCCTTTTTTCCACTTTTCGATCTGGCCCAATTGAGTCTCATGTTGATATGGAAACCGGCTTCATCTATAAAAATACAATTTTTTGTAAAATCCAGATCAGAATCTTTCCATTTCATAAACCATTCGAATCGTGTCTGGAGATTCTCTACTGAGTTTCTAACTTCAGGTTCAAAATATGGCTTTTTTACAATGATAAGCATAGTATTACGTAAATGGTTGTTCATTTGCGATTTTGAAATGGTGAAGCCTTCGAATTGTTCAGTCAAGTTACTTATCATATCGTCCGCAAATATCTGAGGGTCGTTGTCAAGTAGCTTGGTAATGTACTCGTTATGCTGCAGTTGTAAATGAGCTTTTTGGACCACTGTTTTTTTCACTATTTTTATACGGCACCCTTTCCGTTTCTTCATAAATGTGCCACCAATTCAGTACAGTACGGTACTTCACGTTGAGTTCTCTTGCAACTTTAGTCACTAAGCCACGCTCTTGCGGTTGCTCAAGCATACGGTCGATAAACGATTCTCTGGTCGTATCACTATAAATACTGTATGACTTGGTTGATTTAATCAAATTACTAGATTTCAACGGCTTCGTAACTGATGGTTCACCAGTAGCTTTTTCGGGGCGTTTAGCACTCAAGTAAGTTTCTCGATTGGTTATTGTTTCAAGAACTATATTGGGATCGTCAATTTGTGTTAAAACATCTTCTTTTGGATTGCAAACTTTTTCTCCATGTTCATTGAAAAGGTTTTCTTGTCCATCTTCATAAAAGAATGTAGTTATATTTTTATAAACAAAAAACAAAAAAAACCGCCAAAACATCTGCAATTCTTCGGCCAATTTAGTTAACCTTATGACATTTATTTTTTAAAATCCGATTGATTTTTTTCTGACTTTCGGCCAATTATTTTTTAGAAAACGCCAATTTCCATAAGCCTGACTGTACATGGTCTGTGCGACATTTGTATTAAAATAAGGGATGCTTGTTGCAATCTCTTTAGAGTCGCACCAGCTATGACATGAGATAAGAATGACAGCTTACTAATGCTCAATTCGAGGATAAACATACACACATACACACACACACACACACACACACACATATATATATATATACACGTATATATCATGTCATAATAATTCTGAAATATGCACCAGTGTTTTTACTATCAAATTGATTTAGGTCGATAGTTTCAAACTCCATTTGTTTGTATCAATTCCCCCGCGACTAACCCCTGCGTCCAGTTGAGTTTAGGCAAAAAAAATTATAAAGAAGATTATTTCCCTTACATCTTTTTTTTAAAGTTTAAGTTTTATAGAAATCAAAAAGTAAAAAGAAACAAGACAAAAGTAAATCACAAAGATTGCCTGTGCTTTTCCCTCTTTTTTTCTCTCTTTACGGAATTAAATTGTACCGACATTTATTTTATTTTATGTGTGTACAACCACCATAATTTTCTTTTTTATTTTAGTTTTCTTGGTTTTTCTTCTTTTCCTTTCTCTGTTTTGTATTTGACTTTTCTAATTCTTTTTTCTTTTTTGATTTTTTTTTCTTTTCGAAAGTTAAAAGAAGCAAACAAAGGTTTGCTTTTCATTTTTTTTCTTTTGTATTTATATTTTTTGTTTTATATAGCATAAAAAAAAAGAGAAAAAGACACCTTAAACAACATGGCAGAAACCTTTCACGGCTATATTGAAACAACTCAAGATGTTTTGCTTATTTTTGAGGGTTGTAGAAGAGGTTTGATACCCAGAGTTTGTAGAAGACTTCAAGAAAAAGAACGACGCATGATACGATCTGGTTCAGTCTTTGTCTTTGATGAAAGAGAATCAGGTAAATGAATTCAACACTATTTTTATTTCTTGCGTGCGTGTGTACATGTGTGTCTAGATGTGTTTGTGTGCGTGTATATAAATATATACGTTTGTGTGTGAGTGTAAAGCGGAGAGAAAAGATAAGGAGGAGAATTTCTTCGGGCGTTGTGGCGGTACCATAAATCAGAAACAACCATCTGAATGCCAATTTGATGGCATAAGGGGGATTTAAACGCTAGATACTAATACAAATTTGACATGTTTAGGTATCAAAAGATGGACTGATGGTCTTGTATGGAGTCCCTCTCGTATTCTCGGTAACTTTTTGATTTACCGTGAACTTGACAAGCGTACTCCAGGAGAGAAGAAACTGTCTATTTCCAGCGCATCAAATGACTCAAGACAACGTAGCTACAGCGCAGATCAAACAGCTTTGAATGTCGCATCTGGTATGTCGGCAGATCGCAACCGTGAGCGCCGGCTGGTCGGCAGTCTCTCTGATTCTTACCGCTTTCGTAAAGATGGTCTCATAAAAAAGACCATGTCCATCATTGTCAACGGTGTAGCTCAACACTTGATTTCATACTACCTTCCTAGTGATATCATCAACAATAAGCTTCGTACTCCTTCCTCTGTGCCCGAGTTGGCTAGCTTGGAAATCTCTCCTGACTTGCTTGTCAAACAAAACTTTAGAATTCCTCCCATGGTGGAACCCTCTTTTGATCATAATGAGGCCAGTATGGCGGGAGGATTGACAAGTTCTATTAGTCCTGTAGAATCGATGTCGAGTCCTTATGCAAGTAAGTTTTATCTATGTCTTTATGTTGATACTGATTCACTGTGTTTAGCTGACAGACGTATTCATCCATTTCGTAGTATGTCTATGGGGTCGCTTCGTACTCATAACAATTATCAACCTCCTCCTGCTAACAATTTCTCCAACATTGGTCGACCTGATATGAGCAACCCCCAACAGAATTTGATGTATTCTTCTTTTGGACAAAGAATGGACATGGACGAAAACAAAATGACTAGCAACAACAGCTTTTATTATGGCAACCAACCCATACCTTCGATTTATAATAGCAACAGTAATCATCAAAGCAACCATACTGCTGCTACCGCTACGACGAACACTAGTACAACGAGTAGTACCAACAACAATGGCTTTCCTCCTTTACCGTCACCCTCTAGTATGACTTCCTCACCTAACACACCTATGCTTTCACCTGTACGCCAATCCTTTTCTCAAACACGCCATTACTCCATACCTTCTGTCTCAACCGGACCTCCTCTTTCTCGATTTGGACCACATCGTGCTAGTTTTGATTTAAACAATCTAGATAATCGTCCTCCACATTCTGTTCATCCACATATGATGCCTGACATGTACGGTAATGATCAACGTATCAAGAATGATGCTTTGGACATACATGATTCTACCAATTCATCTAGTCCTCATATTGGACAATTACTTAACCCAGTTCATCCGTTGAATGCCGTCAAGGATTCTAATGAGACAAATTCGCAACAATTGTTCCAAACAATGGGAATGACAAGTGCTTCTTCAGGTTACCCAGACTATACAAGTCCAAGTGTTCCTACATCAAGTACATCAACTCATAGTCGGCCCTCTTTTGACAGTTCTAAATTACCTTCAATTTCAAACGAGACTGATATGATGCAACAGCAACAACAACAGCAACAACAACAACAACAACAGCAGCATCAACAACAACACAATACAGGTTTCAACACATACGGGGGAAACTATTACATTCAAAGACAACAACAGCATCCTCATCCATTAACAAATACCCATTCTTCTACTACGATCAACAATGTCAATCCCATGTTTAGGAACGGAATGGTTCTTCCACAATCATCTTCAATGTACGACGATTCTCAAATAAGCCCGGAACTCGGAATGGAACCTTTGACATTAAAATAACTTGTACTATTTTGATTTTCTTTTTTAAAAATGTAATATTGTTGCTTTTCCTCTCCTCTTTATATTTATATATGTATTGAAATAAACGACCATAAACTGCTATATAGAAAGTGATTGACATTGCGTGATTTTCTCTCTCGCTCTTTTTATTGGGCTTTGTTCAACATGATACACAGATTGTTTTTAAATCGGCGTTTACTCGAGCTGATGAAGAGGATACAAATTGTTGAGTCGATACACAAAATCAAGTTCTTCTGAGAGAAATATGATGTTTTGATACAAGCTAAGGTACGTGGTTTGTCCCTGTTGGTTTGACATGTGTATATCCTTTTTTAAAGACAAAGGGTTATCAAGTTCTTTTTAGGTTAGAATATGCATCAATGATATCATCATAAGCATATACAGCTCTCCGCGGATGAAATTCTTTTAATCAAACAACGAATTATATTCAGCATTGCATTTAAAGAGACAACAGTAAAAAAAAAAAAGGAAAAAGGGGAGAAAGAGACATTTTTACATTAGCAATGACATGCTTTTTTATTTGTTTATTTAGTGGAGCTTATTCTGACAGGATCATGTTTCAATTTTTATAAGCAAGAGACAGAGATTCCAGCTCAATGAAAAAGTTTATGCCCTAAGATGATCAATTTAGTCAGATTCATGTTGCTTTATTCATTTAAAGGGATGTTTCCAACAAAAATCTCTATAAAAAGAGAGAGTATATCCGAATAATTTTTTGACGAAATGCTTTCTTTTAGCACAGAAAACAACTTGCCTACTCCAAGAAATAATCATTTTTATGAAAACACATTGATCTTGAAAAGGTTGTAGTTGCAAGTATTTGATAAGAGAAGAGAACAAGTCTAATTTAGGTCTTTTCTGCGCAAGGTGGCATTGATTTCACTAAATCATGTAAATCATTTTGATATATCACTTGAAGCAAAAATAAATTGAATATACCAAAGGGGACAGGCGAACACATAGGCCTGTATAACTACACAAAGGGAGCATAACGCTCTTTTATATATGCATAAATGCTCCAAATACCTACAAACAATGCTTGCTAACATCCATGGTACCTTTAGAGTTGATTTGGAAAAAAAAAGTGATTTGTAAAATTTGGTCAAAATGGCCTTTTAAGCAAAGGGTACTATTCACGAAAAAAGCTCACTTTGACAACTTCTGGTCTTCTTTTTGACGCTACAAGACGAAAGATAGAGCTATCAATGAGGTAAAATACTCAGAATGTGCGTCTGACGCTGTAGTTTTTGGCGAACGTGCTTGCTTGCTTATTGTACTATGAAAATGGTACGATATGAGCCAAAAACCTCGTAGTCATTTCTGTCTATTTACTCAATATTTTGGCACCAAAGCTATTATTTTTTCTATATCAATCGACTCAGAAAACAAAGATCTACAACTTTTTTTTTTCACTGCATCAAAGCTGAATAACTGCATCTTCATGCAGTTCTCAACAAAAGTCCGATTTTGATGCGGCAGCAAGAAGAGTTGGAGTTGCCTTCCATTTTAATCTTCGCATATTGCCATCTGGTATGTCCTATGTTTGTTTACACCCACATTTACATCATAAAATACCTATCTTTTTACTTCTCCATGCTTCTTAGCACCCTAAGTAACATACAATAGCTTTGAAAGATTTATTACTAACACGTTTTATATGACGTCTAGGGCAGAAATGCTCAAAACACAGCTTAGACAGGCCAATCTTTGATGGGTTATTGCTCGACAATTACATTACCAACAAGGCTATTTTTTTCATTTAAAACATGTTCTTTCGAGTCCAAGAATTGAATGGTGCCATTGGTTTGGCACCTGGATGAAGTTTATTTTTCGATCAAGAATTTTTTGGAATAAGCCAATATAGGTCTGATCCAGCCGAAATCAAACAAGGCCATCTCTAGGTACTTTTGAAGAAAAGGAAGCGAGCTTACTAAGACGAAAAAGTCAACCTTATTTAAGCATTGGCTTCAAATCTGCATTTAAAGTTCATTGTACACTATGAGTAACGTAAAAGAGGTTCATTTCAACAGATATCGACTAATAAACAGACATTTACAGTTGTATTGCTTTTTTTCTATTCAAATATTGGTTCTTATAACTTTTGGTGTCAAGTGGTGATGCGAAAAGGTACAACCCACTTGGCTCTTGACCTTGAAGGCTCTCAAGCCGGTTTCTACAATGTCAAGTTCTACGGTTTCCAAGATACCTTTTTGATTAACCGTGGCGGTAGTGGCTACTTCAAGAACTGTTACATTGAAGGCTCTGTTGATTTTATCTGGGGTTATGGCACTGGTTACTTCCAAGGCTCTACCATTGCTTCTAACTCCGAGGCTATGTTACTGCCCATAACCGTGATTCTGCCAGCAGCACAGGCGGCTTCTACTTTAACAGCTGTGTGATCAAGGCCACTGTTCCTTCTGGCACTCTTGCTTCTACTTATGACCCTTCCATTGCCTTCACTTCTGTCTCTAAAGCCATCAACACATGTTATTTAGGTCGTCCCTAGAACCAAAATGCCCATGTTGTCTACATGTACTCTACCCTCAACAACCACATCAATCCTGCTGGTTGGTCTCAATGGAGTAACTCGAGTCCCAATACTTCTGGTGTGACTTTTGCCGAATACAGCAACAATGGCCCCAGTGCTTGATCTTCTGCTCGTGTCTCTTTTGCTAAACAATTAACTGCTGCTCAAGTCTCTCAATACAGTGCAGCCAAGGTATTTGGTTCCACTTTTTGGATTGATTCCTCAGGTTAATTCATTTTTAAACTAAATTTATCCAGAGTTGAAACACTATTTTAAGTGCTTCTCATATATCTTTTGTTCAAGAGAAGCATAGTTGTCTTCAAAAAAACAGTGGTCACTTTATGCAAGTCACAAGCCTCTGTCTTTTTTTTTTTATTTTTATTTTTTTTGTTTGACAACTTATCCTTTTTTTTTCAATACTTATACTATGGGAAAAGACGCAACAAAAGGAAAAGGTGCCCGTGCTCAAAGACATGATCCTCTTCATGTCCAGTTAGCTGATATGCCAGAAAATACCCTCATGAAGAAAGCACCTCGTCAAAAGTTTATTGATCGTAACAGCAAGGAAGAAGAAACAGGAGAGGTACCGCTTATTCACTTGTGATAGAAACCATGGTTAACACAAGAACATAGGAATACTTGGATGCCAAACTATCGAAGAAGATCTTGAAGATCGCTAGAGAACAACAAGAACAAATTGAAAAGCAAGAAGCAGACGAAGAAGAAAGGTGAGTCCGTTTGATGTGTCCTTAATATTGATACTGATGTATTCATAAAGAGATCCTGTCAATAAGGCCAAATTCCCTTTAGGTTTTGATCCTGATGAAGAAGAAATTGATGAAGTGGATCAATATGGAGATTATGAAGAACTTGAAATTGATGCTGCTGATGCAGACATTTTAGAAAAGTTCTTACCTAGTGCACCTAAACAGAAAAAGACATTGGCTGATTTGATTATGGAAAAGATCAATGAAAAGAATGCAGCTGAAGGTCGTGAAGCAATTGAAGAAGAAGATGAATTGTCTCCTTCTATGAATCCTAAGGTTGTTGAAGTCTACACCAAGTAAGTATCTTATTTATTTCTCTGGGATTTTTTTTTTCTTTACTGATGATCATCTGCAGAGTGGGTCAATTGCTGAGTCGCTACAAGTCTGGTAAATTACCCAAGGCTTTTAAGATTATTCCTTCTCTACCCAATTGGGAAGAAATCTTGTATTTAACAGGCCCTGAATCATGGACCCCTCATGCTACTTATGAAGCTACTCGTATGTTTGTATCTAATTTGAAAGCCAAGCAAGTTCAACGTTTCTTTGCTCTTGTCTTGTTGGATCGTGTCCGTGATGATATTCAAGAAAACAAGAAACTGAGCTACCATTTGTACTTGGCACTCAAGAAAGCATTGTATAAACCAGCTGCATTCTTCAAGGGTATCTTGTTCCCCTTATGTGAATCAGGCAACTGTACCCTAAAGGAAGCTGCTATCTTGGGCAGTGTGTTAGCCAAGGTCTCTATTCCTGTCTTGCACTCTTCTGCTGCTGTCTTGCGTCTGTCTGAAATGGAATACACAGGTCCTAATTCATTGTTTATCCGTATCTTATTGGACAAGAAATATGCTTTACCCTTCAAGGTGGTGGATGCCCTTGTGATGCATTTTGCTCGATTTATGAACGATGAGCGTGTTATGCCTGTTCTTTGGCATCAATCCATGCTTGTGTTTGTCCAACGTTATAAAAGTGATTTAGTGAGTGAACAAAAGGATATTTTATTAGAAGTTGTCAAGCATAAATTCCATCCTGGTATTACACCTGAAATACGTCGTGAAATTGTTCATTCTGAAGCAAGAGATGTCATGTTAACTGAAAGAGATGATGATGATATTATGATGATGGATTAAAGATGTATATTTCCCCCCCCCCCTCCCTTATATTTTTTTTTTTTTTGCAGCGCTATAGATAATAATAATAATAAAAAAGAAATCAATTGTATTTATTACATAGTAGGACTTGTTGTTGTATTAGGCGTAGTTGTATTAGGTGACTGTATAGAATTGGATTGATTAGCAGCTGCTAATCTTTTACCTTTAAGCATATTCTTTAACGCTCTTAATGCAAACACAGTTAAGCCAATACCAGCCCAATCTTCATCATGCAAGTCACGCAAATCCCCCACCGTCATGATATCTTGGTTCTGTAGTTTTCTTGCCCATTCATGTGCCTTATCTGCACCTCGATGAGATGCTTGTGCACAGTCTGCCACAAATACACTGATGTCTGTATCATCCGAGTATTCTATTCAGTGTTAATGTCTATCTATCTTGTCGATTCCCTCACCATCTAGAATATGATTCACTAATTTCTCTCGTTCTTTGTCATCAGGATGGCCGCCATTCAGTGTCATATTTGCCATTGTATCTGACATTTCAGTATTGGAAGCAGTCTTGAGTTCTTCCAGTTCTCTTAAACTACGCAATGCATTTTTATACCTTGATTCAGCTGCTTGTGCTCTTGATTCAAAGTCATTGCATTTCTGCTCTACTTCTAACACACGATCAGTGGCATGGCTTAACTCTTCCCTTGTTCGGTCCAGTTCATTTCGAATATCACTTTCCCTTCTCCAGACAGATCGACGCACTTGTTCTGCTTGTTCTGACTCTGAGGGTTTTTCAATATCACGTAAAATGCGGTTGATTTCTTTAGTGATATGGTGCTGGTATCGTTCAGGCAAAACTTGTTCTTCAATCATTTCACGTACTACTTCCTCAGCTGTGTCTGTCTCGACATTGAAATCAAACTTGACAGAGAGTTTATCCATGCCTTTAAAGACAACTTGCAATGTCAAGTGAATGTTGTCTGGATCAGCAGCCAACAAGACAACATCAGGTTCAACTGCTAGGAATGAATGCTCAAGAATGTCTTGTGCTGACATGCGTTCATGTTCATTTCCAAGGCAATTGTCAATCACACCAAGTACTTCTGGATTCTGTACTCGAGACAAGCAAGCAGGTTTAATGCCCTAATAGGATCAGTTCAAGTTCTAAGAAGACTCTACTTACAGAAGACACCTTTTTATAGATTTGCGCTGCATTTTTACATTCACCATAAGGATATTCACCTGTAGCCATTTCCAACAGACACATACCAAAAGCATAGATATCCACTTTTTCATTATACCCTTGCTCCTCATACATTTCTGGTGCCATGAATTCAGGTGTGCCAATCAATGTGTATTTCTTGCCCAACTTCATCTCTGCTGTACCCATATCACCAATCTTGACTTCTCCATGAGCACCATTAATAAATATGTTATCGCACTTGATATCTCGATGAATAATAGGTGGGTTATGACCATGTAAATAAGCAAGACCTTTCAGAATCTGTCGAGACCATCGCTTGATAATCTTGAGATTAGGCAAAGGAGCCAGTTTACGAATATATTCTCGAAGCGTACCCGACGTCATGAGTTCAGTAATAAACACGAATTCGTTATCACCGTACCAAGCATCATGAAATGCAATGATGTTCGGATGGCGTACTGACTTGAGAATCTGTATTTCGTGTTCTAGGTCCTTGTTATTGGGAGATTGCATAGCTTGCATCGTGTTCCAAGCTACCTCATAACCCTCTTCTCGATCAATCGCTTTATAGACCACTTTGTAAGCACCTTTACCCAGTAGTGTATTGAGACGAACATAACGTTCATTAGGTGCTACTTCAACTACTTTTTCAGAATCATGAGAGCGAGATTGATCGTTGATATCGTTGGTTGGTATGCCATAATCCAGGTTAGATGTGGTATTGACAGTCCGTTGAAAAGCAGTGTAATCTATTGACTGTGGAGGTGGTATGTCACTATTCGTGTTGTAGCTTTGTGAGAGAGGTGCGTAATAGTTGGAGTATTCATGTTCGTTGTCTGTATTGAAGCTTACACGCAGATTATTGGTTTCTTGTGGTATGGTATTATCAGAAGACATGATAGCGAAAGCAGTGTCTTCACAGAAATGGGCGATAAAATGCAAGAAGGGACTGTTCTTGAAAATGAGATCATTCCAATATAAAATCCGAAGTTAGCTTTCGAGCGTTAATAGAAAAGAAAATTGAATAGTCACAGTGAACAGTTCACTTAAAGTGTCTTTCCTGCAAAAGGATACAGCGAAAAGAGAAAAAAAAAAGAATCCTGTACAAAAAGAAGGTAGCAACTATTTATGCAATTGGTATTAAATGTGCTGTTTCTGGATAAGCCATAAAAAAGACCTATTTTTCTATCTATTTTGGTATGAATTCAAGGATAAAAGGTCATAAAGAACACAAAGGAAAGTGAAAGCAAAAGCTAGTCGAAAATACAAGTCTTGTGTGTATATGTCATGAATGAGCATAACAAATTACAACAAAACTGACAAAAATGCAAAAGCATTTTATTATTTTAAAAAACAATGCTGTTTGGTAACGCCTTCTCACACAAATTCAGTCAATTCTGTACTGAAGATGATTTGATTCTAAGGATGATGAAAACATAAACAACACTCTTGATTATTTTTTGTTCTAACAGTATAAATGATCTACTTTTTCTTTTTGTCTCTTCTTCTATGTAAGTATATCATTTCAGTTTAGTAAAAATGTATCTTCACTTTGATTATACACACAAGACTTTAAAGTCAATGCTTTGTTGCTCTCTCAATCTAAATCACAAGGATTATCACTCTCACAAAAGACACAACTGCAAGAGCTCTTTGTATAGGACTGGCTTCAAGTTCCTGTCAAGGCTTATCTGTTCAAGTTGGTACAGTTCTCGGCATTGTTCGCTTGTCCTGACTTCTTTTATTGAATAAAAAGATGCCGAGAATAGATAAACTGTGATATTTGCCTAGAAGAAGTTTCTCCTTGATAACGTAGGCTAATATATCAGATTGCCCTGATGGACTATCACCCCATTAATAATAAGACACAAGCTTAGCTTTCAAAATATTCATATGTTTGCTTCTCTATTAATTATTGTTCAGGAATAGTTTCTTTGTAAAATCAATGGTCATAAGAATCTCTTTATAAAATCAAATAGCAAGAAAGGTCTTCTGAATGAATCGGCAGATGTAACTTGAATTTGTACTTGTCTAGCTTAAGTATGAAAAAAAACTAATTTATCAAGAATAAGCAGCATTTTTATCTGGCTTCCTGATTTCCCCCAAGCTATTAAGATGCGCTCCCTTTATGCCGGGGGGAAAAATGCACAACTGAAAGCATTTCTGTTTTTTTCATAAGAAGGAGCAAGTAGTCATAAACATTATAAATTTATTGAATAATACTTGTATGTCTGTCCTGAAATTCTACTCTTCTTTAAGCAATAATATACAAAATAGCTGTAGAAACTGTCTTGACTCAAGTGAAAGCTTTGTACCTGCATTTCTTAGTTACTCGAAACCCAAAAAGCAATCACACGTCATATTCAAAATCCGACAACCTTTTTCAAATAAAAAAAAGAGTGCGACAATGGAGCTACCTATATGTCTGGTAGAAATCCTAAAGGAGCAGCTTTAAGTCAAAGCCATTATGAATCACCTGATGTCGTGGCATGCTTTGAAAAAATAGTCAGTCCTTTACTAGCAGAACTTCAGTCTTTGCAAGGCGATGTCGCTTTTACAGCACGCGAATTATCTTTGTTGACGGGTCAATTGCAGCAATTTCAACAGACTGTCTGGGTGCTTTTAATCGACCTACCAACGCACCCATCCGTATTCCAGCCAAACACTTAAAGTCCAAAATAAACAAGTGATCACGCCTGATTCAGCTATCTACACTGTGTTGTTGGGTGCTTATTCGTTCCGATTAAGACAAGGCTGGAAACGATGGGAATTTACCAATCCCTCTAAA